GTTTCTGTAGAGATGTGCTGCGTGTAAAATATCGAGGCCTAAATCTATTTGTTGACTAAAGGCTGGGCGATGTCACTTCCTCAACGTAGTACAGTGAAACCTCGTTAACCCGAACTCCTTAACTCCATATATTCATTGAACATGTATTTTAATGTATTTTTAAATGTGTTTATTTTTCTTTTCAGCACGGGAAGACATGATCCGGTATCATGTCACTCCTGCTGCGAGTTTATGGCCGTCGCTGGATGAGGAATCCGACTGTGTATGTAGTTTATCTACATCTCTTTCAGATTCGTCCGCCGAATAGCTCACCTTTCTTCATTTGTCTATGTCCCCTCACGCACACTTTTGACATTGCCCATTTTCTCTGTGTGTTATTGTATCCTGAAAAATAGCTGCGTGATATCCCTCCTCTAATTACTTGTTTCAAACAGTCGATCCAAATTTTGGTTTTGTTATACCCCTCATAGCATGTGTAACCTGTGTATGACACTGACTTTCTTTTGCACATTTTATTTGAAAACTGACTATATTCCTGGCCCACTGACCCTCCTTTCTCCCTCTCTCCCCATCACTTATGTAGTGTCCCCAGGCTGCGTCCCCTACCCCCTCTCCCAACCCTCTGAGTGTTTTCACCCCCTTCTGGGCCCGCTCTGACCACGGTGAGACGCTCCCCGCCCCAGTCACGATCACCTACGTCGACCACTATCCTGCCCCTAGTGATGACGACAGTGACTACTGGGTCTACGAGGACGAGGATGACGACAGCTTCGTGGAAGACCGAGAGGTTCATCCTCTGATGAAGGCGCTGAGGAGAGGGGCTGCCTTCTGGAGGAGAATCTTCTCGTAGATTTCTCATCCAGTGTGTGTGTGTGTGTGTGTGTGTGTGGGTGTGTGTGCGCACGCGAGAGAGTGCAATTGTAGTTGTGTAAATGTGAGTGGATGTGTTTTTGCATGTGTGACAGAGTGTTTGTGTGTGAGGATGTGTTTCTGCATGTGTGATAGAGAGTACAAGTGTGTTTGTGTCAGAGGATGTGTTTTTGCATGTGTGACAGAGTATGTTCATGTGTATGTGTGAGAGTATGTGTTTTGTATATGTAAAAGAGTGTTTGTATGTATGTGTGAGAGGATGTGTTTTGTATGTGTGATAGAAGGTGTAAGTTTGTATGTTTTGTATGTGTGACAGGGTATGTTCATGTGTATGTGTGAGAGGATGTGTTTTTGTATGTGTGATGTTGAGTGTATGTGTGAGAGGATGTGTTTTGTATGTCTTGTTGAGGGTAAATGTGTATGTGTGAGAGGATGTGTTTTGTATCTGTTGAGGGTATGTGTGAAAGGATGTGTTTTGTATGTGTTTTTGAGGGTAAGTGTGTATGTGTGACAGAGTGTTTGTGTGTATGTGTGAGAGTTTTTTTTGTGTATGTGTTGTTGAGGGTAAGTGTGTATGTGTGAGAGGATGCGTTTTGTATGTCTGACAGAGAGTGTTTGTGTGTATGTGTTAGAGGATGTGTTTTTGCATGTGATAGAAGGTGTATGTTTGTATGCTTTGTATGTGGGATAGAGTGTGTAAATGTTTATGTGTGAAAGCGTGTGTTTTTGTGTGTGTAACTGTGAGTGTGTATGTGTGAGAGCACGTGTTGTGGATGTGTTTGATTTTAAGAGTATATATGAGAAAGGATGTGTTTCGCATGTGTGGGTGTGTGTATGTATAAGGGGATGTGTTTTGCATGTGTGTTTGTGAGAGAGGATGTGGTTTGGTGACCGTGTGAAAAGCATTTCTCCCTTTTGGACTGTTTTGGCTACACCCTTTCGGTTTATGTTTGGACATACTCTTTCAATCTTCTTTTCCTATATTTTGGCTCACCCTTTGGCTGACATTTTTAAGTTTAATTAGGTTCTCTGATATGGGAGAACAGTTTAGAGTGCTCACTTTTGGCCCTGCTTTAATTACTTCCTTTTGACACATTCTATTTCATTTCTTGAATATATCTAAATAAATCTGGAATAATGGTATACACATGAGTCTGTTTTCCTTCCTTGGATCCCAACAAAAACTAGATGACTGAAACACAGCAGTAAAGGCAGGTGACCCAAGTCAGGTGTTAATAAATTTGAAGTGGTAATACCGAGAATGATTAATTTAAGATATTAAGGTGACATTTGCCCTGAACTGCTGTTTTGCTGTCTTCTAGAACAATTTACTGGAAGAGTATGAAGAAATTCCTTAATTTAGAATAACCCAATAAAGATCATACGTTTTCTATCGAACTGACACTTAAAGGAACATGTGCTTCCTGCCTATGAACTATTTGATCAAGTTCAGCCATGTCCAAATTAGGAGTGGAGAAGTATCCATTTTGAAAGTGCATTAACTTATTTACTTGCGCTAATTGCTAACTAAGAAATAAGATGTACATATTCAAAATTAATAACAGAATGTTATTGTATAAATATTTTGAGAAAGAAATTTGTGTCACTATTTCCGTAAGTTGTGACCCCACAATGGAAGATGCCATATTGAATTCCATTGGTTGCGATGAATTTAACACTTTGTTACATCTTTTGAGGGTTATTTGCCATCCTTTTGAAAAACTATGCGTGAAATAGTTGAATTACCCCATTGATGGCATAAGTTTAAATGTAATCCCTTGCAGTCTGGTTTACAGTGATTGTAAACCCTCCTGCACAGGTTACAATCATTGTACACCCTTCTATGAGGAGTTACTAATACTTCTATACTTATAAATTTGTACTTGATGTTTCAAACGTCCAATGTTCTAAAATTGAAGACAAGAAATAAAAGTTTTCATTATGGATGACGAGAATCGCACCTACAACATCACATAGCGTGTTTAGTTTTGTAACCCACTGACCTTCCGGGGCAGGTGATGAAAAGTTGTTCAGTTTAACATGTCATGAATCCAGTTGGTCCTTGCTGTATGTTTTTTCTCTTGCATGCTTTGGTTGAATTCCTTTGATACCATGACACACAGTATTGTTTCACTATAAGGCATCCCAATGTTTTCTTATTATCTGTGTGATGAGTCGCTTTTTAAGTTAGACATACCCCTCTGAATTTCTTGAGATAGTAAACCCTGACATTCGAGAACATGCCTCCTTTCAGGGTTTACAATCTCAAGTAATCCCTAGGAGAAGTGGTTTCTCCTTTGCTGACAAGTTTCTTGGAGATAAAAATGCTGATGATGAAGGAGTTTGCTACTTGTACTTCTACAACTTCGCTTTATAACATTTGATGGATTCTTGTAGTTTTCACAGGGACAAGTCACGTGAACACAGCAGTATTATGTCAAGGATAAAACACGACTCCGAGGTTTTGGTTGAAAGTGTAAAACTGCGAGGAGGGAAAACCCCAGGGCTTTTCCCTAGATCGAGTGTTTTATCCCATTTATGAACCATCTAAATGTAAGAAATTACAGATGCACACAACTGAAGTCATGACCGGTCAGACTGAACAATCTTTCATCTCCTGCCCTGGTGAATCAGTGGGAAAACAGCAATTTTTATATAACTATTCTACTACCAATCTACTGATCTAGGCAAAGATAGGATCAATGTTGAATTAAGCAACACTATTGCCCATTCTCAACCCTCACAGGGACACAACAAACAAGTTTCCCATTTTAGTTACCTCTTAAAACTAGCAATAGGGTGCTGGGGACCTAGAGGGTCACTTTGTTGAAGCTCATAAGCATATGTGCAGGTTTGATGTTGACAAACTTAGGAGCATAGTTAGAGGAAAACTTGGATTCGAACCCAAGACAAGATGGATCCTGCCAAATTGATACAGAGATTCAATTGATTCAGCATTAATTTTGTCCAGTCTTTAAGATTGAAAGATAGTTAAAGAACTACCTGTATCTAGATGTCTTTTGATAAGTCAAGGCCAACAAACCTCCTGATCACATACTATTACGTCACTATATAGGGTGTTTTCATATTCATCTGGTATGGGACCAAGGTGTGCCACATTGAACCCCGGTCAACTGCTGGTTTCAAAGTGAGTTCTCCCTCTGAAAGCTGATCACATCTATGAAAAAACTAAAAAATGTTGAACAATCAAGAGAAATATGAGGACCACACTATGACACACTGTCAGGACAACACTCTGACACAGCGTCAGGACAATACTTTGACACACTGTCATGACAACACTTTGACACACCGTCAGGACAACACTTTGACACACCGTCAGGACAACACTTTGACACACCGTCAGGACAACACTTTGACACACCGTCATGACAACACTTTGACACACTGTCATGACAACACTTTGACACACCGTCAGGACAACACTTTGACATACCGTCATGACAACACTTTGACACACAATCAGGACAACACTTTGACACACCGTCAGGACAACACTTTGACACACCATCATGACAACAAATTGACACACCGTCAGTACAACACTTTGACACACCGTCAGGACAACACTTTGACACACAATCAGGACAACACTTTGACACACTGTCATGACAACACTTTGACATACCATCAGGACAACACTTTGACACACCATCATGACAACACTTTGACACACCGTCATGACAACACTTTGACACCCCGTCATGACAACACTTTGACACACTGTCATGACAACACTTTGACACACTGTCATGACAACACTTTGACACACTGTCAGGACAACACTTTGACACACTGTCATGACAACACTTTGACACACTGTCATGACAACACTTTGACACACTGTCAGGACAACACTTTGACACACCGTCAGGACAACACTCTGACACACCGTCATGACAACACTTTGACACACCGTCAGGACAACACTTTGACACACTGTCATGACAACACTTTGACACACTGTCATGACAACACTTTGACAAAATGTCAGGTTTTCCTTGTTATGATGTAGGAAGACAAGCCTTTGCAAGTCCATATTGACCCTCTCCAAACTGTTGGCTTATTACAGGCAGGCAATTCATAAACACTCATACTGAACCACATGCTTATTGCAACCATTTTTATTTTTTCCTTCTATTCAAAGACATATAACATATAAGTCATAAATATTGAGTTAACTAGATATACACCAAAGTGTAATACTGAGTAAACCTGGATGGTTCTTTGACATGTATAAATCAAGGCATGAATAGAATCGTACAGTTCCTTCCAAAATATAGTGACAACAGCTGGTAACTTGTAGAATATAGGTCATTCTTATGTTACATTATCTGTGTGTTTCAAACAAACAGGGTTTAAAGCAAAGCATGAAACATTACCTCAACAACAGTTCCAAGCCTTTGACTTAAAAGTCTGCATCAGATTTTTCTTTGGCATACATATTAGTTTAAGGTGTTGAACTTTATATTATGAATATGTGATGGACAAACTTCTTGTTGGCATATTTACAAAAGGAATGAGACAGAACCCTACCTGCAGAAATATTTGATGACACATGTAATAAATAGATAAACTGACACACAATGAAAACGCATAATCAACTTTTCTCAAAAATCAGAAAATATGACTTTTTGTGTAAAATGAGATTTGAACCCATTAAACGACATTGTTGTGAAATCTTAATTAGAATTTTGTGGCCATTTTGCCAAATATTACAAAAAATCAAATGTTCATTTTCAAAGTGTTTCAGTATATTAAAATATAAATCAACAAAAAACAATAAAATAAATGTGAAATGTCACAGTTAAATCGCACAGAACAATACACAGATTATATTCAATATTATGGGGACACATTTCCCAGAGTGAATGAGTCAACTTTGTTTTATGCAGCACTCAGCAATATTTAAGCTATATCATTTCAGCATAAACATAATCATGTTTTGGCCATAAAACAAATGGTTGATAGCATGACCACAAGCACCATTTTTGGGGCACAGTCACACAGTCAGCCTTGTCACCACCTGATCCTCATTAGCCAGCTCACCAACCCGTGGTGTAGTGGATAAAGCGTCTGCCGGAGATTGGCTCCCTGACCATGGCATACCAAAAGACGTTAAAAGATGATACTTGATGTTACCCTGTCTGGTCCTCAGCATTAAGGGGATAAGACAAGGACTGGTCAGCTCGGAGTCAGTATACTGTGTCTGAGTGGGGTATCCATGTTAAACTGTGGCATGGTATCTCAGTGGGCTAGCACCATAAACCGGGCATTAGTCCAGACTAGTACAAGCAGCCACACACATATATACACATGTGCATAATCTTGCACATAACAGTAAACCCAATTTCACTTAACGATGACCCATGAAGATCCGGGTTAGGAAAGGACTTCAGCAACCCATGCCGTAACAGGCAACTATGCTTGTCGTAAGAAGCGACTAACGAGATCGGGTGGCCAGACTCGCTGACTTGGTTGATGCATGTCATCATATCCCAATTGTGTGGATCGATGCTCATGATGTCAATCACTGTATGTTCCAGGCTTGATTATTTCCAGACCGCTGTCATATAGCTGGAATATTGCTGAGTGCGGCGTTAAACAAAAATAAGAATAAATTCAAAAACAATAATCACCTGACCTCATTAGTAGGCTCTTTCAAGCAAGAGGACATCTATTGAGACCCAGGAACCCACTGTGGACATGCCACAGGAACTACTCACAGAAACGCAAACAAAAAACAGAAATTTTATGCAATGAAATTGAAAGGAGGCAGTAATGGCTGTGGAATATAATGTTGCTACCATTGCCTGTAATCTGAAACTGTCACATGAATATAGGCACAGTCACTACCCGAGAAGATTCAGCACCTTCAAACATTGTGTTCCGGATCAGACTCCCAACATGATATGATACACCAACAATACCTTTTTGACATATATACAGGGACGGAGTGTGATTCATGAGGACTTTTCAATCACCTTTAAGAGTGGTATAATCATATTGCAAATACATGAAGTTGCAAACAGAAGTGACCTCAATTGACCTCTGTTGAACAGGTCCAACCTGGTTTCAGGTTTGGCATATGATCAGAGTATGAAATTTAAAAATTGCCAGGCTGCCACCAGAACCCACAGACTTTAGAAGCTGCAGGCCCTGACTAAACTCTTCAGGCCCTCATTAATAAACTGCAGCTTATTGTGATAAATACATCGACATGTAAATTTACGGCAGGCCATAAGGACCCATACACATTTGAAACTTATGGGCCCGACACCACAACTACCTGCCACAGGCCTACAGTCAGGCACTTATTTCAAACACTGCATGTAATACCGTCAGTGAGGGGTGTGGGACGAAATAGCTGCGTGGGGTCAGTGATTTAGTGACAGTAGCCTTAAATCAACAAATACAGATTATGGTGTCTGGTGCTGAAACAAGGGTCACTGCTGTTGACACAACCTTTCAAGGTGACCTTGACATTAACTGAATAAATTAAAGAATAACTTATCAACAAAACTCCAATTATCAAAAGACATAAATGGATCAAAATATCCGACAAACTCATGCACCATATCTTTATCAAACTTTGGTAAACGCTCAAAGTCAAAGGAATAGAGTTATTGCAGAGGGAACGAGATGAACAAAGCATGACCAATGATGAACACTCGTCTAGCTGAACACCGTCTTGTCAACATCATGTGTGAAGGCTGAGATAGAACTTCAGGAACGTATGGTAGATAGGGAGTTTTAGATATTCTCAAACAATAACAAATTTAAAGAGTTGAGAAAAAGTAATCAATCATATTCAAATCACAAACTGACATGTTGCACATACACATTAGCAATGAGCAGACTGTATCACAGATTTGATAGGCACAGTCATATTGTACAGCACACAAACAAGTTAAGTTGGTGCCACATGTTAAGTATTCAAAGAGTGATATTGAAAGTGAATTGAAAGGGTCCTTTATTCCATCAAATTTTTAATAAAGGGAAATTAATAAGTCTTTCCAAAAACCATGCTTAAAGTTTTCAGAGAGGGATCATAAATATGAGTCCCAAGAGCCCTTATCAAAATATTTAAAACAGGAAATTGCTTTGTTTCCATGTTTTATCTGCTCACAAACCAAGGAACATTACTGGGCAAATCTGGGATTAAAAACTATGATCACAGGTTCCTGGCATGCCTAAGGGATGCAACTCTGCATCCAAAGTATTTTTCTATCACACTTTTTGAAGAGAGGCTATGGAAGACACTACCTGGAGAATCTTATGCCACAGGATGTGCTCCAAGGAACTCAAAGTGTTTCTTACTCATGAAGGGCTCTCTGAGGCTCCTTGAGTGCAAGTGGTTAAAATGACACTTATAGTTCTAGGGTTTCATGAGCATGTTTAATCTCAAGGGATCTGAAGACTTGTGGCTTCTCTAGGAGCCATTTTCTACAACTATTTAATATTAGAATTACTGCTAAAAAAATAGACAGAACAATAACAATAATCAGACAGTTCTCGAGACAAAAGGTTCCAAGAGCTTTGTTCATTACTACACCATGTGCACAATTCTCATTCAGTCTATGACCACTTAACACTTGCAAAGATTAAAACAACAACATAGTGTCAAAGTAACAGTTGGAATAAAAACATGGGAGTTGCCACTTTTTATACTTGGAAAGTGTAAATACAGTTAATATTCAATAAAGGTTTTCATATATTCCTGGAACATATTGAAACATATCTATGTATCACAGATTTGCATCAAGAAACTGATACTTCAAAAAATGGTAAAATTGACAATGGAATAATGCTGCATAAAAATGGACACTGTCCTTTGGCGTTCAAACATTTTAGCAAATAACAAATCTGTACAAAGTTTGTTAAAATGACATTACTTCTGTTGAAAGAAATACAGAAGCACTGAGCTATAAATATATTTACACAGAGAGATGCATGATACAATATCACAGTGATGACAGTTTAATGAGAGCGACAAGCATTAGCAGAAATTCTGTCACCTTCCAAGATGAATTGCAGCTACTACATTCACAAGCAAGTCAACTTTAAGACTTTCAGTGTCAGTACTAAACATAAATTAGGTCAATGATATTGAAAGTGTCTCCTTGACGAGACGCAAGGTATGATTGATTTAATTTAATCAAAGTTTCCAGTGATATTGAATAGCCTGTGACCTGTATATCCTGTGATGTGTACTCTAGAGAGCGTTTCAGAATTGGAGTTGAAAGGAGTACACCATATACAGCACACAATCTATATGACTGCAGTTTAAACACCATCAGCTAAATCATAAAGCTGAGATTCACCTATGCCATGCCACTCCTTCCACTGAGGGAACACAGCCTACAAAACACAAGCCTCTGAGAGGGGCAATGTACATCTTCCCGAGGCAAGGGAGTTACCTGAATATAAAAGTCCAGTTTCCACCCTTGCCGAACTAGGCTGGAATTATGGAGTTACATCTTGGCTGGACTAACGAGTCTATGCATAGTCCAATCAAAATCGCGCGATGTAAATCCAGGATGTAGATTGTGTGGTAGTTGGTACTCTTGTCTCTTACATGGATCTAAATCACCCGATTTGTAACTTTATTGTAATATTATTGTAACATTATCGCAACTTACAACAACCACAAGCCCACCTCAGCCCAGAGACTTCGTACACACCCTGTACAATTAGACTTCTTCTATGATGGTGTAACACCCTGTTCTACCATAGCACACACATAGATCATGGCCCTGATGGCCTGTCATACATAGTCAAAGTTATGTCCCCTATGGTCTTCCATCCCCCAGCTGTAGTTCCTCCAACTGGACGATGGTTTGATGGTGGTCGCTTTCGAACTCGTTCAGCAACTGTTCAGCAATCCGACTGCGTAATCGTCCGCCCACCTGCAACATGCAAGGCACCTGTTGAAGCAGCAATATGACTGGTAAGCTGAAAAAGCAGCAATAAGATTGACATGTCTGAACACAGTAGTAAGATTGACTTGTCTGAACACAGCAATATGACTGATGTGTTCCAATGCAGCAATATGTTTCGTAGGGCCAAGAAAAGCAATGTATTCATGTGTCTGAATGAAGCCAAATGATTGATATGATCAAAAGCAGCAATTCAATCTCATTAAAATCAGAACTTAGTTCTTGCTATTGCTAAACAAAGATCTGAGGAAATTGTTAAGTGTTCATTTAGACTTCATAACTATCAAGTTATAACAGATAGAAGTGGTTGGTCATTGGATTTACTCCTCAGCTTCAAGAACACCATCAGACAACTCCAACAGTGATGTAATACATATGTGCGTACAGTAAGGGAGGTAACTCTCAAGCCATCAATACGTAACAGACATCCCATTAAGGGTCATGTCAGAATGACCTTTCATCCGACCAATCAAAGCGTCGCTTACCAGATCATGAAAGTGACAGTCAAAATGTGTTTTCTAATCATGCAACCTCGAAAACGTTAACATGGGGTATTGCGAACATCAGTTACGACCCATCAGTCAAAATAATCGTCCATCACTTCCGTGGGATAAACATTTGAATGGAGGAAGCATTACACAGTATGTGAGAGCATTGCCATACAATCCCAACCATTTATTAGACATTCCGAAATGTTCGTTTGTTCAGTTTTCAAAATTTCAATCGAGAACTGTGTCAACATATTTTTCAAGTGTAGTCTGAAATGGAAGTTGCCAGGTTGAAACTAGTGCCGTAAAACTCTAGAGAGCTGCTTTCTTATTGGCTGATGTTGGCTTCTTGTTAGTCGTTTCAGTAGTCAGTCAAAGTTCGTCTTTGTTTAGCAGCAGCGAGAACTTAGATCTGATTTTAATTGAGATTGGCAGCAATTATGATCGGTAATTCTCAAAGGTAAGTAAAAATTATACTTTTTAAATATCCCAACAACAGCCTACACCCATAAATGAGCAAAAAAGAATAAATAAAAAACAAAACTTTACAAGTTTTGACATTGAAAAAAAAAACTTGATTAAAATGCATGCCTAAGGAAATCCTTATCAAACATGTCTTCATCAAAAAATAATTATTACAACACACAAAAGGTAAAAGATGAAAAATAAAACAAAACAAATGGGTTTTTAATTTCTGAGATGTAAGCACCAGCTGCAGCTGTAAGCATTATGGTGACCAGCTGCGTCCCGGCTCAAACACACACGTGTAGGGAATGTTGTCATTATCAGCATAGCACACTCTACCCCATTACCTGTTTAGCTCACTTACTAAACATACACACTACAACTGACTGAAATAGGTCATTCAATAAAGATCACACGCTGCAGCTATTGCAAGACCCTTGAAGATCCGGGGTAGAATAGGTCTTCAGCAACCCATGCTTGCCGTAAAAGGCGACTATGCTTTTTGTAAGAGGCAACTAATGGGATCGGGTGGTCAGGCTCGCTGACTTGGGTTGATGTATGTCATCGATTGCATGGATCGATGCTCATGTTGTCAAACACTGGATTGTTTGGTCCAGGCTCGATTACTTACAGACCGCTGTCATATAGTGGGAATATTGCTGAGTGCGGCGTTAAACAACAAACAAACAAACAAAGTTACTGCAATATTCTATTCAGTCTCATGATTGAGTCAATCTTGCAATATCTGGTCATCCTCAGAAACAAATGACAGCAGTGTACGAATGCACCGTATTGGTTGTGGTAAATGCCACACTCAGCAATATTCCAGCAATATGACAGCGACCTATTAATAATCACTGGATCAGACAATCCAGTGATTGACCTCATGAGCATCAATCGATGCTGTTGGGAACAATGACATGCCAAGTCAAAGATCCTAAACACCGGATCCACTTTGTCGCCTCTTATGATGGCCAGCATAGGTTGCTGGGGACCTCTATTCCTACCCGGAATATTCATGGTTTCTTGGTTGTGACTGGAGTTTGGCCTAGGGCTTGGGAGGGGGGATAGCAGCATCCCATGTAGATACTGCTTTGTTTGTTTGTTGTTTAACACCCGAATATTCCAGCTATGTGATGGCGGTCTGTATATAATCAAGTCTTAACCACACAATCCAGTGATCGATATTGTGAGCAGCGATCCCCACAGCCCGGTATTAGGACAGGCCATATCAACCTGATCCATTGAGTCGCTTCTTATGACCAGAAAAGGTTGCGGGGGACCTACTGCAATCTGGAATCCTGATGCATTATCATATGTTTAATTACATCACAGCAAGAGAGAGGGGGGCATGGGGGGCCCAGTTGTGTAAGGCATCACAATTCACTGTGCGTCCTTTGGGTATGCCAGAGACCTATGGTTGTGGGTACGAATCCCGGTTTACCCTGATTATGTTTCAAGGTTTGTCAGCACCAAACCCGTGCTCGTGGGTTTCACCAAAGTAGGAAACGTCTGAGACCTGCATCACTTCAGGCTTTCCTCCAACATTAAGCTGACACACTGTGCTATAACTGGAATACTGTTCAAAGCAGCATTAAACCGAACTCACTCACTCAGAATTAGGGAAGTAGATAGAGGGTAAAGTTTGTCCTCTATCCCCAGTAACCATTTGTTATATCTATTCATTTAATCAAAAACTATTTCACAAGAGCTAATAGGAAGTAATTATTATTGACTAACATACCACAAAACATTAATATTTTATGAAAAAACGAATGTAAACATTATCATATAAAACAAGTAACATGTCATTTTCATTGTGTTGTGAAAAGTTAAACCACACATCACTACTCCTACAAAAACAAAAACAACAACCCCTGTATTAATCATATCATCCTGAACATGAAACATTCTACACGTCTATCACTGTTACCTTCAGCGAATGGAGGGAAACAACTGAAATCAAATTAGATTAACAACTGAAAAAAACTTGTGATAACTAACATAGACTAACTAATATAGTCCAGTGAAACCATTCTACTGGACACATATCTACAGTGAGGTGGAGGTATACTACTCAATATAAGTTAAGGACCCCCCCAATTCTTTAGAATCGGGTAGTCCTTAACTTCTTTTTGGTAGCATCAAAGGTTTTATAATGGATAATAAAATCAGACACATCTATATCTCTCTGTATACAAATAACTATGTCAGAAAATCTTGTGTGTTTGGCTCAACTTCAAAGATGGATTTGATGATTAGATATAAGAGTTTTTTGTAACAGTCATTTTTCCAAATGCTAAAAGAATTGTCAGTTTTGGTTTAAGTTGATTTGTGTTCTGTATTTTTTTAGATCTGATAGCAATTTTTTTCATGAAATGACACAATATCCTAAATGAGAATAAAGACCAAAATGTTTGTGATTCACAAGATCTTCCTGATAGTGTATATTAAACATAGGATCATCAACATGCCAAGAATCGTCACACCACACCACAGCACAACAAAACCCACTGTCACACCAGGAGATTTGAAAAACAATAACACCCCAAAAAGCAATCATTTGTCATAATTTCGGATTTAAAAGTGATGATATCAGCAACGGCTCCTGGTGCGACAATATATAGACACACAGACAGATAGGTCATGACCCAACACATGCAGGTCAGGTGAGGTCAGGTCATGACCCAACACATGCAGGTCAGGTGAGGTCAGGTCATGTAGCGTGCATAAAACTGAAATAGGGGTGGGAGGAAGACTATTTCTCACCTTGGCTCTCATTAACTGGAAGATTAGCACAACAGTAAATATATTGTTGCTTAATTAGATGAGTTACGTCAGATTCAGCTCTTATCAGTACTGTTTCATGTACCAAATTGGATTTGATATTGACTTTGATTTTATCAGAAACAATTTTTGACAAGGCTAAATTTTGCAAATTACTTGAACTTTGTAAGTTGAACCTTACAACAAAATAATACATTTTTGGTAAATGTTTTACTAAAGCTGCTCTAACTTAATTAGCCGGAAACATGATTGTATCCCACATTAGGCAGCAACACTCAGCAATGTTCCAGCTATAATCTCTTACTTATATATGAAGGCAGCCTGTAAATAATTAAGTCTGGCAAAGACAATCCAGTGATCAATATTGTGAGCACCGATCCACACCCTTGGGGTACGATGACACACTATCAATTAAGTGTCAAGGTCTGACCACCTGGGCCCACTTGCACAAAGCAATCTTAGAGCTAGGACCATCGTAAGCCTATGTTAAAGTATGGGAGTTACGATCATCTTAGCACCAAGATCGCTTTGTGCAAATGTGCCCTGATCCAGTGGGTCACCTCTTAATTATGTTTGTTTGTTGTTTAACGCCGCACTCAGCAATATTCTAGCTCTATGATGGCGGTCTGTAAAACAGTCGAGTCTGGACCAGACAATCCAGTTATTGACATCATGAGATCGATCCACGCAATTGGGATCGATGACATGTATCAACCAAGTCAGCGATCCTGACCACCCGATCCCGTTAGTCGCTTTTTATGACAAGCATAGTCGCCTTTTACGGCAAGTATGGGTTGCTGAAGACCTATTCTACCCCTTACCTTCACGGGTCGTCACCTCTTATGACCAGCATAGGTTGCTTGGAGTCTTTTCTAACCTCGAATACCCACGAGGTCCATGAGGAAAGTATTTTATTGAAAGTTTGTGTATTGATATCCAAAGTTACCAGTATACATAAGAGGAACATGCAAAAGAGTATGATGTTCTATACAAGTTTTCAAGACACAGTTATTTTAATTGACTAAAATGTCTAAATGTTTTGAGTTTTTTTTGTTTCCTTGATGATGGAATGAATACCCTTGTCAAAAGTTTATATGTTGGATAATGTATTATGTCATGATATGCACAAATATAATCTTCTATGTAAATACACCTTCAATATATGCCAAAATAAATTTCTGATAATAAATAAGCACTGATAAGGTTGAATATGACATCAGGAATATTCATGTACATATCAATGACTGTTGTGTTGACTGAAGGTGAAGGTCAGTGTATACATATATCATGGTTAACATTTATACTAAGTTATCCTATAATAATTAGATCCACATCAAGTGCTTTTATGAGTTATCATGGTGTAATATTTATACTGTACATCATTTCATATAATTATAGTTTAGCAAGTAATACTTATCATCAGGTAAAATGTATATATAAAATATCAGTAGTTTCAGTTATAGCTTTTTAGATAGATGCTAGCCTAAGGTAATTGGACCGCATCTCCTAGACATACAAATCAATTAAACTATGTAGACGTAACTCTTGTTTTATTGAATAGTACGTCTAGGAGATGCGCTCTCGTTACCTTAGGCTAGCATCTATCTAAAAAGGTATAACTGAAACTAGTTAGACATATCTTTTGTCTGGGAGATGGGATCTTGATACCTTAGGCTAGCATTTATCTAAAAGCTTCAAATCAATTAAACTATGTAGACGTAACTCTTGTTTTATTGAATAGTATGTCTAGGAGATGCGGTCCCATTACCTTAGGCTAGCATCTATCTAAAAAGCTATAACTGAAACTAGTTAGACATATCTTTTGTCTGGGAGATGGGATCTTGATACCTTAGGCTAGCATTTATCTAAAAGCTTCAAATCAATTAAACTATGTAGACGTAACTCTTGTTAACAATAACAAACTACCTAAATGAACACCAAATTAAAAATCTTAAACAAAACTGCAAACAATCAAATATCTTCACCCCTAAACTTAAAATACCCAAAATAGACACAACACTAGCTAGCCAAATAAATAAACAAACCGACCCAAACATAGCTTAAACTACCACACTAGCATACATACACGAAAATTGGCCAAATTGGTGTCACATTTACACGGACGGATCCTCAGATCCGACCTCCAAACACACAGGTTTCGGAGTCCATACCACACAACCAACTAAAACCACACAATCCTTCCGTCTCCCAAACAACCAATCAATATTCATGGCAGAACTAATGGGCATGGCCTCAGCCCTCCATAATCAAGAATCCAAAAACCACAATAAAATCCTAATACTTACCGACTCCCTAAGTGGACTGCAATCCCTCCAAAACAAAAATACCCAAAACCGACCTAAATTAATAAATCAAAGCTCCAACGACCTAACTAAGGCAGGCAAACACATAATCTTCTTGTGGATACCTGCCCACGTAGGAATATACGGTAATGAAAACGCCGATAAAGCAGCTAAACTATCCCTCAAAATCCCAGAAATTAGCTTAAACTTACCCATCTCAAAATCAGAAATTAAAAGTGTAAACAAGCAAAAAATCACAAAAAAATGGCATAACCTATATCTAAACTCAAATAGCAAAATCAAAAAAGTGCTCAGCAAACCACTAACCAAACCAAAATTCTCCATCCATCAAAAAAAATCGACAGAGTAATCACTAAACTCCAAACAGGACACACCAACCTAAATAACCACCTAAAAAAAATAAAAAAACACACTACAGCTAACTGCCCACACTGCAAACAACCAGAAACCCCAGAACACGCACTCATCCACTGCACACACTACCTAACACATCGAACCGCATTACAAACCACCCTCAATCTAAACAAGGCTCTCACTCTAGAAGCAATACTAAACCCACAAAATAAACTAGAAAACTTCAAGGGCTTAGGCGTATTCTTAATAAAACGGAACTAATAAAACACATCTAAAAACACAATAACCTACCAAATCAAAATCACATAAACAAACAAACATCCACCATACCCAGCTCCCTTAGTTCTCCTCCCCAACCCCATCGGCATCTATTCCAAATCTCAAAATTCCCAAATTCTATATAAGCAACCCCTAAACCCCCCTCTTGGGTTGCACAGACCACTTTCGCCCCTTTCGGAAACACATTAAATGGCCTGGCCGGGCCCGTGTGCGAAATACTCATCAGTCGGAAAGCGCACGTTAAATCTCCAAAGTAAGTAAGTAAGTAACTCTTGTTTTATTGAATAGTATGTCTAGGAGATGCGGTCCCATTACCTTAGGCTAGCATCTATCTAAAAAGCTATAACTGAAACTACTGATATTTTATATATACATTTTACCTGATGATAAGTATTACTTGCTAAACTATAATTATATGAAATGATGTATAAATATTACACCATGATAACTCATAAAAGCACTTGATGTGGATCTAATTATTATAGAATAACTTAGTATAAATGTTAACCATGATACATATCTCACTGGTCCAAACCTTGTTACTATGGAAACCGCACTATCCAGATGACTGGTGAATAGTCTGGATATACAAGGCTGCACTGTAGGCTTTTGCAAATTGCAATTATTCCTCTTTGAAAAGCTGAAAATCTCATATTTCAGACCAAACTAACTGCTTGTTTTCCATAACTACCTGCTCTCACTGGACATTTAAAAAATAGAAAAATTCTGTAATTGGAAATAAGTTCCTCAAGTAAGCATCTATCTCAAAATGTATCAAGATTGACAATTTGCCTGTGAGAAGGAAAGCAAAATATGAATTCCATTTTTTATGGGTGTTATACATAAGAAAATACATAATAGGCATAATGCAGTAATAGGTTTAGTCCCTTTTTTAAGAAAAGATCTTTTAATTAACTTTCCCTTTAATCTTCAGGTAGTTTGTTAATAACAAAATATAAAACAATAAATCAACCAAATCTAGCCTTAAAAACTTGTAGAATTCTTAGTCTTTCTTTTTTGTTTTATTAACAAATGTCTTACATCCATTTATCGACTCGATAAAATTCGATAGGTCAAAATATTGAATTATCTTGTGCATGCTTGTAAGCAACACCCAACTATCAGTTTAGCTAGAACATAGAACACTGTATGACGCAGGGACTCCACAACACTGATATAGAGGTGACCATGCACACACATGCTTATGTCTTGTTACGAATACAATCTAGGACTGGTTAAAATTTGTAGAATGTTAAACTCTTTCCTGTCATTTTCTGATTTTCCAAAAGGGGTGAAATCAGAAATATATTTTTTTCTGTAAATCAAATATTAAACATGTCCTAATTTCATACCAGTACCTACACAGGTTAATTTCAATAAATGAAAAAGAAATCTTGATTCATAGATGGAATATCAGTCAACATTTTGTAAGCTAATCACTACTGGTAACCAGATGTGATGAAGATGCACAGAGGTATTTGTGAACAGTGGGCACCAATGGATGATACCAATACAAGTAGTTCTGTGTGCAATATACACTCCCGACAGCCATGTGCATAATACTGCTACAGGTGACAGCATCACTCTCACAGAGAACACACAAACCATGCACGTTTTAGAGGGGGTGCACATTCTCCATTTTTTCAGACCTTACTGTGCCCTTGGCCAAATCACGAAGTAATTTTGGTATAATGTGCACACACCATTGTTCACAATGATAGGAATAAAGACACTCTGTGGTTACACTTGACTGATTGTTAGTTTGTCATTAAGAGGTACAGAATCATTTCTTCTTAACGAACATACTTCTCTATATGTTTCTATGGTTTGTTTCTTTTGGCGGTGAGTATATAATACCAATAACTCCTGCAAATGGACAGTGCTAATCAGTGATATTCATCGGGGTGACAACACCGATCATCTCTTCTCTGTTTACCAGTAAGCATCACATAGCTTATCATCTACCTTCATCAGTCCTTCACAGGTTTGTATACACTGCATTCCTCCATCACATCCTCTATACATCCTTGTGCATATACATCTTATAGTTCACTGGTAGTCGTGGGGGCACGGGTGGCCCAGTCGTCTAAGGCGCCGCGATTCGCTGTGCAGAGTTGCGTCCCTTGGGCATGCCAGACACCTATGATCTTGGGTTCAAATCCCAGTTTGCCCTGATTATGTTTCTGGGTTTGTCAGCATCATACCCGTGCTCGTGGGTTTCACCGAAGTGGTAAACGTCTGAGACCTGCATCACTTCGGGCCTTCCTCCCACATTAAGCTGACACACCGTGATATGACTGGAATACTGTTAAAAGCGGCGTTAAACCCAACTCACTCACTCACTGGTAGTCGCCATTTTCAACCAACGAACCAAACAAAAGCCTGGTTCACTTGATAGGGATGACCAATGAACACTCAGCTTACATCACAGCAAGGGTTGGTTTGTTGTTTAACGCCGCACTCAGCAATATTTCAGCTATATGACAGTGGTCTGTAAATAATCGAGGCTGGACCAGACAATCCAGTGATTGATATCATGAGCATCGATCTGTGCAATTGGGATACAATGACATGCATTAACCAACTCAGCGAGCCTGACCACCCAGATCTTCACGGGTATCACAGCAAGGAGTAATTTTCATTGCTTAATGACGTGTGCAACATGTGCTATATCTGAGTGGCCGTCCGCTCTGTGCACTGCCGCAATGGTAGGATTCGCTCAATATTGATGTAAAGAATTTTGGACAAAGGATGTGTATGAGGTATAAAAGGTGTCATTTCACTAGCGACCTAAAAGTAGATATACGTCACTACCACACAGCACATCATTGTATGTATTCACATGTGATTGAAGAACGTAGTGATTACAAACCCGGGAAGTAATGACAGTGATCATCTACACTTGCAAGTTCACCCACATCACATCACTAGGCCTCTAGCTGCACTGTAATAAGTCTGTACTATGTTGGGGACTTACAGTCTTGGGTCTCTGCATCTTCTTATAGTCCAAGTTGTTGAGGAGGTTGTCCCCAACGGGTGTCGGGCTGCGGTTACCCGGCCACGTGATCTGGGGGGGCCACATACCCCCGGCTGATGTCCCCCGACTTCCAGGCACCACCGGCCGCCGACCTGTCACGCCTGCCGACATTGCCCGGGACCGTATCTTGGCAGCTGTAAATGTGGGGATAGATGTGTGGAATCTTGCAGCATCTGAATAAATACTAAGTCAGGACTGGCAAAGTAAATCACAGCATCATTACATCACTTTAACTGGACTGATAAGGATTTTGACCATGTGCAATGATGATAGTAAAATTCTTGGATATTACCGTATTCTACATAATAAGCGCCCAGTGCACTATCAAAATTAGAAATAGGGGGCTCTTATTAGAATATTATTTTGGTGAAATAAAAACAGAGTTGAAAGATCGTTAATTTCGTGGTTATGCTGACAGCCTGAAATGTTTATATACAACAGATATATTTTTCCAGAGTTTAATTGCCCATAATTAAGGGTGCATATAACACATGATCGAGTGCATATTATACACAAATAAATTTAAGTCTTGTGTACATTGATCAATCGAAAAGGGTGCTAATTGGGATTGTTGACTTGCCAATATATTAGCAAATATTGCCGTGGGTGCTTATTAGAGTGGGGCGCTTATCACGTCAAATACGGTATGTGAAATTGAAGATGGCTGTGTTCATGCCTTGGACCCCAAAAATTATTACTGAGAGTTTTCTGGACAGGAAGTGGAGAGAGCAGGACAATTCCTGATTTATATATGTCTTTCCATGATAAAATGATTCACAAAAGGAGAATATTAATTTTAATCCAGAATCCCAGAATCTGTTCATCAATTGCTCAACCCTTGGGAATGAGAGAATGACGAAGCTTGATTCAAACAGTGCTTTGAATAGGTTTTCAGTTATACAGCTGAGTGACAGCTGATTGTGGACATTTTCCACGGGTATAATGCAGGCAAACCAAGGCAGATTCTTGCATTTAATGAAGAATTATTGGATTCTGATATGGTAAAGGGAAGCAGCTTGGAACAACTGGGCCAACCATGCCCAAAACAAAGTCACAGAGCATGACAACCCGATCTAATTGGTTGCCTATTATGACCAACATAGGTAGATTGGGACCTATTTAAACCAGAATCCCCATGTGTTAATAAAAAAAGAGGAAATGTTGAGAGTTTTGACCTCTTCAAACCTGCAATCTCCATGGGTTAATACCAAAAGAGGAAACGTTGAGAGTTTTGACCTATTCTAACCCAGAATCCTCACATGTTAATACCAAAAGAGGAAATGTTGAGAGTTTTGACCTATTCTAACCTGGAATCTCCATGGGTTAATACCAAAAGAGGAAATGTTGAGAGTTTTGACCTATTCTAACCTGGAATCTCCATGGGTTAATATCAAAAGAGGAAATGTTGAGAGTTTTGACCTATTCTAACCCAGAATCCTCACATGTTAATACCAAAAGAGGAAATGTTGAGAGTTTTGACCTATTCTAAACCAGAATTCTCATGGGTTAATACCAAAAGAGGAAATGTTGAGAGTTTGGGCCTATTCTAACCCAGAATTCTCATGGGTTAATACTAAAAGAGGAAATGTTGAGAGTTTGGGCCTATTCTAACCCAGAATCCCCATGGGTTAATACCAAAAGAGGAAATTTGAGAGTTTTGACCTATTCTAACCCAGAATACCCACAGATTAATACTAAAACAGGAAATATTGAGAGTTTTAGTGTAAGATAGGAAGACCTTGAGTGCTGGGTAGCTCTACCCTGAGTAGTAGTGTCAGTTACATACATGGAACTGGCGGCTGAAGAGCAGCGGAGGACTGGGAACGATTCACAACGGTCTCGTAGTCATACACCTGCAAACAGAATACATACATTAACATAGTCAACAAAATATAGTTCCAACACAAACAATATCCTAGTGCATCACAATTCTCGAATGGATACACAGTCTAACGTTGACAAGCTACAAACCTGATCTATAACAGTTCTACAATCATTCTATAACTTTATTCTTCCCACCATTCCAATGCAGTAGTGACACATATTTTGGCGTGTATATACTCAAACACAAAAGCATCAATGAGTGAGCATGTTTTTATGTATAATATTGTGAACTTTTAGAGGTAAGGTGAAATGTTGTTTAATGTTGCGTTTAAGATTATTGCACTTTTATAGCAACATGCATGCATGCATACATGGCATCGTGAGTGTGTAGCTGCTTGTAATTGTCAGCTAATGCCAGCTTTATAGTGCCTGCTTCAACAGCGTTAGAAATTGGCATTAGTCCTATAAGTCCTTGCCAAAATGCCCAATAGTTAAGTGATCCTAAGGACTAGGAGAACTTTGCCTTATGTAGGTTTTTTTCTATATGTTATCATAATAAGGACTGGTGGACTAAAACTGATAGTTTCTATGGCTGTACTGATCATGAGACACCATGCCATTGTTTGACATGGATACTCCACATATACACATTATACTGACTCTGAGCTGACCAGTCCTTGTTTTATGCCGTTAATATCAACAAATACTAACTCTCAACGTCTTTTGATATAATGAAGTCGGGGATAGAGCCTAGGTTTAGTTCTCTGGGCAAAATGCTCTATCCGTGAGACTACACAGGTGGTCTGTCAATTTCTATAAGCACATAACTAAAAAAATATCTTTTTTTTTAAATTTGAAGAGTGCTCAGTGAATTTTGACTTTGATGTGTCAGTAATTATTCAGCAGACTTCCCTATCACAGAATAAAAGTATCAACAGTAACCTTTGTTAAATCAACGAAACATGCTGAGTTGATAGTTTCTTAAACTGTAAACTGACCGTAGCCTGCAGTTCATCAACACGCTGGAAGGCATCCAGCTTGAGGTTCCTCTCGTGGGTCAGCTGTTTCTTGATGCAGGTCACATCCTTCCGGACCTTCTCCTGGGTCATGCTCTGGAGGCGGACATTCCGTTCCTGCTCGTCCGACAGAATCCGAAGTCGCACCTCCTTATCCTCCAGCTCATCAAGCTGACAGAGAAACAACATACAGTTGAGAGTTGTTGAGAGTTTTGACCTATCCTAACCCAGAATTCTCATGGGTGAATACCAAAAGAGGAAATGTTGAGAGTTTTAGTGTAAGATAGGAAGACCTTGAGTGATGGTAGCTCTACCCTGAGTAGTAGTGTCAAAATATAGTTCCAACACAAACAATATCTTAGTGCATCACAATTCTCGAATGGTATATGTGTTCCTGGCTATTAAACCCAGATCATTCTTGTGACAAGCTACTAGTTACCTAATCACAAGAGGAGAATAGGACAAGGTCAGCTATTTATCTTTTTACATAAAATGAAACATATGAAGTAAAATCATGTATAATATTTCTGATTGAAATGCTTATTTTTTTAGTTTTTCACTCACTATTTATGGTAGCATTACAGTTTGTCTGTTTGATGTATAACGTCACACTCAGCAATATTCCAAGAACATGACTGGTTGGTAGATAACTGAGTCTGGACCAGACAATCCATGTTTGTGGGTGTACATAACTGAATTTATTTATGACATGTTTTCAAATCAATGGCTGATGCAATGTTAAGATGTTAACTCTTGTTAACTCATCAACAAGAGATATGTACTGCAAAGATTGAACAAGTCCAGAGACTACATTGAATGATTAGACCACACATATTTTGATATCGTCAGTGCAAGTCAGCAAGCATCTACTGACCAGTTTCTCTATGTTGGCTTGCTTGGCCTGCTCCAGCTGTCTCTTGCTGCGTTCCTTCTGCATGATCTCATGCTGCTTCTCCAGCTTCATCTTCAGCTGCAGCAACAACCACAGATACACATGGGGTGCAGACACACACACATACATTGGGTGCAGACACATACACGGGGTGCAGACACACACACATACATTGGGTGCAGACACACACACATGGGGTACACACACACACACACAAAAGGGGTGCAGATGCACACACACACATGGGGTGCAGACACACACACACATGGGTCCAGATGCACACACAAACATGGGGTGCAGACACACACAAACATGGGGTACAGACACACACACATGGGGTGCAGATGCACACACACATACATTGGGTGCAGACACACACACATGGGGTGCAGACACACACACATGGGGTACACACACAAATGGGGTGCAGATGCACACACACAAACATGTGTTGCAGACACAAACATTGGGTGCAGACACACACAAACATGGGGTGCAGACACACAAACATGGGGTGCAGACACACAAACATGGGGTGCAGACACACACAAACATGTGGTGCAGACACAAACATGGGGTGCAGACACACAGATATGGGGGTACAGACACACACACACATGGTCAGACACACACATACATGGACAGGTGGGGTGAAATGGAGTTTAACGCTGCGTCCAAGATAATTGCATTTGTATTAAGACGTGTATGCACATGTGTGTGGCCGCTTCAGCTAGTCTGGACCATGCCACAGTGTAACATGAAAACTCCCTCAGACACACCTCCTTCTTAGGGCTTTAAGATTCGTTCGGGTTGTTACAAATACAGACCTCAAAATTTTAATTACTTTTAATAAAGCGTAACAGCGCTAAGTTTACATTTTCACACTTTAATTCTCGGCAATCATATTGTACATCATACTGGCTACATAATGATGTAAAAACTCCATCACTATTTTTCATGATACGTGCATTTAAAGTTTAGAAAAAGAAGCAATCCTGCATCTCCACAGACAGGAAACAGGACAAAGCAACAAGAAACGACCTTCACCTTGAGCACCTACAGTACTAACTGCTGACTAGTGTTTCCCTCCCTGCCTACCTCCTTGTCCAGCTGCTTCTACAGTACTAACTGCTGACTGGTGTTTCCCTCCCTGCCTACCTCCTTGTCCAGCTGCTTCTACAGTACTAACTGCTGACTGGTGTTTCCCTCCCTGCCTACCTCCTTGTCCAGCTGTTTCTACAGTACTAACTGCTGACTGGTGTTTCCCCCCCTGCCTACCTCCTTGTCCAGCTGTTTCTACAGTACTAACTGCTGACTGGTGTTTCCCCCCTGCCTACCTCCTTGTCCAGCTGTTTCTACAGTACTAACTGCTGACTGGTGTTTCCCTCCCTGCCTACCTCCTTGTCCAGCTGTTTCTACAGTACTAACTGCTGACTGGTGTTTCCCTCCCTGCCTACCTCCTTGTCCAGCTGTTTCTACAGTACTAACTGCTGACTGGTGTTTCCCTCCCTGCCTACCTCCTTGTCCAGCTGTTTCTACAGTACTAACTGCTGACTGGTGTTTCCCTCCCTGCCTACCTCCTTGTCCAGCTGTTTCTACAGTACTAACTGCTGACTGGTGTTTCCCCCCTGCCTACCTCCTTGTCCAGCTGTTTCTACAGTACTAACTGCTGACTGGTGTTTCCCTCCCTGCCTACCTCCTTGTCCAGCTGTTTCTACAGTACTAACTGCTGACTGGTGTTTCCCTCCCTGCCTACCTCCTTGTCCAGCTGTTTCTACAGTACTAACTGCTGACTGGTGTTTCCCCCCTGCCTACCTCCTTGTCCAGCTGTTTCTACAGTACTAACTGCTGACTGGTGTTTCCCTCCCTGCCTACCTCCTTGTCCAGCTGTTTCTACAGTACTAACTGCTGACTGGTGTTTCCCTCCCTGCCTACCTCCTTGTCCAGCTGTTTCTACAGTACTAACTGCTGACTGGTGTTTCCCCCCTGCCTACCTCCTTGTCCAGCTGTTTCTACAGTACTAACTGCTGACTGGTGTTTCCCTCCCTGCCTACCTCCTTGTCCAGCTGTTTCTACAGTACTAACTGCTGACTGGTGTTTCCCTCCCTGCCTACCTCCTTGTCCAGCTGTTTCTACAGTACTAACTGCTGACTGGTGTTTCCCCCCTGCCTACCTCCTTGTCCAGCTGTTTCTACAGTACTAACTGCTGACTGGTGTTTCCCTCCCTGCCTACCTCCTTGTCCAGCTGTTTCTACAGTACTAACTGCTGACTGGTGTTTCCCTCCCTGCCTACCTCCTTGTCCAGCTGTTTCTACAGTACTAACTGCTGACTGGTGTTTCCCCCCTGCCTACCTCCTTGTCCAGCTGTTTCTACAGTACTAACTGCTGACTGGTGTTTCCCTCCCTGCCTACCTCCTTGTCCAGCTGTTTCTACAGTACTAACTGCTGACTGGTGTTTCCCTCCCTGCCTACCTCCTTGTCCAGCTGTTTCTACAGTACTAACTGCTGACTGGTGTTTCCCTCCCTGCCTACCTCCTTGTCCAGCTGTTTCTACAGTACTAACTGCTGACTGGTGTTTCCCCCCTGCCTACCTCCTTGTCCAGCTGTTTCTACAGTACTAACTGCTGACTGGTGTTTCCCCCCCTGCCTACCTCCTTGTCCAGCTGTTTCTACAGTACTAACTGCTGACTGGTGTTTCCCCCCTGCCTACCTCCTTGTCCAGCTGTTTCTACAGTACTAACTGCTGACTGGTGTTTCCTTCCCTGCCTACCTCCTTGTCCAGCTGTTTCTACAGTACTAACTGCTGACTGGTGTTTCCCCCCTGCCTACCTCCTTGTCCAACTGTTTCTACAGTACTAACTGCTGACTGGTGTTTCCCCCCCTGCCTACCTCCTTGTCCAGCTGTTTCTACAGTACTAACTGCTGACTGGTGTTTCCCTCCCTGCCTACCTCCTTGTCCAGCTGTTTCTACAGTACTAACTGCTGACTGGTGTTTCCCTCCCTGCCTACCTCCTTGTCCAGCTGTTTCTACAGTACTAACTGCTGACTGGTGTTTCCCTCCCTGCCTACCTCCTTGTCCAGCTGTTTCTACAGTACTAACTGCTGACTGGTGTTTCCCTCCCTGCCTACCTCCTTGTCCAGCTGCTTCTTGATGTCCTCTCCCTCCCTCTCTGTATCAGCCAGCGCCTTCTTGACGGCCATCAGCTGTTGCCGCAGCAGAATCACCTCTTCCTCCGCCATCATCTTCACCTCGATGTACTCCTTCTTGCTGTTGTCGGCATGGTTACGCAGACGACCAATCTGTCAAATTTCAGGGTTGAATTTAATATAGAAAGCCTACAGGCCTGAATAAAGGCATTCTTCAGAAAAAATCTCTATCAGATGCCTAGAGGACTGTTGCCATAGAACAAATATGGGTACATCCATGTAAAATTGAGCTGACATGATGAATCTAGTTCAACCGTACTTTTCACTTTGCACTCGGACAGGATTACTCAAATGGATATGATGTGGTCTCAAATTATTAGGTTATGGTCCCAAATGGTTACAATGTAGTTTCAAATGGCTACAATGTTGTCTCAAATGGCACAATGTGGTCTTAAATGGCTTTGATGCGGACTCAAATGGCTATATTGTGGTCTCAAATTGCTATAATGTGGTCACAAATGGCTACAATGTTGTCTCAAATGGCACAATGTGGTCTTAAATGGCTTTGATGCGGACTCAAATGGCTATATTGTGGTCTCAAATTGCTATAATGTGTTCTTAAATGGCTATGATGTGGTCTCAAATGGCTGCGTTGTGGTTCAAAATGGTTACGAAGTGGTCTCAAATGGCTATGATGTGGTCTCAAATGGCTACGTTATGGTTCCAAATGGTTATGATGTAGTCTCAAACGGCTGTGTTGTGGTCCAAAATGGTTACGAAGTGGTCTTAAATGGCTATGATGTGGTCTCAAACGGCTGCGTTGTGGTCCAAAATGGTTACGAAGTGGTCTTAAATGGCTATGATGTGGTCTCAAATGACATAATGTGGTCTCAAATGGCTATGATGTGGTCTCAGAAGGCTACCTTAGGGTCCCAAATGGTTACGATGTAGTATCAAATAAATATGAAGTAGTCTCAAATGGCTAAGAAGTGTTCTCGAATGGCTACAATGTGGCCCCAAATGGCTATGGTGTGGATGTCTACTCACAGTTTTGAGGAAGTTGTTGGTGGAGTGGTTCTGTCTCCAGCTAGTCATGGTCTTCATCTTCAGCACCAGGTTGTTGAGGGTGTGGTTCTCGTGCTGCAGACTACGCAGCTTCTCCGACTGACTCAGGTTCTCATTCATACGCTCATCATCTGACACAAAAACACAGATAACCTGTCAGTGCAAACAAACCTTTTTTCCTAACAGCCAGATATGCTGTTAAATATCGAGTTAACCCTTTCAGAAGGCAAAAGCCTTTGTTAAAAAGCACTGCTACAACAGTAAAACCGCAGGAATCCAATATTATGATTAAAATATTCATTTAGTAAATTATTATCAAACTATCTGTGAGTTTTTTGCATTAGAATAGGTTCCCAGCAACCTATGCTTGTTGTAAGAGGTGACTGCACGGATCAGTGGTTGGGCTCTGCATGAGACTTGGTTGATTTAACATCATTGTACCCTGACAGCAGTGTAGTCATATATGGAGTGGGATGTGGGAGTAAACAAGACAATGTTCCTTTTTCATCACAACTTCAGCTTCCTGTGGCAAAAAAGTATGTGAGCACTTAGATCGCTTTGTGGAACTGGACTCAGACCTATAGGCCAAGCTGCCCCAACTTCTAACTGTGAAGATCCGGGGTATAATAGGTCTTCAGCAACCCATGCTTGTCGTAAAAGGCAACTAACGGGATCAATGGTCAGGCTCTCTGACTTGGTTGATGCATGTCATCAAATCCCAACTGTGTGGATTGATGCTCATAATGTCAATCACTGGATTGTCTGGTCCACACTCGATTATTTACAGACCGCCGTCATATAGCTGGAATATTGCTGAGTGCGGCGTTACACAACAAACAAACAAAACAAATCAAAACTCTCCTCCATGAAGGCCTTACCTCCTCCTCCACCACCGACTTTCTTCTCCAGTTTGCTGATGGCCTCCACGGCCTCCCGCCTGGTCTGGCTGATCTTCTCAAACACATCGTCGTACAACACATCTCTGCAAACACAAACATGTTTAAAAAATAATCTCTCAAGGAACTATTTTCTAATTCAGACTAATCAAATGTACGTACCTCTCTGTCTGAAAATGTCAGGACACCTCCATTGGAGGTCGTCAGGGGAACATTCTGATCAGCCAATCAGTGTCGAGGCGTCTAAGTTATCTGTATGAGTTAGTGACACTACAAAAACCTTTAGAGAGAACATTACAAACATTTCAGGTCAACTTACTTGAACTCGTCAAACTTGCCCCGCAGTTGGAAGGTGCAGTTGAAGAGATTCTGTACCAAGTCCTCGTACTCAGACCTGATCCGGTCCCGAACATCTCGCTCCTGTGTCATCAGCATCTCTCGCATCTCCGCTATCTTCGCTCGCAGTGCTGTAATCTCTGTAATAATAGAGGGCGGGGATCACTATCAGTTGAAAAGTGCCTGTCTAACATTATACATCTTTGAGATGTGTTTACAGACTGTATCAAAGTGGGCAAGTGCATGAATAGTACTTTTTTTCATGTTCGGCAACATTACAATTGATCACTATTGTCCATAAAACTTTAAATAACTCTCTTAGTCGATTTCAATCATGTTTTATGACCAAAATGTACTGCCACAAATACTATTACCTCTACTCTGTATTTTGTATCCTCAAATTTTACACATCATGATTTCAAACGAATACTGACAATGATTGAGAAAGAATTACTTTTCAGGTAATATTACATTGTGTCAAATCAAATCAGCCGAGGATATCCAGAGGTGGTTATTGTTAATTCAAACTTCTGACTGACCACTCAGAATGGACTATGTTCCAAAGTTATGGTAGAAGTTAATAAATCACTGCTTGCACAGGACTGATGTATAATTTTCTGATAAGATATGACAGTTATTACCCATGAGCAGGTCATGTGCCTGTGTGGCCAGCTGACACTGGACGTCCACGCTGGCCGTGTGCTGTGACCCCTTCAACTGCTCACGCATCTGCTTGATTTCCTGAAAGCAAGTCATATATCAATGAGATCTGCGGCTTTGTTAATGTCTTAGGTTCATATTGCTTTAAACTTTATCAAAACAAAGAAATACAGATTTGCAGAAAAGTCACCTTCTGGTGAAAACAATTGAATAAAGTCACGAAGATTACCATGATTCAAAGTTCTCTTACAATATCAACTTATCAGATTGCGACACATGGTGTCATTCATGGTATTAGTGCATCGTTTCTGACTTTGTAGTCCACACAACCAGTATCCCTCCGCCACCTCAGACTGACATCCATTCTCACACATCACCGTCAAGGATCCCTCACCCTCTCTCAGCAGCATGCCCACTCTCCCTCTAGATGGTACATCAATGGAAGACCCATCTTCACCTCATCCGCCTAACCACCACAAGACTCCAAATATAATACCTGTTCTCTCTGGTACAGCAACAGACCACCCACCTCTTTAAAATACCATCCTGTTGTCTCTGGTACAGCAGACCACCCACCCCTCTACAGCACCCACCTGTTCTCTCTGGTACAGCAGACCACCCACCCCTCTACAGCACCCACCTGTTCTCTCTGGTACAACAGACCACCCACCCCTCTACAGCACCCACCTGTTCTCTCTGGTACAGCAGACCACCCACCCCTCTACAGCACCCACCTGTTCTCTCTGGTACAGCAGACCACCCACCCCTCTACAGCACCCACCTGTTCTCTCTGGTACAGCAGACCACCCACCCCTCTACAGCACCCACCTGTTCTCTCTGGTACAGCAGACCACCCACCCCTCTGCAGCACCCACCTGTTCTCTCTGGTACAACAGACCACCCACCCCTCTACAGCACCCACCTGTTCTCTCTGGTACAGCAGACCACCCACCCCTCTACAGCACACACCTGTTCTCTCTGGTACAACAGACCACCCACCCCTCTACAGCACCCACCTGTTCTCTCTGGTACAGCAGACCACCCACCCCTCTACAGCACCCACCTGTTCTCTCTGGTACAACAGACCACCCACCCCTCTACAGCACACACCTGTTCTCTCTGGTACAACAGACCTTCCACCCCTCTACAGCACCCACCTGTTCTCTCTGGTACAGCAGACCACCCACCCCTCTACAGCACCCACCTGTTCTCTTTGGTACAGCAGACCACCCACCCCTCTACAGCACCCACCTGTTCTCTCTGGTACAGCAGACCACCCACCCCTCTACAGCACCCACCTGTTCTCTCTGGTACAGCAGACCACCCACCCCTCTACAACACCCACCTGTTCTCTCTGGTACAGCAGACCACCCACCCCTCTACAGCACCCACCTGTTCTCTCTGGTACAGCAGACCACCCACCCCTCTACAGCACCCACCTGTTCTCTCTGGTACAACAGACCACCCACCCCTCTACAGCACCCACCTGTTCTCTCTGGTACAGCAGACCACCCACCCCTCTACAGCACCCACCTGTTCTCTCTGGTACAACAGACCACCCACCCCTCTACAGCACCCACCTGTTCTCTCTGGTACAGCAGACCACCCACCCCTCTACAGCACACACCTGTTCTCTCTGGTACAACAGACCACCCACCCCTCTACAGCACCCACCTGTTCTCTCTGGTACAACAGACCACCCACCCCTCTACAGCACCCACCTGTTCTCTCTGGTACAGCAGACCACCCACCCCTCTACAGCACCCACCTGTTCTCTTTTGTACAGCAGACCACCCACCCCTCTACAGCACCCACCTGTTCTCTCTGGTACAACAGACCACCCATCCCTCTACAGCACCCACCTGTTCTCTCTGGTACAACAGACCACCCACCCCTCTACAGCACCCACCTGTTCTCTCTGGTACAGCAGCTGGTGGTTGACTCGGAGCAGGTTCTCATAGTACATGCTGTAGCTGCAACCCAACACAGACGTACAAGGGAGATGTTTAAAACACAGTACAGGTGAAAAAGATTCATGTATAGGATACATACACATATTTCAAAGTATGTTTGAACAAGATAGCCTTCCAGTTTACAGTTTACCATTCAGCGATTCACTTCCATGTTTGGTCCACCAAACAGTATTTGTTACTCTCCATAAAAAATACCAAACTAATACCAGTATAATCATTTGGACAATAAACTACACAGGTATATATCTTTAAGTATTTTTATTATTTCCAAGTATCTATAAAATGGTATTGAGTTTGTAAGGTTTGAGTTTGTTTTATCGTCATAATTTATTTCATTCAATTTTCCTTGATAACTGGAGGTGAGGTGAGGTGAAATTGAGTTTAATGTCGCGTCCAAGGTTATTGCACTTATATAGCGACATGCATGCACGCGTGTGTGGCTGCTTGTACTAGTCTGACTGATGCCGATTTATAGTGATGGAACACTGAGATACCATGTCGCAGTTTAACATGAATACCCCACTCAGACACAGTATACTGACTCCGAGCCGACCAGTCCTTGTTTTTAGCCCCTTAATGCCAAGCGCCAGACAGGGTAACAAGTACCATCTTTTAACGTCTTTTGGTATGACGCGGCTGGGGATCGAACCCCGGACCTTCCGCTCTCCAAGCGGACGCTCTACTACTAGACCACGGAGGCGGTCTTTGATAACTGGAGTCATGGTAGATAAACTGTTTAATCAGCCAATCAGCACCAAGGCTTCTAAATTCTTTATACGAGTGAGCAAAGCATTCAGACAAGCATATCTGATTTTTGTATCTCAAAAACACTTCTGTGGCTTCATCTTGTGGATGTTGCACACCCAGTCATTTCTGAACACAAATGGCTTCACAAATTATTCGTATTCATTGAGCATGTTCTCAGTACACCCTGTTTTTAAAAGAAGCTGTATCCATGCTCCTATCCACACCATAACCTTTTGCCTACCTCTCAAAGGCCAACTTCTCCCGGCCCATCACTCCCCTGGCGAGGCTTGCTAGACTGGAGTACAGGTGAGACCTGTTGAAGGTGATCTCTTCCCCAGACTCCCAGCAGTCGGTCATCAGCTCTTCCACAAAGTTCTCCACAACGTGCGGCCGTGTGATGGTGTAACTCTCCTTCATCACCTTCAACACAGAAAAGGGAGTCAGTTTGTTTGTTTGTTTGTTGTTTAGTGCTGCACTCAGCAGTATTCCAGCTATATGATGGAGGTCTGTAAATAATCAAGTCTGGACCATGCAATCCAGGGATTGACACCATGAGCATCGATCCACGCAATTGGATCAAAGTCAGCGATATAGATATATTACAGCAATATCCTGTTTGTTTGTTTGTTTGTTTGTTGTTTAACGCCAGACAATCCAGTGATTGATATCATGAGCATTAATCTACGCAATTGGAAAACAATGACATGCATCAACCAAGTCAGCAATCCTGACGACCCGATCCTGTTAGTCACCTCTTATGACAAGCATGGGTTGCTGAAGACCAATTCTAACACAGAATCTTCAAGGGACCCAAAATAGTGATGGCATACACCCCCCTAAATGTTTAAAATTCTATCAGCCGTCAGGACACCTTTAACAATCGTGAAACTGGCCCGGTATAGCAGGCTATGCTAATACTCCCCTACACTGTCCACTACTCTAGTCCTACTGATACTGCCACTCACGAGTGAAAGAGTCAGATTTAGCCCAGATTGAACAGTGTTTCTGTTCTTTAACCTAGCTTCATGTAGTGACTTTAATGATGTGGGAAGCCTGAAGTGAAATTCATGAGAACAAGTATGGAGTTGACTGACTATGATAATTATTTGATGAATCTGGTATATCTGAATCTCTCTCTCACTATATAAATTATGCTATGATTGTCTTTGTTTGTTGTTGAAAGCTGCACTGAGCAATATTCCAGCTATATGACTGCGGTCTTTTTCATACTTTTTTTTAAAAAGCCAACAGTTTATTGGCGCTGCTTGGTGATTAGCAACGGACAAATGGAGGCAAGCTGGCAGGATAATTAATCCCCTTGACTTGGGGATAATAGATGGTGGAACAGATTAATTAAATCAATCACGTCTCAAGGACTAGGCAGATATCTTCCCCGGAATGTTGTGTGTCTCATAATAACAAAGTTGACATCCATAATTCTCTCTGAAGTTTAAAACTATATTGCCCAATGATACCACCTACCGGCTTCTTCCACAGGTCAGTGGACAGAGCACCCTCTTCCCGAGATCTCTCTGACAGAGCAAGGGTCGATTCCTTCGCAACTCGTTTGCGAACCTCGTTGATCATGTGACATTCAAGGTTCTCAAACAGACGCACAAGCTGGAAAACACAAAGTCACAAAAGTTACAAAATGATCTGAATTGATTACAAGACAAGAGTGGACAGGCAAGAATGAGTGGTTGTCACCGGGGTTAACATCAAGACCATTGATCATGTTGCTACATGTCGAAAACAAATTAGTCATTATTTTAAAACATATACTTTCTTAATTCTATGACATGGCTATAATTAGGGACCAACCATTTGATAATCAAGGATGGAGGGAGGCCTTGGACTATGTATGGAGACTAGATATTTATTCAACTACAGATGCAAAACCAGGCATTTTTAAAAAAAACAAACCTTTTAACAAAATAACTTTTGTGGCAGACAATTTCTATTTTTTTCAACAGTCAGAAGCATAAAAATAATTTTCAAGGGACATTTCATCTATTAAATAAAATATCCAGCCACCCCCCCCCCCCCGAATATCAAATGGTTGGTTCCTTATTTGACACCCATTTCATTTGGATGTTTGTATCACATGATGACACAGGATGTTACCTATAAAATCTCTTGACCACTTGAAACATATCTCTTAAGTAGGGCTGGGACGAGTCCAGATTTACTACCAGGTACCCACACCCCTATTACCCGACTCTACCCGGGTACCCACTGTAGGTCTCAAGAGATAGGTCCAAAGGACTGGGAATAGTTTGACCGTAGCCCTGGCAAAATGTATTTAGATACACGATTAAAAACGATCTGGTCATGCATAAACTGAAGTTTAATCAAACATATAAAGTCAGAAGGAATGCAAACATTAGTCACTTATAGTGTAACCATAGAGTTCTAGATACTTTCTGTCATTAAAAAATATATCGCATGATTAACCACGGGTCTGGGTAGTCCTGTGGGCACCTGGGTCCTACTCAGTACCCACCCGACCCGAGTCCCCGAGTTACCTGTCTCAGCCCTACTCCTAAGCACTGTTTTCAACTAGAAGGAAGGAAAATGCTTCTATAATCTAGTTTCTATAGCAGATATCAGCAACTCTAAGAATTCATATAAAATATTCTATGTCAGAATTTGGCAGCTCACAAGTGCTGTAAACCACAGTAAATACATGTATTAACTTCAAAATTATGAAACGGATTTGAAATAGTCCAGTAACCCCCTGGTTCCCAGCTCACCTGTTTAGCTCGGACTTCAATCTCTGAGGCCCCTTTAGGCATGACGAGGATGTCCGTATCTAGCACCAGCCCCTCATACAAGTCGCCCTGACCCAGACGTCGAGCCACGCTCTGCAGCACCGGCAGCAACACCTCCATACGGTACAGTTTGCTGGGGAGAAACCATTCCTGTCAGTAATTCATCATGATGTGGCTCCATGCTCTTATTTTCACAAACAAAAAGTAATGACACACTCACCAGTATTTCAGTTGTATGCTGGCAGTCAGATGTCAGCCAAACCAGTGGCTGATAGCATGACCAACATTCTGTGCCATCTGGGTGCAATGACACACTCTCAGCAAGATCACAGAGCCTGCATACAGTCAAGTCCCGTTAATCCGACATTGTTGGTTGCATATGATTGTGTCGGATTAACGAGTCTGTTGGATTAACAAATTTGTGATTTGTGGTTGAAAATCGGCCATCTTCATGATAGCTAACAACCATGTGTTAAGTTAATCTCTGCAGCCAGTGTGGGTCTAAACACGGGGCTGTGTACTCGCGGGCAGATGACCACGGAGTACGCTGATCACTGTGTCGGATTAACAAGACTGATTAATGAGTGATGTCGGTAATTTGTTGCAAATTAGGTGTGTCGGAGTGCGAGGATGTCGGATTAACAGGTCTAAATAGCACTGAATTAATCAGTTCCCATCATTTGTGTCGGGTAAAGCCAATTGTCAGATTAACGAGTGTCAGATTAATGGGACTTGACTGTATATAGCTGATCCCCATTTTAATTGGCTCTTACACACCTTCCCGAGGCAAGGGAGTTAACTGATACATAGGTCCAGTTTCCACCCTTGCCAAAAAGGCTTGAATTATGGAGTTACATTTTGGCTGGACTAACGAGTCTTTGCATTGTCCAATCAAAATCTTGTAATGAAATGAACATCCAGTTCGTAAACTGCCGTGCAGATTTCAGTAAATTGCAGGATTTGTTTACAAATTACTCAAATTAAGTAGACATGACAAATTATTCTATGCTTTCACTCAGATAGTCAAGGCATTTAGTCTGATTTCTAGGACTTTCAAAGTTGAATAAGCAATAACAGTTTTCAGGGTATTTAAGAATGTCTTCTGGTCTGTTACAGAGTATTTAACTTTTGCTTTTAGAGGACTGAATCTAACTTCCCATTTGAAAAAAAGGAAGCATGCATTACATTGAGTTTTCAGCACTTATTATTGGCCTCACTAACTTCACACTTTACAATAGAGGAAACCACTCACCATGTTAACACTTTTGCAAAGAGGTATATTCAGTAACACTTAACTTTGTAAAATAGTTTACCCACAAACAGATTAAATGTTCATCTGTAAGAAAACATCACAATTTCCATCAATATCGAGCAAATGGATAAAAAGATGCACATTTACATAATTCCCTCAGTTTCTAATACGCAACAGTCCAATGATGACCTCCTATGAGGTCACGTAACAAGGTTTCAAGGCAGCGATGACATAGCTACTCTCATTCACTTCTACCATAAGAAATAAGCAACCTGTCATAAAATGTATCTTAATTCATTTTTCATTTGATATTTAACTCTTTTGACTATTTGACTTTTAGTCCAGGATTGTTGGATAGATTGATGTTAACATATTACATATAAGTTAGTTGTTGAAGGACACCTGATACATGGCAGTTCAAGGTGAGCAGTGAACATAAAATCATACCAGCAGACATGTTTAAGGTATTTTCAAGACAAACATCGCAATTCCAGGCCCTTTCCAGATTAACATCTCAATCCCAGGCCATATCAAGACAAACATCTCAATCCCAGGCCATATCAAGACAAACATCTCAATTCCAGGCCATATCAAGACAAACGTCTCAATTCCAGGCCATATCAAGACAAACATCTCAATTCCAGGCCATATCAAGACAAACATCTCAATTCCAGGCCATATCAAGACAAACATCTCAATTCCAGGCCATATCAAGACAAACATGTCAATCCCAGGCCATATCAAGACAAACATGTCAATCCCAGGCCATATCAAGACAAACATGTCAATCCCAGGCCATATCAAGACAAACATGTCATATCAAGACAAACATCTCAATTCCAGGCCATATTAAGACAAACATCTCAATCCCAGGCCATATCAAGACAAACATCTCAATCCCAGGCCATATCAAGACAAACATCTCAATTCCAGGCCATATCAAGACAAACATCTCAATCCCAGGCCATATCAAGACAAACATCTCAATTCCAGGCCATATCAAGACAAACATGTCAATTCCAGGCCATATCAAGACAAACATCTCAATTCCAGGCCATATCAAGACAAACATGTCAATTCCAGGCCATATCAAGACAAACATGTCAATTCCAGGCCATATCAAGACAAACATGTCAATTCCAGACCATATCAAGACAAACTCAGTCAGGTAACACACCAACAAGCAAGGGGTACTGGGGACCTGCCCTGGAATACCCACAGGGTGTCAGAAAAGGGTTGATTATTTCAGTGACAGATGTGATGGACATGATCAGGGCTTGCTTGCCTGAGCGGTCATTCAAAAGTGTACAGTTAAAAGTTTTTGTTCTCAATGCTGCCTACCAGTATTCCTTGTACAGGTGATGGGTCTCTATCCTCTCCACGATCAGCTTGCGTCGGCCCCACTCTACCTTGGCCAGCTCCAGACACTTCCACAGCTTGAGGAAAGACTTGAGGAGTCGGTAGGCATCCATAGGCTGCTGGGTTCGTGACAAACTCTTGGACGGCTGGGCTGCTGGAGTGAGAACATTTGAGTGAGTGAGTGAGTGAGTGAGTGAGTGAGTGAGTGAGTGGGTGGGGTTTGATGCTGCTTTTAATTGATGTTGTCGATGTGACAAACTAATGTGATAAACTTGGCATCACAATCAGCAATATATGCAAATTAGGTCACCTAACAGGATTATCTTTAACCTCATACATCGATGCAATGTCTGTTTGATCAGTACATGATTGTCTGACGTTCCCAATAAAGTTTACACAGGGGTTTTCTCAATGTAAGGGACTGCTCTGTGGTCTAGTGGTAGAGCGTCCGCGCGGAGAGTGGAAGGTCCAGGTTTCAATCCCCCGCCGCGTCATACCAAAAAACGTTGAAAGATGGTACTTGTTGTTACCCTGCCTGATTCTTGGCATTAAGGGGATAATGGGCTAATATTTGGTAGGGTGTCGCATATAATTAAGATAGCTATGTCATAAATGACAAAGAACAATGAAGAACTGAGCGTGTTTTATTTTATGATAAAACATTGTTCTATCATGACGTCATTTTGAAGTCATTCGAACATACGCTCGCAAATTGATGACGTCGTAAATTGGACAATGTTATTTATGAGAGGGAAGTGTCTCGTGAGTTGTTCCCATAGATGCAGCTGGGCAATGTAGATAAACGCGATGGCCAAACAATTGCGAGATATGACAATCGGTATTGGGAGAAAAGGTACAAATAATCGCTGACAATTATGAGAATATCTGGGGAATACCAAACTTCACTCCCCTGTTCATAAAATGGACTTGCCTGACATTGCAGAGATCAGATCGTATTCAGGAAGTGATCATTATTTATATCAAGTAAATATTTTCAAAGCTTGTACACGTTATTAATACCTTTAAAGAGGATGTACATAATGTCGCTACCTCATATAAGAAATAAACGACACATGGATTGTACAATAAAACACTGTAGGGAGAATAAACCACTTACGCATTATGTTTTATATCTCTCTGCAGTGTTTTACTGTACCATAACCAACTCCCACTGGACATAAATTTCTTAAATGAAACATCATTGGAGAAAAACAGCTTTAAGGAAATACAGATTATCTATCCCTTGTGAATTGAAAGGATCAGGGCTTACATAATTCATTCACTCGGGACAGATAAACCTGTAATCACTTGTAGCTCACACGTTCACCAGTTATGTGCTGGCGGACTGATTCTTGCAATCTACCTGCAGCCTTCTTGCCTTCTCTGCTCTCACCAGCAGCGCTGGTGCATCTGGACTCGGTCGTGTCTGCTATAGACTTGACATCTGCATCTTCAGGGGCAGCTGCCTCCAGGAGCGTGTCCTGGTAGCCTGTCTGTAGCACATCCTCCATCAGCAGCGTCACCCCCAGGATCTCCCCGTTAGCCACATGCCTGGGGGTTACACACACACACATGTAGTATACATTGATCACACAGCCACACAGACACACACATGTAGTATACATTGATCACACACCCACACAGACACACAGACCCACACATGTAGTATACATCAATGTAGAGACAACAGCAGCGTCACACCCAGGATCTCCCCGTTAGCCACATGCCTGGGGGTTACACACACACACATGTAGTATACATTGATCACACACCCACACAGACACACACATGTAGTATACATTGATCACACAGCCACACAGACACACAGACCCACACATGTAGTATACATTGATCACACACCCACACTGACCCACACACACACACATGTAGTATACCTTGATCACACACCCACACAGACCCACAGACACACACATGTAGTATACATTGATCACACACCCACACAGACCCACAGACACACACATGTAGTATACATTGATCACACACCCACACAGACCCACACATGTAGTATACATTGATCACACACCCACACACACACACATGTAGTATACATTGATCACACACCCACACAGACCCACAGACACACACATGTAGTATACATTGATCACACACCCACACAGACCCACAGACACACACATGTAGTATACACTGATCACACACCCACACAGACCCACAGACACACACATGTAGTATATATTGATCACACACCCACACAGACCCACAGACACACACATGTAGTATACATTGATCACACACCCACACAGACCCACACACACACACATGTAGTATACATTGATCACACACCCACACAGACACACAGACACACACATGTAGTATACATTGATCACACACCCACACAGACCCACAGACACACACATGTAGTATACATTGATCACACACCCACAGACACACACATGTAGTATACATTGATCACACACCCACACAGACCCACAGACACACACATGTAGTATACATTGATCACACACCCACACAGACCCACACATGGAGACACATCAACATAGAGACAACAGCAGCGTCACCGTCAGCCACATGCCTGGGGGTCTCTCTCTCTCGTCTCTCTCTTCTCGTCTTTCTCTTCTCGTCTCTCTCTTCTTGTCTCTCTCTTCTCGTCTCTCTCTCTCTTCTTGTCTCTCTCTTTCTCTCTCTCTCTCTCTCTCTCTCAAAACACACACACACACAGAGGTGGAATATTCAAAATATAAAATTCTTTGTTTGTCCTGAAAAGATTTCTGGTGGTGACATGTGACATTAGTCAGCCAATGAAATGAGGCCATGTATAACTTTTTAAAGTCAAATGAGCCCTGCCCCATGCATGAACTGTGTAAACCCACTGAAGCTTCATTTAGTGTAGCAGCCACAGGACTACAGCACATGTCACATGAGACATACTGGTGACATCATCTGAACCTCATTGGTCTGGACACATGCTGGGTTCCCTCCTACTGAAATCAAGTCTTCATCCATTGTTTTAAAATAGCAACCACACCACAAAGCAGCCTTATTTATTCACAGGTGATGAAGGAATGTTGTGTCAACAAACCCACAAAGTTTTCCCAATGTACCTGTCTACATCTTTGAGTCCAGCCAGACAGCCCTGGATGTGGAAGTCGATCTGCTGCCACTGCCAGAACATGAGTGGGTGGGGGCCGTTCTGGCAGACGAAGGACCTCCAGGGGTACAGCTTCCTGGCCAGGAGGTCGCGGGGCTCCAGGGGTTCCGGCACGGACAGGTAGGCACTGGTCAGACTGGTCCGCTGGACGTTGCTGAGGGCGGGCAGGGCATGGTACATGTTCTCCGTGATGGCCTGCAATAACATCGGTCACGTGGAAACAATGATAAGTACATAAAAGACATAGTAATTCAAACAGTACCATATTTGCTGTGTTTAGGGTTTGGCTCCAATAACTGACCAACTTGTTGACCAACCTGTGTAAGTGATCTTTATGATCACCCACTAAGAAACCCGAAAATTGACATGACAATTTGTATTTGCTTGTGTAGATTACAGATCTTTTCTTCAGTGAACACAGCAGTGAAGATATAGTATGTGACTGCTTAGTAACAATTAACGAAAACATTTTAGTTTGACAGATGTTTGAACTAAGTCTGTTCTCTACCCCCATGATATCAAACAACAAATTATGATTTGTCTATGGTTTTAATAAGCACCACTCCCTCCTCCTGTGAATTTTCTAAGCTTATTATGGTAAATCTGGTATGTGTAAAAATGATGCAATGCCAAGTCTAAACATTAATCCTACAGCACTATTCCTGTGTCAGATATAAAATCAGGGACAGAAATGAACACTAGCTGACCAGCGCGTCAGCTTGTCTAATGTTGAGGATATCCTGATAGCTAGTTTTTTGTTTGTTTGTTGTTTAACACTTGACTCAGCAATATTCAAACTATATGATGGTGGTCTGTAAATAATCATGTCTTGACCAGACAATCCAGTGATTGACATCATGAGCAATGATCTACGGACAGGAATACAACATGCATCAACCAAGTCAGCGAGTCTGACCACCCGATCTTACGACAAGCGTAGGTTGCCGAAGGAGACCAATTCTCACCCGGATCTTCACGGGGACCTGACAGCTAGAATTTCAGATTCTTAGGATCTGTCCCATATATGTTATCACTGTTTGGCTTAGTAAACTTTCAGGATACAATCTCATTAAAATCAGTTTACATTCTGATACATTACTTCTCAGCTATGTCAGGTGACTTCCTGATCAGTTTGTTCATGGAGCACTTTGTTTTTATGAAAGGTCAAGGACAAGACAAATTAATGTCCCTTGTTTGCACATATAAAATGTCAAATTTTGAACTTGCTGTAATTTTTTAAACAACTAGGCAGGGTTTTTCTTACACTTTTTTCACTTTTACATGATTAAATACTGAGAAATAAATGTGCAAATGGATGAAAAATGGTGACTGTATAATATTGAAGGAAAATCTAACTGTGAACAAGTCCGTGAAGAATTTCTTAATAAATATGTGTTCTGTTTTTATCTACATCTTAAAATCAGATGTTTCTTAAAATGAGCAGGTCAAAGACTTGATTATGTTCAAACAGAACATTTCTTCCCAAAGATCCTTTAAATCTGCCTTTATGACATATTTTAGGCTCACCTATTTTTTAAGTGACCCAACATACGAGTGTTGAAATGAACAGTCTAATTCTCATTCATATGATCACATCTGATAACACTGTCACAAAACATTGTCTCCATTTCCTAAATTTTGTATTTCACATGGACCAAAAAGGACACTTATCGCACCCTGTCCTTGAAGAACTGTTTCTTGAACAGCGTTATCTTCCAGCACGTTTCAAGTCTGTATGGCCCCTGACCTACCTGGAAGCCCTGTTGGTTGCCCGTGGAGAGGAAAGTGTCGGCCATGTAGTGTCGGACGGCAGTGTCGAACTCCAGGAACATGACGTCCCGGCGTAGCGTGAGGAACTCCACCACAGTGCCAGGGTTGGTGGGGTCGGGTAAGTTGTTGATCTGTTTCTGAATCTCACGCAGCTCAGCACCTGGAAGTGTTCAAACATTTCATACATCATCTCTTGTATCATCATTCATTGAATTTACCAAAAGATTTAATCCCATGACCCTAAACTGACAAAAAAGAGAAATGTTAGGCTAAAAAATAAATAGCCTTGGTTCCCAGGCTCCACCTACATCATCATTTTTATTTCCATTTTCAAAAAAAATTCTAAATAAAAAATCCTAATACTTCAAACAGTGCGATCCATTAAACACACAGTTACTTCCCTTTAAATGCACACTGCTTTACTGTGCATCTTGTGTTAGGGTCATGGTGGCAGTAGGAGTTTGTATGCTTGTTTATGTAGGGAGGCCTTTTCCCAGGTTGATGGTACACAGCTGTTTATTTGGTTACATACTAGTTTGAACAAGCATAAAAAATCAACAACAACGCCTGCTTCCCCCCCCCCCCCCCCCCACAGCCCGCACATCATTTTCATAAGGATGTCAAATGATGTTTACTAACAGGCTGAAAATCTGATACTGCAAATTTATTTATCATAATGTATTTATCAATATGTCATCATGTATTTGATCACTGTAATGACAACTTAGCAATAACATTTCCAACATGAATAAATCACTGTAAATGTATGAACTTCAACTGATTTACATATATCCAAATTACAAACAAATTGATTCCTAAGTTGCAGAATAGATGCATTCCCAATTCAAATGCATTATCAGGCTAAAATATGCCCTATATACTGAAAATTATGAAATAATGCATCACCAACATAATGCTTGTTTAAAATGTGTCATGACAATAAATGTGAGTAGCCCCACGATGTTGAGTTTGCTCATTTATGGAGAGTCGACCTACCAATTCCTTCTGTTCCGCCCCAGTCTGCAGACACAAACTCCATCTTCTGGGAGCCGAGTCTTGCGTGGGAACTGCCGAGTCGTGAGTGTGCACACAGGTAGTGCAGCATGTCGTGCTGCGCGGCAACGATAGCCAGCGTGTACTGCAACGCTCGCACACATTCACTGTCATCCATTGTCTTAAACATGATCAACACCTCGGTGTGATGGGGGATAAACCACAGGTTGAGGACATGGCGGCCGTCCGGGGATAACAGTCGACGTGGTCTGGTCTTTAACACTCTGGGATATAAAGAGTGAAAGTGAGAGTGAGAGAGTGGAAGGGATGATTAATGCCACACTCAGCTATATTCAAATAATCAATCCAGTATTGATTATTATGACTGTTTGTTTGTTTGTTTGTGTGTTCTTAAATGCCAAATTCTCAATATTCTGGCTGTATGACGTCTGACAGTAAATAATCAAGACTGGACCAGACAATCCAGTGATTGATATTGTAAGCAACGATCCATAGCATTGGGGTACGATGACATGCAATCAACTAGTGACAGAGTCTGATCACTTGTTATTAATATTCAGTAGTCACTGTGTCAATCTAATAATCCCTAGTGTAGTTCCCATATTTTTGCAAAAAGCATGGGTACGAGACTGATACACACTAGCAGATAATGGAACCTTACAAACTAAACATTGCAATAATAACATTTCATATTATTTTTTTTTTGAGTTAAATAGCAAGACAAAAAATGACCAATTATGGCACATTAATACAATAATTATTTTTGTATTTTATGGATATTCCAGCCCTATAGTATGTAAAAGTAAATACAAAGGCTTGTCTAATGAAAACTTGTCTCCTGCATTCTTAAATGCTTTAATTCAAGGCATCTTTTAGGATAGAACAATCATTGATAAGAATATTTCAAATTACTGTATTCGACATATTAAGCGCCCCACTCTAATAAATGCCCACGGCAATATTTGCTGATATATTGGCTAGTGAACAATCCCAATTAGCACCCCTTCCGATTGATCACTGTACACAAGACTTATTTATTTGCGTATAATACACACTCGTATGTTATATGCACCCTTAATTATGGGCAATTAAATTCTGGAAAAATATATCTGTCGTACATAAACATTTCAGGCTGTCACTATAAACCACGAAATTTATCTTTCAACTCTGTTTTTTTCACCAACATAATATTCTAATAAGAGCCCCCTATTTTAATTTTGAGAGCCCCATGGGCGCTTATTACATCAAATACAGTATTACCTTTTACCCCCCAAAAGATCAAGAATATAATAATATAATTCTATTGTCTGAGTGAAATAAGTAACTATGACAATGACTCACTTTGCATCAGGCACCATTCCCTTGAGGTCATCGGTGTCCATCTTCTTCTCATTCACTTCCCCTCGCATGAAGTATGTGTCCCTGTCGATGTAGCAAACTCTCATTAGACTATAATAAGTTCTTTCTTAGATATTTTAGCCCAATATTTTAAAACTGTGAGACAGCAGCCTTTTGTCCTTAATAATGAAGGCATCTGTGTACATAACTGCTGAAGGTGTTTCACATGAAGCAGGAATGTTTGTAGACAATATATACTGAAACACTGTGAAAATGGATAATCAACTTAAATCAGTTTACAGATTCGAGTATCCAGACTTAGAACCTATCTTATAGGGCTCTGGTGGGCAGCTAAAAATAGATTGACCATGCTTTGAGTAATTGATTTCAACTGTAATATGTCACACAATTGACAGGTTGTATTTTTTTTGACATCATCAACATCCAAATTCATTCAGACCAAGTACTATTTCTCTTCCATGTCTGCAACATGGATGTCAGGGAAGTGATGATGTGAGTTATCTCCCCTGGGTGGATACCCTTGAAAGTCCTTAACATTTGACTCAAGGCCATTTTAACCCGACTCTGCACGATGAAATAGTAATGGTTTGAATTTATGTTCATTCATTTGACAGCTCTGTCTATGAAGGATTACAAAAAGAAAAAGATATAACTGCTAAAGTCATACAAACTTAAAGTATTATTGACAAATTCTAATTCATCAAACGCCTTGCATCATGTGTGTGTGTTCGCATGCGTGTGTGCTTGTGTATGGACTAATACCAGTTTTATAGTGCTAGCCCACTGAAATACATTCCCGCAGTTTAACATGGATACCCAACTCATATACCAACTCCCAAGACAACCAGTCCTTGTTCTCCAGGTAGATGCTCTATCCACTAGACCACAGAGACGGTCCACTAAAATGAAGACATGTGTCTTACAGAGAGTGTGTGGTGTTTACCTGACTGCAGGGAAATCCTCAAGCAGGCGGAGTACGCTGTTGTAGTAGGCAATGATCTGCCCCCTCAGAGAGTACTGGGACACCCGCTGTGAGAAGTTCATGCAGTACTCCGATATCAGGCGCCTGCAAACAAGAAACCAGTGTCATCAAACACTCATCCATCTATCTGCTGGCTTCCACATGCCTTTCTGTGGGGCACCCACAAACTATGTGCCTTTCTGTGGGGCACCCACAAACTATGTGTCTTCTGTGGGGCACCCACAAACTATGTGCCTTTCTGTGGGGCACCCACAAACTATGTGTCTTTCTGTGGGACACCCACAAACTATGTGTCTTTCTGTGGGGCACCCACAAACTATGTGTCTTTCTGTGGGACACCCACAAACTATGTGTCTTTCTGTGGGGCACCCACAAACTATGTGTCTTTCTGTGGGACACCCACAAACTATGTGTCTTTCTGTGGGGCACCCACAAACTATGTGTCTTTCTGTGGGGCACCCACAAACTATGTGTCTTTCTGTGGGGCACCCACAAACTATGTGTCTTTCTGTGGGGCACCCACAAACTATGTGTCTTTCTGTGGGGCACCCACAAACTATGTGTCTTTCTGTGGGGCACCCACAAACTATGTGTCTTTCTGTGGGGCACCCACAAACTATGTGTCTTTCTGGTTTCACACCTGACTCTAATCTGGAGCCCCACCCCACAATAATGTTTGGATTGTAGCTTTTATCACCATCCCTGTAATGTCCATATTTTGTGCCAGTAGCTTAAACTTGTTGTGCTTCATTACGGATAAACCAGTTATTATTTGAAAGGAGGCTTTCAAACTGCAATTTTTCACTGAAAAACAGCAACCCCCCCCGAAATTTGACGTTCCTACCATGTTTTTGGAAGGACTGAAATAGGACGCATGTTTGTGAAGGAGGAATTTCATTGATTGTTTCTTGTCTTATGACACATTCAGCAATTTTTCCAGCTATATGTCAGTGGGCTGTAGATAATTGTAGACAAACCAGTGATTGATATACCGAGCACTGTCCAGGACATCAGGGTATAGTGACACACAATCAACCAAGTCACTGAGCCTGACCATCTGATCCGTTTAGTCACCCTTACTCGTGCATAGGTGGTGTCTGCCCATCAGAAATGTTAGGCTTAATATAATAAAAGAATTTGTTCTCTGGCAATGACTTTTGAAAATATAGTAAGTGCCTGAGAACAAAGGCTTAATTTTTTTAGCCTTACAGACAGTTACACAAAAAGAAGCAGAAATAGTGTCCACTTTCACAAACAGGATTAAACCTGATCACTCAATGAAATCATGAAAGGGAAAATGACTGAGCTCACCGCTTCAGTTTCACACTGTTAACACAAGACGCTACAGAGAGGTGAGCTTACTGCTTTAGTTTCACAATGTTAACACAAGATGCTACAGAGATGTAAGCTCACCGCTTCAGTTTCACAATGTTAACACAAGATGCTACAGAGATGTGAGCTCACCGCTTTAGTTTCACAATGTTAACACAAGATGCTACAGAGATGTAAGCTCACCGCTTTAGTTTCACAATGTTAACACAAGATGCAACAGAGATGTGAGCTCAGCGCTTCAGTTTCACAATGTTAACACAGGACACTACAGAGATTAGAGCTAACACTTCAGTTTCACACTGTTAACATCAGACTCTACAGAGATGTGAGCTCACTGCTTTAGTTTCACACTGTTAACACAGGACACTACAGAGATTAGAGCTAACACTTTAGTTTCACAATGTTAACACAAGACACTACAGAGATGTGAGCTCACCGCTTCAGTTTCACACTGTTAACACAAGATGCTACAGAGATGTGAGTTTACCGCTTCAGTTTCACAATGTTAGCACAAGACGCTACAGAGATGTAAGCTCACTGCTTCAGTTTCACAATGTTAACACAAGACGCTACAGAGATGTAAGCTCACTGCTTCAGTTTCACAATGTTAACACAAGACACTACAGAGAGGTGAGCTTACTGCTTTAGTTTCACAATGTTAACACAAGATGCTACAGAGATGTGAGCTTACCGCTTCAGTTTCACACTGTTAACACAAGACACTACAGAGATGTGAGCTCACCGCTTCAGTTTCACAATGTTAACACAAGACGCTACAGAGATGTAAGCTCACTGCTTCAGTTTCACAATGTTAACACAAGACACTACAGAGATGTGAGCTCACCGCTTCAGTTTCACAATGTTAACACAAGACGCTACAGAGATGTGAGCTAACACTTCAGTTTCACACTGTTAACACAAGACACTACAGAGAGGTGAGCTCACCGCTTCAGTTTCACAATGTTAACACAAGATGCTACAGAGATGTGAGCTAACACTTCAGTTTCACACTGTTAACACAAGACACTACAGAGAGGTGAGCTCACCGCTTCAGTTTCACACTGTTAACACAAGATGCTACAGAGATGAGATCTCACCGCTTCAGTTTCACACTGTTAACACAAGATGCTACAGAGATGAGATCTCACCACTTCAGTTTCACACTGTTAACACAAGATGCTACAGAGATGAGATCTCACCACTTCAGTTTCACACTGTTAACACAAGATGCTACAGAGATGTGAGCTTACCGCTTCAGTTTCACACTGTTAACACAAGACACTACAGAGATGTGAGCTCACCGCTTCAGTTTCACAATGTTAACACAAGACGCTACAGAGATGTAAGCTCACTGCTTCAGTTTCACAATGTTAACACAAGACACTACAGAGATGTGAGCTCACCGCTTCAGTTTCACAATGTTAACACAAGACGCTACAGAGATGTGAGCTAACACTTCAGTTTCACACTGTTAACACAAGACACTACAGAGAGGTGAGCTCACCGCTTCAGTTTCACAATGTTAACACAAGATGCTACAGAGATGTGAGCTAACACTTCAGTTTCACACTGTTAACACAAGACACTACAGAGAGGTGAGCTCACCGCTTCAGTTTCACACTGTTAACACAAGATGCAACAGAGATGTGAGCTCACTGCTTCAGTTTCACACTGTTAACACAAGATGCAACAGAGATGTGAGCTCACCACTTCAGTTTCACAATGTTAACACAAGATGCTACAGAGATGAGATCTCACCGCTTCAGTTTCTCTTGTTCCTCGGGGTTCCGCAACACGGTGCCCATCTGCTGCTTCTTCTGGATGTAGTCATTCAGCATCAAGTCACGGCTCGGACGCTGCCAGGGAACATTACAGTTGACATCATCACTCACAAACATAACATTCATATTACAAGTCAACGATGACTGGAAATCATCTATGTAGGATTTCATGTCAGAGTACAACGGAAGATGCAGCTGCCTACCTTCTCCAGCTGCATGGAGATGAAGGCTTCAGGTGAGCGGCGGTGCTTCCCAGTCTCGGACTGGTGTTTAGAGGCAAGCCCTGTACCCCCCGTCCCGCTGGAGATGCTGGTGAACTGTGTCATAGACGACTTCTCACTCTTTGTCTCGGTGGGGCTGGCACGCCCACTGAAACACATTCATTATAAGATGAAGAATGACTCATTTACAAACTCCAACTTCCTTTCTGTTCTGTTTATTCAAGTGACTGTTACTGGTGCCATTAACAGGCAAACCAGTGACTGATAGTCCAAGCACCAGTTCATTCTGTCCTACTTGACATCCCCCATACACGGTTGCGTTAAATTTTGGCGACCCCCCTTTTTTGCTGTGTCATTTTGTCATGACCCAACCAGCCTCTACATCACCACCCCCCTTCCACAATAAAACATGACCAGTCCCTGATCTATTATAGATTGACGACACATTTTAGGAACCAAATTTGCTCAGTATTATCTAAACTATTTCCACAAGTTCTAAAACCAGGTGAAGCTTACCTCTTCCAGTCCTGCTGTCTGACTGGCTGACACACGTTGGCCTGCTGGACGGCAGAGATGAGGGCATTCTTGTGAACAGTCTGGGCCTTCAACACCACCTGTAGGTTCTCCATACCCCCGGGACGCAGGATCTAGAAATGGCGAGTGATGGGTGCATGAGGTGAAATTGGTTTTACATGGGCACTTACATAGCGGCCTGCACACACATGTGCTTGTTCTAGTCTGGATACATGCAGGTTTTAAATAGCTATTCTACTGAAATACCATGCCACAGTTTAACATATATAGATACAAAGGCTGCTGGGAGTGTCAGGCTGGGTAACAGCAAGTACCATCTTGTAATGTCTTCTGGTATGACACGGACAGGGGATCGAACCACCGACCTTCTGCTTTCCAGGGGAGTGAGACAGTGAGCTGGGTATAATGCTATTTTGAATCAGGGCAAATCTGATATAGAACAACCATTTTAGGATCCTGGCACACCTAAGGGATGCAACTCTACACAGTGCATTGTGGTGCCTTAAATACCTTGATGACACACATTGTACCACCTGATCCTCAGTAGTCAACTCTTACGACAATCGTGGGGTACTGGGATACTGGGGTACTTGGGTACTTGGGTAATGGGTACTGGGGTACTGGGTACTTGGGTACTTGGGTAATTGGTACTTGGGTGATTGGTACTTGGGTACTGGGGTACTTGGGTACTTGGGTTAGGGTACTGGGGTACTTGGGTACTTGGGTACTTGGAACTGGGGTACTGGGGTACTGGGGTACAGATTCTGCCATGGGACACCACTGTTAAAAAACAGAGGTTTATAAACCTCGTCTGAAGCATTGTTTGTGTATATGCAAAGTAATACTGAATACTTAATACTTAAGTTTTCAGAGAGAAAATATCACAATCCAGAAGGTTAAGATACAAAACGTCAGTCTCACCTGTAAGATTCCGTCCCGACTGCGGAATGAAAACCTTCCCACCTGCCCCTCATCCAGCTCATGGATAGCTAGGAAGATGACGTTGTTCTGGGGGGTGTATCTGGAGTGGAAACATACTGTGTAGGTGAACAAACATGCATGGACTCACAATACACAGCCTTAAAGTATATGTATTCATTGCAAGCAGGTTAAGGCAGACACTTTAACTCACCAATGTTAACAGTAAGTTTACAAACTAATTATATTTCTTGTTATCAAGACACTGAGATAAATATTGCACAAACAGCTTAAGAAATGGATAATCTAAGAGTTGACTTCAACATTTTTTGGCGTTTTATGGTATAAATGTAAACAAAAATGAACACTGTGTCAATCGGTGTAGCGGATTTAAGCAAAGTGTGCTCGCCAGATTTTATGTTTATACCGCCATAAATGCAAAATAAGATTGAAGTATTTTCATATAAAATAAATAAGTCAACAATAATAACTTCACAAACAGCTCTATTTAATCATTAACATAAGAAAAAGTGTAGACAACGATACAAAATCAGTAACATCGATCAGAGCACCAATGCAACAAAAACTGTGTTCACTATATGTTCAGCCCATTAGGAAACAGCAGTCTGTCACTCGGTGTGGCGTAATTGTGTTTAGGTTTATGGAAACATGAATGCCAAAAATATTGCTTAATTAGCCAATGAATTGCCATGGTTTCAATTGCAATTTATTTATGAACCAATAATTAAATACATTTTTTAACAAACAACGCTGCATATGGATGAAGGACTGTTGTTTTTGTCACCTTTCAAAGGAGGATTCGTCTCCCTGGACAGAGGTGATGAAGATAGGTGGAGGTTTCTTAGCGTTGTCTTTGAAGGAGGCGAACTCGAACTGAATCGGCCGCAGGTACATGTGACAGTCAGGGAAGTTCATCTCCGAAGCTTGTTGGCGGTAGATCTAGAACAATCACGCCAATTTTTTAAATAACTATATATGTAACTAGTAGGGCTGGGACGAGTGCAAATTTACTACCCGGTACCCGCCCCCCTATTACCCTACCCTACACGGGTACCCACTGTAGGTCTCAGGAGATGTCCCAAAATGTCCGATTGGGAACTTTTTTAGCATAGCCCTGGCAAAACGTATTGAGATACATATATTAAACAATCTTGTTAGCATACACCGAAGTTGACTTAAGTTGTATCTTTATTCAACCATATGAAAAATTAGAAGGAATGCATACATAGTCAGAAAGAAAAAATGACTTGTAGTGTAACCATAGAGTTCTAGATAATTTTAGTCATCAGACAATATATCACGTGATTAACCACGGGTCTGGGTAGTCCTGTGGGTACCTGGGCCCTACTCAGTAACAGGGGTCCGGAAAATTTAAAATCCCAATCGGACATTTGCATTTAGGCCACGCCCCCTTCAAATAGCGTATTTTAGTACGACTTTTCACACACATTCCAAGTTTACGTATTCATAATATTATGAATTATGAATTGTTTCAATTTAAATTGTTTAATTCACCGGACAATTAATAACAAATAATATCATTTTAGATTTACATGGAAAACATACGTTTGTTTCTGTTATAATAACGATCTGTTAACGTAGTGAACGGTCTAATTAATATTCATGAGTTATATTCATGAGTCTGCTCAAGTGTACGCGTTGTAACATTTGGATCGAGACTATTATCCCATATTTGGTTATCACGTGACCTCACGGGAAAAGGTTTTTTTTAAACTAAAGATTTTTTTAAAAACAAGACAGATAATTTAATCACAAATACTAAAATATCGTTGATAGCAATAGTTATTTGAATACTTTTTTCATCTGTACTTAATTATTGCCCATAAAAATATTGGATATCGATCGTCCGAGAGCGCAAAATGGCGGTCAATCAAGATTCAATATACGACTAGCTACTGAAAATAATAAAATCTGCAAATCCTCATTTTATGTCAACCAAGTGAAAGTCGTTAGCCACGACTTACAAAATGATCGTCCAGACTTTGAGGGTTTGGCAGATCTGCATCGGTCGACTGGCTGTCGTCACGCTTTCGCTTCTTGTCTGAGGTTACGTATCGTAGCATTGTGAGGATAGTGAGGTACATCGATGATGCAAGGTATTAATGTACAGTTGTAAACACCTTTCACTCAAATTAACAAGATGTTCTCAGTAATTAATCCTCGATTAATCAGTGTCAACTCAGTTTATTGCCTATTACAGTGATTGACCGATTGGACTATCATGTAGGTACGATGTATTTTCAGCAATCAAAACAAACAAAGCTTGTCAGTGTAGTTAATCTTCATTGTGTTGCAACTGCAGACAGAAACTGCTGAGTCCTAACTGTTGATCATGTCCGGTCAAAATTTAAGAATGTCCGGACAATACTTTTTGAAATGTCCGGTAAGCAATATTTTAAAACGGACATTTGAGATTCCCAATCGGACATGTCCGGCGCATATGACGGTTTCCGGACCCCTGCTCAGTAACCACCTGACCCGGGTAGCTGAGTTACCCGTCCCAGCCCTAGTAACTAGTTAGATGGGCAAGCAGTTGCTAAATAGTACCATATATCCCAGATCAAATATGACCAGCAAGCAAATCTTGTAATTGAGACAGAGGAATAGACCTGTGAGTGATTTTATCTTACTTTCAGAGATATTCCTACAATACCACTCTGGGTTTTACATGTTGTACACAAGTGGGGAACATGATGAATGACCACTGATGCTGTTTGGCTGCCATTTTGAACTGTAGTGAGCAAACAGAGTTATCTACCTTTGAAAGGATCTCTGTCTCCCATGCAGCATCCATCAATCTGGATCTCAGTGTGACCGTCTGGGATAAAGATAAATACAATGATAACAACAGCAACAACAACAACAACAACAACAATAATAAAGATGATGACAATGATGATGATGATGATGACGATGATGATGAGTGAGTGAGTATGGTTTTACGCCACTTTTAGCAATATTCCAGCAATATCACGGCGGGGATGATGATGATGATGATGATGATGATGATGATGATGATATGTGTGAAGATGATGTATGATGAAGATTAGAATATCCATAAACAAAGATGACTGTATCCTGGAAACTGAGTTGTATTTTCCAAGGCATAAATCTCTATTACTCTGAGGTGATACCTCTCTCCATCAACATCTCACAAACCCTCCACAGGATGTCTCGTCAGATGAACATAACCCTGAGCAAACTTTGCCCAGTAAAGATTAAATTGTGTGGTCTCTGGGCCAATCAGATATCAGCTTTCCCTAGTGGTTCTGCTTCACTATTTTGTTAATAAGTCAACATGCCCCTTTGTCAATAACAGTTTCTGTTTCCGAATTTCAAAAAAACAGTTGGAACACACACAAAAACACAACACATGTTTTAGCACAGGTGCTGATGTCATGGCGCAAAGAGAAATGAAGAACTGGATACAGAAATCAGATGTGCTGCTGTGAATGCTTCGTTCATTTATACCAAATATTAAGAAGCATCCATACTGATTGGCTACTTAGAAGGTTCACCTGACAGGACATTCTATGGAGGGTTTGTCAGATCTTTAAGTGACAGTTTGTCAGAGAGGTGCTGACTTAGAACAAAAGACCTGGTTTGACCTCTGACCGCCTGCCTGACTGACCTCCATGACCCTGGACAGCACGTTGACCATGCCGAGTTGTTTCTCCTTGGTTGACCTGCGGCTGCCCCCCTCCTGGTCCTGCTGGGTGACCAGGCTCTGGGCGATCTCACACAGGAACAGCGGGTCGTCACAGTACACGTCCGAGAACAGCTGCAACACCCACAACAGGAACTCCTTACACATGTATAAAGCATGAACATATTGTCAGAGGGAACTGAGTGGAAAGGCACAGGGAGTGAATTGGTATTGAGTTATGTAAGAGAATGTGGGACGAGAGTTCAAGGTGATGTGTTGATGTTTACTGATTTGGTTAAACACATGAGCACAGAGCTCAGAGTAAGCTGGATTTAATACAAATTTTAACAATATTTTAGTTACGTCAGCTAAATGTGGGGGAACTGGTTAAACCCACAAGTATGAGTTTGGTGCTGACAACCAAGGATCATCATCAAGGCAAATGTAGGATTCAAACCAAAAATCATAGGATCTTGGCACAACTAAGGGACATAACTCAGCACAGCAAATTGTGGTGCCTAAGCTACCTGGTCTACCTATACCCCACAGGAGCACTGATATATGTGGCGACATTTTCAAGTAAGATCAAAAAGGCAAGTGAGGGACTGGGCTAGGGCTGGGACGGGTAATTCGGGTACTCGGGGCGGGTGGGTCCTGAGTAGGACCTGGGTACCCACAGGACTACCAGGACCCGTAGTTAAACATGTGATATATTGTTTCATGACAATAACAATAAAATTCCAAGGTTACATTAGTTCAAATGTTTGTATTTTATTCTGACAATGCACACATTCCTTCTGACTTTCATATGTTTGAGAAAAATCAAAGCTTCAGTCAACTTCAGTGTATGCATGATCCGATCATTTTATACTACAGTATATCTAAATACTTTTTGCCAGGGCTCCAGTTGGACATTTTGTACCCAACTTGAGACCTACAGTGGGTACACAGATAGGGTCAGGTTATAGGGGTCAGGTACCAGGGTAGGCCATTTGAACTCGTCCAAGCCAAGACATCCTCTATTCTCCAGGGTATTACATCTGGGAAATACCCTGTGATAAACACCCTGGACCAGTCACTACCATAGTTCATGTCCTTGTGACATTACCACTTCATTCCGTCTTATCACTAACTTAGCACAGAATTCATCAGGCTCATGATTTTGAAATCAAAAAGCCTCATCTGAACTGTAAAGATCTACATTCAAAATCGTGGACATGTACAAGCGACACCACGAAGACTGTTACAATTGAAATTTCAGCTGTAAAAAAATGTTTCCTGAGTATTAAAACAGGGGAGGAAGTCCTTATATTAAAGGGCATTCAGTTGTATTTGAGACGGTACACAACAAAACGAATTGGGTGCTGGTGATATTGTTGTTTGTTGCAATCATGAAACAACAGTGTAATTTGACTGGATGGCTATTTTTAGAATGGGTCCAGGGTATATGTCATGATGAAATGGATGTATGATACACAAGAGTCATGAGTGGTGACTGGGTACTGACATCTTTCTGAAGCTGGGGGGAGTAAGAGGCCCCCATGTTCTCCATCCTGTCCCACTCTCGCTGCGCCACCTCCAGCAGCTTCTTCTCCATCATCAGCGTGTCGAACACGGTCTCCGGCTTGTGGATGTGGATCAGCTCCTGGGGAGGAAGTAGGAGACGTGAGGGAGAGACGAGGGTGTTATGACAGAACGCATAAACAGATTTCATCAACTGTTTAATTCTGCTAGATTGAACACACTAATGTTAAGTTACTCCATTTCAACCATTTGACGAAATCAATTTAAAAATTAAGCTACCTCAATTAAAATATAAGGGTATATCAATTTAACCACAAAGCTATGTCAGTTCCAGTAAGTCTCACCCAGAACGCATGTTCCAGGGCCTCTGGGATCCTGCTGGCTACGGCCAGCGTAGGGTGGAACTCCAGCATGAACACATTCTTCAGGGCAGGTCTGTACAAGGAACAAGTAGAATGGAGTCAACGGGTGTATCACATAACAAAGAAACCAGGGCTCGGATGAGTCCAGATGTACTACCCTGGTACCCGACCCCCTACTACCTGGCCCTACCTGGGTACCATCTGTAGGTCTCAAGAGATGGGTACAAAGTGCCCAACTAGGAATTATTTTACAGGAGCCCTGGCAAAATCTATTTAGATACACATTTAAATTGATCTTATCATGTATACACTGAGAATTGAGTGAAACTAATCTTTACTCAAACTTATAAAAGTCAGAAGGAATGCATGCATTGGACATTGAACAATATATCATGTGACTAACTACGGGTCCGGGTAGTCCTGTGGGTACCCGAGTCCTGCAAAGCACATATTTATCCGGGTAATCGAGTACTTTGTCCCAGCCCTAAATGAAACAGCACATTTTCTTTCTGCACCTTAATGACATAATTGCATCTTAATTGATTATTAGCCAACAAATTTGTAAAACAATCTTCCTTACTTGACACAATTTTTAATCACAGGTGGCTAAGAGGTGTCTAATGTGCCTAATTTGGCTGTGCAGAGTCGCATACGGTACCTTAGCCAGCCAGAAACCTATGATTGTGGGTTTGAAAATGCAAGATTTGCCTGTTAATATTTGTAGGTTTGTCATCACCATACCCGTACTTTGTTGGTTTCAAAGTGTTAAGGCCTACATCCCTGCTTTAATTAGACAGACAGATGCGCCTTCCAGCACTCAACTCACCTGCTGAGGTTGATGGAGACCGGCTGTTTGGGTACGATCCTGTACGGCAACCCGAACTCTGTGTCCCCATCTCGACACACCCTCTGCGTGTACTCCCTCTGCTCCTCAATCTGAGTAACGATGATATGATAATAATGTACAATTGTAAAGCACCGAATGGATAAAATATAAAATATAAAATAAACAAAAACAAACACACACGGATGCATGGTTACAGTACCACATAATATTAGCCTTACAATGGATCAGTGTGCTTTCAAAATTTCATTCTCAGCTCCCTCGGGAGTATAAAAGCAAAACTGTCCAATGAGACACTGGAAGGTTTACAGCCATATTACAATCTCACCCTACCAGGTACCCATTCACTGCTGAGTGAACAGTGAGTGAGTGAGTGAGTTGGGTTGAACGCCGCTTTTAACAGTATTCCAGTTATATCATGGCATGTCAGCTTAATGTGGGAGAAAAGCCCGAAGTGATGCAGGTCTCAGATGTTTACCACTTCGGTGAAACCCACGAGCACGGGTATGGTGCTGACAAACCTAGAAACATAATCGGGGAGAACCGGGATTCGAACCCACAACCATAGGTTTCTGGCGTGCCCAAGGGATGCAACTCTGCACTCCAAAGGAGACACCACATGTAACGTGTGCTTCAGTGGGTAGGACCGGATCCCTAGAAACTCTCTGGAGTCGAGTTTGCACACGGTCATCATCCACCTACTCTGTCACCTGATTTGTGATCTGTGTACTTAGTAAGTGAGTATGATTTTACGCTGCTTTTAGCAATTTTCAAATTTTCCGATTCGCTTTATAGACGGGCTATATAAATTTGCATAGATTTTGAAGGCTTGCACAGGGGGGTTGCCTTATATGTGGGGTCGCTTTATAGACGGCAATATACGGTAATGGCGGGTGACCCCAGAAATGGACTTCACACATTGTACCCATGTGGGAAATTGAACCCAGGTCTTTGGTGAGGCGAGCAAACGCTTTAACCACTAGGCTACCCCACCACCCCAATCGTGTACTGAACACAAGTTCATTTACACAAGACATAGCAATATTTCATACAGTTTCATACATATGTTTTAATACTTTTATGTCACCCAAACAGTATTATACAGAAATGCAATCAGAGTTGTTGTAACAATTTTGCAGAATTTCTGCGAATTAAAAAATATCAAAGACATTTCATAAACTTCAAAAACTTGGATCTTGGATTTGCTTCGCTTAATCCAAGTTTTGCAAAATGAGTAAGTGAGTGAGTGAGTGAGTGAGTGAGTGAGTCCAAGGGTCGCAACTTTTTGAAAAATGAAATAAATATATTGATAGCTTTTTCATTGCTTAAACTTTTTCTAACTGTACGATCAGGCATGACCTTGCAAGTTTCATTTTCAACTCTTGAAAAGGGGATAAGAATTGTGAAATGTCTTTTGTGTTATATTTGTCAAGAGCAGATTGGCATTTCAAGTTTGTTTTTTATTTGTTATATATAGTTACTTGAATATATTTCCATGTGCACATTGTTCACTAAACTGTTTTTGCAGTTGTTTTTGCATTGTATACATACTGTATGCACATTGTATGCAAGATAAAACAAAACTACTTTCCAGATTTCCTTTTTCCACTTTTAATTTTTCGCAGATGATGGATCAATAAATATTTAATAACAAGGCAAAAAGGTGAGCAGGGCTCATTAATACCCCGACTTTGACTTCAACATATTTCTAAGTTCAAAACCTAACAAAAGCAACATTTCCCCCCGAAAATCCTCTTATCGAAATCAAACTTTGAACTGGGCCTCTCTTATTGGTATAGAAAGTGTACCCCCAATTGGAAAAGAATCAATGAAGTAATTATCAAGTGATAGATCGGACAAAGTTCAAAACATGAAAATAAATCATATTTTTTCAGAAAATATGCAAATCAATTCAAAATTAGCACTGCACCTCTTTTATTAGTAATTATTAAGGAACCTGTTAGCTAAATTTGAAAAAAAATCCATGCAATAGTTTTCAAGGTATAGGTCGCACACAAGCATGTCCTCGGAAAGACAGACGGACGGACGGACAGACAGAATTCCTTGGTATAACAATATACCCTGCCCTTTTATCACAGGGCTTTAACAAATTAAATACCACACATCAGCTACTTTCCCAACCAATGTTTTAGTGACCATTTTGTTTAAATATCATGTTCATCTTCCAAATATAGGGTCCAAATCCAAGAAAACTGAATGGCTGGCTTCACCAACAGACAATACACATAGCTACCTGTTTGTCCAGAATGGTCTTGACAAGTGTGGCCTGTTGTCTCAGTAGAACACACTCTGCCCTGTAGGTTTTCACAAAGTAGGCTGAGCTGAAGTCGAACCTCGGCTGCTTGTGTATAATGTCGGTGATGACCTGGGCCAGTGACCTGCGCTCGTCACGGTCAAACACATGCTGGTAGGCTTCAAAGTAACAGTCGAGGAGCTGAATAGCGAGAAACATGCACTCATTTTAATCACACGGACACTGAGAATCTCACCTGAGTGTCTTCTGAAATCAAATAAACAGCCAAATTTTGATTGGTCAATCAGAGGTATCAAATCAAAATAAACCCCCTCTGATTGAAACGGCCAATTTAATGGCTGCATCATATTTTAGAAGTATTATTTTTAAAAAAGTACTTCTTTCAGTCATTGTCGGCATACAATTATAGGCTAAAAATGCAAAGTACATTTTTGAAAGGATGTGTGGCAACATATTTCATGCAGAAAATACAACATAAATCTACAAAGAGAATGTATTTCAAGTTTTGTGGAAAACAGAGAGCTTGCTATTTGGCAGTTTTCTATATACACAATGAGCGATATGATGTCATAATAGTGACCATGACATCACAGTTACCGATGACATCACAATGATCTGCAAGTGATGCAATTTCCCTTCAGCGATATCTCCTGAATCAGGAAGTTTCGGATGACAAATTGAGACTACGTTACACAGTGTTCATTTGTTTAAAGATATTAATTTGTTGATGTTGACCTGCATTCAAAGTGTCATAAAACACAGTTAAAACATAAAGAATTATGCCTACTGTAATGTTGTTGTTGGTTTGCTGTTTAATGCTGCACTCAGCAATATTCCAGCTACATGACAGGGTCTGTAAATAATCGAGCCTGGACCAGACAATCCAGTGATTGATATCATGAGCATCGATCCACGCAATTGGGATCGATGACATGCATCAACCAAGTCAGCGAGCCTGACCATCCGATCCCGTTAGTCGCCTATTACGACAAACATGGGTTGCTGAAGACCTATTCTACCCCGAATCTTCATGTGTCCTACTGTAATGAGTGAGTGAGGGAATTTTGCTTTAAGCTTTGAAAAGTATTTCAGTTATATCACTGCATGCCAATTTAATTTCCCATTATGCCTAAAGTGACACAGGCCACTTGAACACTCGTACACATTCAAGGGGCATAATTGGAGCTACTCTTGGATCCTGCTAAAGCAAAGAGCCACAACTCTACAAAGCACATTGCAGAGCCTCAGACCATTTGAACCTCCATTTGACCCACATTGATTTGAAAACAACTAATGCAAATGCTTTCAACTAAAATCAATAAAATCCACATTCTATTTTAATAACCATTTTTTAGGTTCTATCATAAAAAATAATAATAATCACTTAATTTTGAAAACCAGTCACTTCACTAGTCAATACCAAACATCCACATATATTTGTCAGAATTTTTTATAATATATGATCAGTGGTCAAAATAATTTTTTTTTAGAGAATCCAGGATGTCTTAAGTTGGAACGAGATTCTGCCCATGACTCACCTCTCTCTTACACTCGAGGAAGGAAGCCTCGTTGCTCCACAAGTCAAGCATCACCCCAAACCGGTCCAGTTCCTGATGGGCGTAGCTCTCTATGTCAAAGTCTCCAGCACTATTTTGCTGTAACACAGACACAGTTTACAGCAACACTGAATGCAGAACCCAGCTCTTACACTTCACTTGCATACAATAACACCCTTCTCTATAAGAAACATGATATTAGTAAATAACTACTGCTTTGGACCATCAGATTAATGTTGAGTTATGTGTAGGATTCAGCCATGATCATAAAGTCACATTTCAAGATACTGGAGATACAAGTTTACAAGGATTTACAGGGCTCCAGATAATTTATTAAGCCACTGAGTATAATAAACTCAAGTTACAATTCACATTGGGTTTTGGTATTTTTAGGGGATTCAATATATTTTACCACCTTTGATCTAGTCTAACGGGTACTTATAAACCAATGGGTAGAAATATTAAAAACTGATTAATAAATTTTTCACTGCAGTAGAGTTTATGAATAAGTGATGACTGCATTCAATAATAAATATAGATGTGTACAGATATTCAGGTATGCAAGCTGATAGGGCTACATTGGGTATTTACACAGTGTTGTTATATTATTGGTTTCAAATATTGGTATATTCCTCTGTATTTGTACACAAGCAACTGTAACTTATGGTGATTTATTGCATCTACATAAATACAAAGCTTATCTGGAGCTCTGGTTTTTAGTGAAGTTAGAAATCTTGCTAACCGATCGTCGTCGAGATGACTCGCTGAGTTTGATCCTAGTGGCAATGCGAAGATCTCGGTCCTTCTCTATGAAGTGTGTGGCTATCAGCATGAAGTCCTTCTCCCTGTTTCTGATCATCGTATAGAGAGGTTAGTGCAACAATATTAAACAGACATACAGGCATTTACCTCAACAGGATCAATTACAGAGGAATGACATCTGGGGCAATGACACCTTGAATGAATATCTGACAAACTTTCCATTGGAGTTTGCAGATCACAAATATTTCTTTGATAGTAATCCATTTTGTGTGTAAATACCATGGCTTCGCTCACTGCAACCAAGACATTTGAAAGCTTGATGTTGATTGGCTGATTAGAAAGGTCACCTGATAAAACCTCCTATGGACGTTTTGTCAGATTTTAACACAGTGAGGGAACATATTGGAGAAAAAGATCAGATTTTAATGAGATTGGTTGAATAAGGAAATTCGGGGACTTCGAAGTTTAACATTGCTGTATACATGGTATAAATGTATTGGGTCATTTAGGTGCAGACAGGGTATGGACAGTAACTGAAAAGAACCTGGGATTCAAACATGCAACTAGTGGATTCAGTAAGCTCCTCACAGTGATAACCTATTGTCAGAGCCCTCTGTACTATCGCTGCCACCGACCACAACTCTCTACTGAGCTTGGCAGACACTGTTCTCTGGTTTCTATTCTGTTTCCTTTAAATATAAGGTAACCAGTCTCATGAGAATGTAGGGGAAATGTTGGGTGCTTTACCATTTGGCTGCAATCTCAAACCAATCTCTTAAAATGAATAAACGTAGAGTCATTAATTATTTACTAAAATGAAATTTTAGGTTGGAGGGAACATTTTCAAGATTCTTTGCTATGTTGATCCAGACTAAAAGCAGTGATGGTACTGGTAGGGTAACTAAGGCACTGGGGAGGAACAAGCAGATTCTGTACGTGGCAAAAGCACATAACTCGGCAAAGCAGCTTCCTTGGACATATGAGCCTAGATTGAGGTGAGGTGAAATGGGGTCGGACATTAGTCAAGATTATTTCACTTGTTTTCACTAATTACGTGTGTGTGGCTGCTTGTACTAGTCCAGACTCATGCTGGTTTTACTGTGCTAGCCCACTGATTGACTATGGCGCAGTTTAACATGGATCACCCACTCAGACACAACATATGGTCTCTGAGCCGGGAGTCTTTGGCAGCCCCAGGCAGAGTAACAAGAAATATCTTTTAACATCTGTTGGTATGACGTGGGGATTGAAACGATCTTCAGCTCTCCGGACAGATGCACTCTTCATTACACCAAGGGTTGGTTCCTAGGTTAGAGAACAGGAACATAGTAAGACTCACTCAACATCTGAGACGGCCATGTCATACATGATGTAGTAACCTCTCTGGTCCACGACGTGGATGCGACCCTCCTCAATGGTGTAGAAGTCATCGTGGTTTTCTACCTCTGAGAATTCTATAAACTCTGATTCACTCATTCTGCAAATATATAATTGTCATTATAGATATAACTGGAAAAATTATTAACAATCATAATTTGTTTATCAAAATTGATAGGCATTATATATATTGTGTAATCTAAAAGTGAAAAATAAAATATGTGCTAGCTATCATGAAGCAATGTGCAATGATATATGGGATTAATCAAGAATTCACTTCCAGTATTGGTATCAGCTAAGATTAGAATAACATGAAAAATTGCAGAAGTTGTTGAAGGTCAATGAATGCCAGGAAGATCCTAAATGTGAACAGCACCATAACATATTCATTTTGCTCTTGGTACAACATATTTTACTCTGATCTGATGCTTCTCTACATGAAGATCGTGTGTCCAATCTAAATGAAGGGTGTGTGGGTTCTTCAGCCAATCAGATGTCAGCTTTCAAAGCAATCTGGTTTCATTTCTTAACTGCCGAGATATGGAAATTTTTCATTACGATCTCCCGATTATATTCATTTTCAACATACAGAAATCAGATATGCTTGTCTAAATGCTTCGCTCACTCATGCCAAGAATTTAAAAACCTCATTGGTGATTGGCTGAAAGGAAAGTTAACCTGAAACAACCTTCTGAAGTCTTCACACAGAATGGTACCGTATTGGAGTAAAAGGTGTTAAAACAATTGCTCTAGGCACTGCATACAATATATAGCATCTGTGTGCACACAAAACATGATGTCCTGGTTGTTTGTATGTAATAAATATTGCATATGTCAATGAAGGACAATGAGTCTATTGAGCATGACAACATATCATTTGTGGTTATGAGCATATATTTACAATAAAGGGGAATCAGAGTATTCCCCTTATTTACATACTTATCCTGACACAACAGTCTGCAATATTCCTTCTTGCTTTGATCATATGACAGTGTTGTGGACACTTGCAGCACAATGGATACATGTGCGAAATACGCCTTAATTGCGGAAAGTGCACATTAAATCCCCAGTCAGAAGAAGAGTGAGTGCGTATGGTTTTACGCCGCTTTTAGCAATATTCCAGCAATATCACGGCGGGGGACACCAGATATGGGCTTCACACAATGTACCCATGTCGGGTATCGAACCCGGGTATTCGGAGCGATGAGCAAACACTTTAACCACTAGGCTACCCGACCGCCTAATTAGAAGAAGAAGGATACCTGTCGACAATATTTGTTTGATGCTTCTAGCCTAATGTTACTTGACAGCTGTCACATTGAAATAAATATTCCCAAAGCTATATTTTAGAAAAAAATAAATCAGAAAGCACTTGTTTTGGTTTATAGAAATTATGCTTCCAAATTCTCCAGTATACAGCAGTCTACCCCTGAAGGACTCCAGTCCTGATTTTGCAGACACAAACTCTTCTGCTAAATGATCAGATAATCAAGAATATAAATTGAGTGAATGAGTTCAGTTTAACTCTGGTTTGAACAGTATTTCAGTTATATCAAGGCATGTCAGCTTGATTGGGGGAGAAAGCCCAAAGTGATGCAAGTCTCAAACATTTAACAAGTTGGTGAAACCCACAAGCACATGTATGGTGCTGACATACCAAACCTGGATTCAAACCTATAATAATTTTTGTTTGGAATACTTCAGGGCTTAACTCTGCAGGGCACATTGGGGTTCCTCAGACAATTGGGCACATGTGTTCCCAGAAACAAGAAAACAGGATGCAGTATTCCCAATGGACATTTCTGCCAGGCTTACTTGAAGTCAGCTGGTGTGTTGTGGAGGTAGCTGTGAGACCCAAGACCACCGCCGCCACCAACTGTACCCTCCGTCTCCGTGTTGCGACGATGGTTCTGCGGGCTGGAAAAAATACAAAAACTTTTTACAGACTTTGTACCTATTTCAGCTTTTGGTCAAGGGGAGGTAACTCAGTGTCTAGAGATGCAATCACTGTGAGACTGCATGAAATTAATACAATGTTCTTGGGCTAACCTTTTATGTGAAGGTGAGAGGGTTTATTATTTTCAATTTTACATAGAACAAAAGCAACAATTGACATCATTGTTTTCTACACAAGAACAGTAACCCATTTTGTGTCTAGTCATGGCTGGTTGATGGGGAATGATGTGATCAATTCATTCAAGGCCAGGATGGATGAAGACGATCTAACACTAGTAAAGAGTGATTGAGTAATAAGATTGTGCAACACTCATACTCAGCTTGCAATTTCAGTAAAAGTCTAACATTGAAACTACACACAAAAACTCACATGTGACAGCTAGTGACTCAAAAAAGGTCATGATTTTGTCTTATACAGACAGATCACTACAGCCATGTCTACACCTGAGCTCTAGTTGTGTATGACCCAAATAGCCCAATAATCTACAAGGTGAGGTCAAATGTAGTTTAATGTCTCGTTCAAGATTATTGCTATTACATAGCTACGTGTATGCACATGAGTGGCTGCTTGTACTTATTCAGACTAATGACGGTTTTATAGTGCTAGCCTGCTGAGATACCATGCCACAGTTTAACATGGATACCCCACTCAGACTGTATACTCATAGCTGACCAGTCCTTGTTTTATCCCCTTATGCCAAGTGAGTGAGTATGGTTTTACTCTGCTTTTAGCAATATACCAGCAATATCACGGTGGGTGACACCGGAAAATGGGCTTAACACATTGTACCCATGTGGGGAATGGAACCCTGGTCTTCAGTGTGACGAGCGAATGCTTTAACCACACGGCTAACCCACTGCCCCCCTTATGCCAAGCACCAGGCAGGGTAACAATAATTTAACGCCTTTTGGTGGCTAGGGAATCAAACTACCAACCTTCTGCTCTGTGGGCAGACACTCTATCTAATAGACCACGGAGACGGTCTCAACCATTAATGGCTAACATCTCTACCTTGTGTGTTATGTAGCAAGGTTAGTGATGTGTTTGGTTATTTGTTCAGTGACTGGTACGTACTGTTTGTGTTACAGACGCTCTATCCAGTTGGCTACAAAGGTCAAGGTCTCCCAATAATCTACAAACCTTTGCCTCTTCACGTTGCCTGATTCATGTGACAGTCCACCATCGTTGATGGTCAGGGTTCTCTCGATGGAGCGGAAATAGTTCATGATGCTGAGACACTGCAAAATAACATTGAGGATTAGAACTGGATCTGCCTTAATACAGTATAATCAGGTGTTGAACAATCAGTTGGTGATGAATACAAATTCATTGATTCAAGGATTCATTGATTCAAACTTGCATCCATAGAGCCTTCACTTAAATGAGTGAGAGTCTTTCAGTTCGGCTAAAAAAATAAGTCTTGGTACTCAGGCACCACCCGCATCATCATAGAGTCCACCACATGCTTTGTTTTTATTTCCATTTTTAAAAAAATAAAAAAATCTAAATAATTTAAAACAATGCGATCCAATATAGCACACAGTTCCCTTTACATGTGCACTGCTTTACTGTGCATCTCATGTTATGGTCATGGTGGCAGTAGGAGTTTTTATGCTTGTGTATGTAGGGAGGTCCTTTCCCAGGTTGATGGTACACAACTGTTTATTAGTTACATACTAGTTTGAACAAGCAAAAAAATAAAAAGCAACAGAGCCCGCCTGCACTATGTTTTCAAAAGTCATTGCCTGAGAACCAATGCTATTATTTTTTTAAGCCTTATATCGCGGCGTCAGATTGATGTGAGAGTAATACTAGAAGTGATGCAGGTCTTTTACCAAAACAAGAATCATAACCACACGAATCTGGGATTCGACCCACGTTCATAGGCTTCTGGCTTGCCTGAGAGACTCAACTGCACCACAGACAACAGGGCCACCCATTCACCACGTTCACCCAAGGGAGATAACTCTGCAGCAACAGTAACACCCATGTTTATAATCCTACCCGACAACATGACTATAAAATAAAAGTTGCGACTGACCGATCTGCGTAGATCTCGCAGCCTCAGATGCCTCAGCTGAAGGAAGGAGAGGTACGCCCCCTGGATGTTGACAGTGGCACTCTGGTCATGCTCTCCTTCATCGAGACCTGGGTAAGAACACCACATCATCAACATTTACACTCCAACCTTTGTGTTATAGATTCATAAAATAACATACAGTCATTCACTACATCCTTGTTCCCATATTTGGAACTTGCAGATTTCCCATAAGCCAGTCGACATTACACACAGGCCAAAATTAGACTCATTAACGGCTTTCATCTTTCTACCTTGAGACTGCTGTATTTCATAAGAAGGTCCTTGTTATTTGTTCTGTTAATGGTTTAATAATCTTTGTTTGTTTGTTGTTGACGCTGCACTCAGCAATATTCCAGCTATATGACGACGGTCTGTAAATAACCAAGTCTGGACCAGACAATCCAGTGATTGACATCATGAGCATCTATCCATGCAATTGGGATATGATGACATGCATCAGCCAAGTCATCAAGCCTGACCATCAAATCCCATTAGTCAACTCTTACGACAAGCATAGTCGCCTTTTACAGCAAGCATGGGATGCTGAAGACCTATTCTACCCCGGATCTGCACAGGTTTAATAATCAACTGGTATTTGATCTATTGTGTCACAAACATTAAATACACTGAATTTATAAATATAATTTAGTTTGCAAATATTGTCATAAATGTCCTTAAGTAGTTATTGTCATAGGTGTTGTGTGCAAGAAGGAATGCTATGATGACATATTCAGGTTGTCATACTAAAAGTTTGGAAGCCATTCAGTGAAACTTGATGACAATCTCTAAAACTTCAAAAAGGAAGAATAATGTGACTGACAAAACTCATAACCTGAAGACCAGTTGTTCTGATTTATATAAGAACTTCATATATTTTGTACCTACCCAGCATTTGCACCGTGTTCACGTAATCGTAACTGTCCTTCCTTTTACGAGCACTAGAAGCTCTGGCCTGACTCCCACTGAAGTTGACGTTCTCCAATTCCCTCTCATCGAAATCCTGAGGGCTGGCCTGATCCTGTCTCTCAGCACTGAAACACACAAAACATCCTGTATGTGACATGAAACGATTACCAACACATTTCATCTGAAAACCATTCAAAGCCAGCAATGTTAGGTCTAAATCATTGTGGTTTGTAAAGATTGTGACTAGACCAGAAGAACCAGTGATTGATAGTGAGAGCAGCAAGTCACTTAAACAGGGTTGTCTCCCCTGGTGTTCACCCTTTCTGTACTATTGATACTAGGCTGCCATTTCTGAGTGAGTGAGTGAGTGAGTGAGTGAGTGAGTGAGTGAGTGAGTGAGTGTGTGCGTGCGTGCGTGCGTGCGTGCGTGCGTGCGTGAGTGAGTGAGTGAGTGAGTGAGTGAGTGAGTGTGAATTGGGTTTAACGCCGCTTTTAACAGTATTCCAGTTATATCACGGCATGTCAGCTTAATGTGGGAGGAAAGCCCGAAGTAATGCAGGTCTCAGACGTTTACCACTTCGGTGAAACCCACAAGCACGGTATGGTGCTGACAAACCTAGAAACATAATCGGGCGAACCGGGATTCGAACCCATAATCATAGGTTTCTGAAGTGCCCAAGGGACGCAACCCTGCACAGCGAATTGCGTCACCTTAGATGACTGGGCCACCCGTGACCCCCACTGATAAATAGAACCGTTGCTCATGCTATCAACCACTGGTTTGTCAGCTCTTTACGTGTTTGTTTACAAATCATATGACATAACTCATAGCTGACTCACAGCAGCACTAAACAGTATTCACGCATGCTCTTAAATACAGTCATGCGATGTTGAACAAATAGAATCAACTTGTATGACGTTTAGAAATGATACACATATGAGAGAAAGTTTATTGATGTCAACGTCATTCACCAGATGAAGGAGTAAGCATATACTCTGAAACGTCATGTTCCTCATAATTAAAAAGTTGACATCCTTAAATTCTCTCTTTTAAAAGAATTGATGGTACGCAGAACAGTAAAGGGTGTTTATGACAAAAACACTGAAAGACATGAATCACACAGTAAAATACCTACTCAGTGTACAGATCTGGGTTTGAGTATATCTTTTTCCACACCTGCGTGGTGTTGCTACGGGTGCGGTGCGACGTCACAGAAGCAGCTTGCACATGCGGAGGATCGCGCACCATGCCTGCTTGCTGGCGCAGGGTGTCTTGAACTGTCTGTGTGCAAAACCATAGAAGACATGCAGTGCAAGAAGCATCGACAATGCAAAGACCTGTGTCACCAACTGTAAATTTAGGTCAACAAAATGGACACCAAAACGGCAAATATGTGTCTTAATCTCATTCCTTCCTTTTCAATAAATGGCCACACAGGTCTTTGGAATATAAATAAAATGGTGCTCATAATTCTTTCAAATTGCTAAACCGTTTTGCATGTGGACAAATAACACTGAAAAAAAAGATACCATATATGCATTATCATGCTTGTGACGACAACAGTTATGCATTCTACTTTCTTGTGACGACACCAGTAACAGTGCATGTTGTAGAGGCCTCCAAGTTTAGGTTTTCTGCAATTTTATTCTAAACTTGGAAATTATATTTGTTTGTAAAACTTTAGGAACAGACAAATAAATTTACAATGCAGAAACTGATCACGTTGACAAAATAAAATCTAAATTGACATTATTTGATACTTAGAGTTCTCTTTTGGCTAATAAATCCATGCATCCTTCATTTTGATTGGTGGTCAAAGTTTACTCAGGGTCCCCCTGATATCGATGTTACGTATACATCTGATGGAGGATTAGGCACATGGAGATGGAGGGAGGCATCAAATCAGAATAAACATGTATTGTTTAGTGTAAAAATATCATTTATACTTATCCTGAGTCATACTTTTTGCTTATCTCTCTCTATTTCTGAAAGGTAGTGAAAACTTCCTGAATTGTGTTCCCGGAGAACAGAAAAACAGCAGTCGAACACACCCCTGGTCAGCGGATGCGAACGAGAAAAATGTAACAAGCCGGTATACTCTTCACTCTCTCATTTCCCTTACCTTATGGCCAAAACACAGGGAAGAGGGGATGGCTTTAGCGTATGAGTCAGGATAAGTATTAAGGATATTTTTACTCTAAAGAATACATATATAACTTATCCTGACTACTAATTTGTTTGTTTGTTGTTTAACGCCGCACTCAGCAATATTCCAGTTATATGACGGCGGTCTGTGAATAATCGAGTCTGGACCAGACAATCCAGTCATTGATATCATGATCATCAATCCACGCAATTGGGATACAATGACATGCATCAACCAAGTCAGCAAACCTGATCACCTGATCCCGTTAGTCGCCTCTTACGACAAGCATAGTCACCTTTCACGGCAAGCATGGGTTGCTGAAGACCTATTCTACCCCGGATCTTCATGGGTCTGACAACTAATTACTGGAATCCCATATAGGTGGTGGGTTCCACCTGTGTGTGTGGTCCAGAATGAGATCTGTTCAATTCACCCCCTGGGTATGGGATAATTTCTTTATATCCATGTGGGGTACCACTTACTTCTTGTGAAAGAGAGGAATAAATCTGATAGATTTGGTGGATTTAGTAAAGTTCGCTAAGGAAAATAATATTTCCTGCTTACTTTAAACTAGAGTGTAAAGAGGAGGCAATAAGCTTAAAACAATCGTTTTCACTCATAGTAAAACAGTGAGTGAATGAGTGAGTGAGTGAGTGAGTATGGTGTTACGCAGCTTTTAGCAATATTCCAGCAATATCATGACGGAAGACACCAGAATTGGCTTCTCACATAGTACCCATGACGAGAATCAAACCCGGGTCTTTGACCTGATGAGCGAACGCTTTAACCACTAGGCTACCTGACCGCCCCCATAGTAAAACAGGGGAACATGGACTCTTGGCCATTGGTTATAGGACAGTAACCTGACATCAGGAAGTCTGTGTGATATGGGTGAGTACTTGTAGAAAGGTCTATCTTCCAGTAAGCACTGTCAGTTGCTGCTTAACAACTAATGGTCCAACTTGGTGAAATCCAGCAACATCTTGTGTGGAGAAGTCTCTGAGATAATGATTAGCGAAGACAGTATCCAATATCCAGAAACAACCTTACATAATTGTCGGGAAGGAGCAGTTGCCATGAACATGATGAAGAGCTAGAGTAGACGCCATGGCTCTCACTTCATGCGGAAGAATGTAATTCAAGTTTAAAAAATTATAAAAAAGGATTAAGTTTGATAGGATGGCTCGGATTACAAAGCTCAGGATATTTTCCCCCAACACTCAAATGGCCAAAAATGAGAAGAATGACGAGTATACTGGCTTGGTAACGCAGACCAGGGGTGTGTTTGGGTGAGCTGCTCTCTGGAAACACAGTTCATGAAGTTTCCACTACAATTAGTACGAGTCAGGATAAGGTAAAATGATTTGAGTTCACTGAGATGGGATGAAGCTTCTTAAGTTAACTATCTAGCTCTTTATAGCAGCAGCTGGGCCCACTTGCACAAAACGATCTTAGCGCTAAGACTATCGTAAGCCTATGTTAAAGTATGGGAGTTAAGATCATCTTAGCGCTAAGATCGCTTTGTGCAAGTGGGTCCTGGACTTGATTATCACACACTGTCACTTGTTTGGAGTCAGTAAAAGTTAAGCAAGAAGTCAGCAGACAAGATGGTGACATTTTCACTTAAAGTGATTCTATTTGTTGTCAAACTGAAAAAATATCATCAACTTATATGTTTGATACCCATGAACCATTTGCAACTATTTCATGTTTGGTGCATTCATATTCATTGATATCTTTCATGATAATTTAAAAATTGATATGGTTCCTTAAAATGATAGGAACCCAACGCTCCCTGAAAGAAAATCAACTTGCAGGTCTGTGTCTGTCAGAACAATGAATCATGCAGAGCAAGTGACACTACATGTAAAGCTGGGTTCACAGCTAACAGTTCATCCCAAACAGTCTCAACCAGGCATGTTACTTTGGAAATAACAGAGCTCCAGATAAGCTTTTGGTGTTGTGGGTATTTAACCCATGCATTTTAAAATCATTGGGTATCAGTAAATCTATCTGGGTATTCAAATTTCTGTCACCCACTAGTTTTTACACATGTGGGTATTTAAGTTAAATATTTAAAAACACTATTCATGTAGTCCCTGCAAACTGGTGTCGTGTGGGTTCGAGAGCTTTATAGGACTAAAAAATACCACGATACTTCCACATTTGCTAATCGAATACGCAGGGTTACTTCACAATATTTTGATGATACGCACAAGTTTTATTTTTGTAGATTATCTGTAATGTTCGTTGCGTATTTGATACACTTGGATTTTATTTTTCTGCGTATTTCTGCATTTCTGATGCATATTTTACCGCAGCTTCTCTGGAGCTCTGAATAACATATTAAATTTACACATGAGACTATTCTTATTTTACAAAAGTATTCCAAAATAGTGCCATGGCACTGTAGCTCACCTGGATATGAAGTCAACAGTTTCAAATGTCAGCAAGACAGCCACTTTACACAAGTTGTGGTCAGCATTGATTTTGAAATTCTTTCTGATAGAAAGACAATTTTCTGTGTTTTACATATTTTGTGTTTATTTCTAATAAAACACTCTAAATTTCAAAAATACCTTGGTTATTTAACCTCAATTTAAATTCTGATGCCAGACTGCAACTTCAGCCTCTAGTCGGAAACCCGAGTATAATAAAATCTATGTTGGTCAAGTAAGATCAGCCGATACCAGTGCATTAACAAAGACTAGTCTACTGATAATAATGCCTAGATACAAGTTCAGGTTTGTAATTTCAAATTCCATTTGTTCAAAGCTAGAGTCCAACTATGTGTTACACAGGATACCTCACCAGTCTGTGACAATAGTAACTAGTCAAAGCCACAAATTTAACAACAATTTTATTCAATCTGTTGTCCCAATACTAACACTAAAGCTCCACACAATTTCCGTATTTGTGTAAAATATGCAAAACAAGTCACCATTACCCAGCATGAAGATTTTCAGAAATCCAATAGTTTTTCTTTTCAGATCTTTATTTACTGATCGAATGCTGGCATCATGAGAACTCTACAGCAGTGAAAAACACAACAGTGACTTGTATTCGCTGTTGTGAGTTTATGCGACATGTTACACACTTGGGCCAGCACACAAACAGCTACAAATTAGAAGTCACATAGCACATCATTTTAAGCAGAATTATTTAAGAAAAATGTCTAGTCATTGGTCTGGACCCAAGGGAGTAATATCACTACCCAATGTAAACGGTATGTGTGAGTAATTATTATATGGCGGAAAAATTTATCTGAAGCCCTGTGACACAAACATCTACTGAAAACTTGAAGGAGGTTTTACTCATAAAAAGGTATGTCTCCCCCCTCCTTTTTTTGATACATTATTTCAAGTTGTTACTACAAATGTGTTTGCAAATAAAAAATATAATAAAAGCAAATTATTGCCTTAAAAAATAATGGTTCCATACAGAAATATTCATTAGCTGTAGAGTTTTGGAGGGAAGCAAACACTACTTGTTTCCGACTTAGAGAGTGTGTGTGTGTGTTTGGACACGTAATGATGCCAAGTAGGGGATGGTAGACTAAACATATTTTAAACATTGCACTAGTTTGACTGTTGGAGACTAGCCTCAGCCATGAACCCTGATAAAGCATTATAGTTGAGCAGCGACAACGGCATGCACCCCACCTACCTCTGCATCAGTGACATGGAGGAAGTGAGCTTGTACTCTCAGAACCTCATCAACGTTGTTGGTCTGTCGGAGCTGTGTCCATCTCTTCTCCTGAGTTGAATCCCGATTTGACTTGAGAGTGATGAAGGACTGCCAGTTGGCATCCTTCAGGAGGGCGTGGTTCGGGGAGTCTGATCCCCACGCATCCTGCCCGCCCTACAAATAGGAGAGGTGGGGTGAAACGGGGTTAAAGGCTTAAAAAATGAAAGAATTGGTTCCCAGGCAATAACTTTTGAAAATATAGTGCGGGCAGGTATTGTCTTTTTTGGTTTGTTTTTTTGCTTGTTCAAACTAGTATGTAACTAAATAAACAGTTGTGTACCATCAACCTGGGAAAGGGCCTCCCTACATAAACAAGCATACAAACTCCTACTGTGCGCTGTTTTGGATCGCATTGTGTTTAAGTGTTAGGATTTTGTTTGTACTTTAAAAAAAAAAAAATGAAAATAAAAACGAAACGTGTGGTGGACATTATGATGATGCAAGGGGTGCCTGAGAACCAAGACTATTTGTTTATTTAGCCTAATATTGACTATTACATCATATGTGTGTGTGGCTGCTTGTCTTTGTCCAGACTAATGCAGGTTACAATAAGGACACATTAATCCCATCTCACCAACTTTCTGTCATGTTATGAAAAGATAAAACACAACTGAACATCAACAGTTTCCCCATTTCAATATTTTGGTCCTTGTCTCCATGTTGCTCAGACAATATTTCCAAAATGTTCAGGCTTGTTTACACCTTATTCTCAACTTGTTTACACCTTATTCTCAACTTGTTTACACCTTATTCTTAACTTGTTTACACCTTATTCTCAACTTGTTAACACCTTATTCTTAACTTTTTAATCTCTTCAATTTAACTTGGTTATTATTTTCAACATGTTCAGACCTAAATCCAAATTCATTCAACGCTTCTTTTCAACTCTTTTTAGGAGTTCAGATCTCATTTCAGTTAATTTCGACCTTGTTTTATACTGGTACCTTGTTATCATAACATAACCAAGCAGCATGAGTGAACCAGTACACCATCACTCGCTGTTTGACCTCACTCACCTCAACCCTGTCATACATCTTGAAGGTGTTCATGTGTTCTTGCTTGATGAAGATGTGCTTGAACCTGCGGTTGATGGCAGCAAACAGCTCCATCTCATCCGCAGTGCTGCGGATGCTGTCCAAGTCCTGGGACAAAACTCTCACATGAATACAAGTCTGTAGATCATCTACACATATATTTGCATAAATATGGTCCAGGGCCTAGTTCCACAAAGCGATCGTAGGGCTATGATTGTCGTAAACCTATGTTAAAGTATAGGAGTTATGATCATCTTAGCGCTACTATTTCTTTGTGGGGTCCAGATCTTAGTAGAAGTAAATTGGCACTTAATAAATTCTTGCTGTATACATTTGAATTCCTAACACTGTGCATGTATGCCGTACAACACCAGTCATATATACTACAGCAAAAAATGTGTTAAAGAACACCTAATTCAGGTCATATTAACTATAGTGATATGAAAGAATTGGGTGTTCTTTATCTTCTTTTGAGTAGTATATATATATATATATATATATATGTAAAATAAAATAATAAAGTCCACGTTAGTCCATCATCTTCTTTATATCAGTTTCATACATAGTACTTTCGCTGTCTCATGACAGCTCTTCAGTGTAACTGACATTGACATATAATGACGTCATACTTATAATGACATCATAAATTACATCTGTGACGTCATAATGTATTTACACACTCCAGCGACGACACCAAGTAATTTAATTTAATTTAATTTAACAATTTTATCTCATTTTTGTATATATATATTTTTATATATATATATCACTTAACTAACTACCATTCATAAACAAACACAGTTAAGTCACAAATATTTATAAGAAACGCAATGTAAATGTTGAACAGAGTTTTGAATAGCCTCCCATTGTTCTGCCAGGATCTGCTGTTCATGTTTCTGAACTGCAGATTTAGCTACGAGTCTTGGTTTGTCAGTAACATGCTCATGAGTCCATTCAAGAGACAAATGACCTGTGAAGATCTGGGTTAGAAATGGTATTTAGGAACCCATGCTTGTCGTAAGAGGCAACTAACGGGATCGGGTGGTCAGACTCCCTGACTTGGTTAATGCATGCCATCATATCCCAATTGCATGGATTGATGCTCATGATATCCATCACTGGATTGTCTGGTCCGGACTCGATTATTTACAGATCACCGTCATATAGCTGGAATATTGCTGAATGCGATTAAACTATAAGCAAACATTCAAAGTGGCAAACAATCTACATCATCAATGATCATGGCTTTCCTCCCAAATTACGCTGACACCGTATTGTTGTTTGAAATGGAGTTGAACCCAACTCATTCAATCAAAATATTGCCATGTCATATGTTCCTTACCTTGATTGCAGTTAACCTTCAGTTCAACATAGCTATATTACTGTTGCACCCTGGCACCACTAAAGTTATCTCATAATTTTCCGGATCTACAATCTCATTAAAATCAGATCTAAGTTCTCGCTGCCGCTGAACAAAGATCTGAGGTCATTCCATTACCGGTCACGTCAGAACGACCTTTCGCAAACTCTGACCGATCACTTAAATGACTGACATGAAGTCGACATCAGCCAATTAGAAAGCAGTTTTACGGCACTCAGTTCAACCTGGCGACTTCCATTTCACACTACGCTTGAAAAATATGTTGACACAGTTCTCGATTAAAATTTTGAAAATTGAACAGATGAACATTCCGGAATGTCTTCTATATGGTTGAGATTGTTTGGCAGTGCTTCCCATGTACCGTGAAACGCTTCTTCCATTCAAATGTTAATCCCATGGAAGAGATAGACTTTTGACGGAATCAGTCGTAAAGGCTGTAACTGCTGTTCAGAATACCCCGTGTTAACGTTTTCGAGGTTGCATGATTAGAAAAACATTCCAACTGTCACTTTCATGATCTGGTAAGCAACGCTTTGATTGGTCGTATGAAAGGTTGTTATGACGTGACCCGTAATGAGATGTCCTCAGATCTTTGTTTAGCGGCAACGAGAACTTAGAATTGATTTTAATGAGATTGCCTGATCTAATTCCCGTTAACTTGCAATAAAGAGACCCCCCATTACTGTCACTCACAAACTGGATGCCGTAGATGTTGACTAGGAAGGCAAGTTGTGGCTTCAAGGCGTCGAAGTCCGTCACATGACGGGGCAGACACAGGTTGTGTTCATCTGATGCCAGACCACCTCCTGGAAACCATGGAACCACAGCCATATAGTACACACAAATTTGTTTGTTTATTTGTTGTGAATCGAGTCCAGTCTCCCCTTATCTTATGCCGATTCTGGGGGCAAAACAGGACCCTTCTCCCTCCCCATCCCTGTAGTATCCCAACAAGAGGACAAAGTCATCAATATCCCCCACAATGGTAAATACTTGTCTTGTATAAATATATGAGACTTGTTGCCATGGAAGCTTGACAAATATTTGTTCAAATAATCCCAAACTATCAAAAGGCACCAGTTCACCACTAGAACTATCTGTGTGCCAAGTTTGGAGTACAGAAGTACTACTTCAGAAACGAGCATTACCCCCAATTTCAGTCGAAGTCAAAGTTGTTGCCATGGATACTCAAATATAATTTTTTTTTAAATCCAACACTATGAAAAGGCACCATTTCACCACTAGACCTAAAGATTCATCCACACTAAAGTTATGTCTAAGGTTAACTTTAAATCATCGTACAAGGGAACCTATGAGAACTACAGGAACTCTCCAGACAGCTGTCATATTGCTGGGATATCCCTACTAACTTCTGACAATCTCATAAGACATAGAAGATAGAATGGAATCACTAAAATATAATCTCTATCTGTTTTACTCATCTTTCTATTTACACGTGTCATCCAGTTCGACAGATCAGAGTATAAATGATGTGACTATAGACAGAATTTGCACGGATCGGGAGGTGAGTTTGAGACAAACAGGAATTTGACATATCCAATTCAACAGATCTGAGTATAAATGATGTTAACAAAGACAGAATTTGCACGGATCGGGAGGTGAGTTCGAGACAATCGGGAATTTGACACATCCAGTTCGACAGATCGGGGTATAAAAGATGTTAACATAGACAGAATTTGCACAGATCGGGAGGTGAGTTTGAGACAAGCGGGAATTCGACACATCCAGTTCGACAGATCCGAGTATAAATGATAATAACATAGACAGAATTTGCACGGATCGGGACGTGAGTTTGAGACAAGTGGGAATTCAACACAATGTTTGACTGTAGTTGATAAATAACCTAATTACAAACAGACAATCCCCACATCCAATCACTGACCTGAGGCAGCAGCAGCATACAGCATGGAGGATGAGGCGAGGGGGTTGGTGGAGAGGAGGGTGAGGTTGATGGGAGGTGGGGCAGGGATGGGGGTTGACAAAGAGCGGCTGGAAGCAGCAGAACTTGGTCTGGATGCGGGTCCTGAGCGAGGACGACTTCCAGGGAAGAGGCCCATACCATCATCGTAACGGGATGCGAAGCGGGAAGCACCTGTTATCTCCTCCTGAAACAAGTTTTAGAATGGAATATAAGGATGAAATGTCAACTGTTGAATGTCATGGAACATCTTGAGAGGGTTGAATTGTAAGCTGCTTTGGTCTATATTTCAGTTACATCAGGGTATATCAGCTTATTGTGGGAGTGAAACACGAAGTGATGCATGTTCGGTGAAACCCACAAGGCATGGAGCTGACAAACTCAGAAACATAATCAGGGCAAATCTTGGATTCAAACCCATCATATAGGTTCATGGCACTCATAACAGATGCATCCCTGCAAAGTGAATTCCGGCGCCTATGGCAATTAAGCAACTGGAATAATGTGCTGCCTCAGAAGTTCCATTTTTAGCTCACATCAGAAACTTAATGTTTGGCTTGTTATTGCAAAAAAACAGTTATTTAATTTGAATCAGTTCAGTATAAAAACAGAGTGTAGTTAAGTTCAACAGAAGTAGTTCCAGTACACAAATCAGGCCTCACCTGTTCCACTTTGTCCATGTCTGGAGGTGCGATCTCCGACTGGTGACTCACTGGCAACCACTGGAGAACCTGTAAGTACATGCAGGAGATCTAGTATCTATGTCTTAAACATCCCCACTGCAGCAAAACAAGGGTTCTTTGGGGAAATATCATAAATTTTTAAAACAATCTCGGTTGATGAAAATGTAACAAATTACCGGTAATCCTGATGATAAATCCAAATATTAGTAAAATCTAAATATTTTTTACATTTGTATACTTATCCTGCATTACTTCTTAAAACATTCACTGCTAACCTTACGACAACAAAAAAGACAGCGTAGGGCGATTCTCAATTCTCATGTGACAAATACCTATACTATAATCAAATGGTATAATTAAACAAATTATATAATGACAATCTCATGTTGAGCCAGAAATGTGTGACAGCCATCATCATGTTCTGTGAGCTTGTGATTCTTCAAACAATCTCATTAAAATCAGATCTTAGTTCTCGCTACCGCTAAACAAAGATCTGAGGACATCCCATTAGGGCTCACGTCAGAATGACCTTTCATCCGACCAATCAGAGCGTCGCTTACCAGATCATGAAAGTGACAGTTGGAATGTGATTTCTAATCATGCAGCCTCAACAACTTTAAAACGGGATATTCTGAACGATAGTTACGGGCTTAACGACTGAATCTATACAATCTAGACCATATATTAGCCTTTCGAGAATGTTCTTTTGTTCAGGTTTCAATTTTTAAGCAAGAATTTATCAAAATATGTTTCGAAGCGTAGTCGCCAATTTGAAATTAGTGCCGTAAAGCACGAGAAAACTGCCTTCTGATTGCCTAATGTCGACTTCTTGTCAGTAAATCCATTGGTCGGTCAGAGTTTGCGAAAGGTCGGTCTGACGTGACCCGTAATGTTATGTCCTCAGATCTTTGTTTAGCGGCAACGAGAACTAAGATCTGATTTTAATGAGATTATTCCTCAAATGGCCACTACATCAATGACTGGTGACCAGCAACCCTGTTAACAGAATCCAACAATTCTGTATCTCCGCCGTGTGTTTACCCTGAGGTACTGGTTGAACTGCTTGACAGAGTGGAGGTTGCAGATGAGCCAGCGGAGATAGATGAGCAGGTCCTCCATCTTGATGGCGGTGATGGGAGTATCCTTGCCCTCCAGTAGACTCTCCCTGGCCACACTGAGACGCTGGGCGCGTTGCACGCAGTCGTGGTACTCGTTCAGGATGTGACTGCAAACATACATCAGGTCAGCTGGACCGACAACACCATACACAAGATCAAGTTAGACCAGCAACACCAGATCAGGTTAGACCAACAACACCATACATCAGATCAGGTTAGACCAACAACATCATACACCAGATCATGTTAGACCAACAACACCATACATCAGATCAGATTATACCAGCAACATCATACAAGAGATCAGGTTAGACCAACAACATCAGACACCAGACAAGGTTAGATTAACAACATCATGCACAAGATCAGGTTAGACCGACAACATCATACACCAGATCAGGTTAGACCAACAACATCATACACCAGATCAGGTTAGACCAACAACATCAGACACCAGACAAGGTTAGATTAACAACATCATATACCAGATCAGGTTAAACCAACAACATCATATACAAGATCAGGTTAGACTAACAACATCAGACATAACATCAGGTTAGACCAACAACATCATACACAACATCAGGTTAGACCAACATCATAGACCGCATCAGGTAAGACCAGCAACATCATACACCAGATCAGGTTAGACCAACAACATCATACACCAGATCAGGTTAGACCAACAACATCACACCAGATTAGGTTAGACAAACAACATCATACACCAGATCAGGTTAGACCAACAACATCATATACCACATGAGGTTAGACCAACAACATCCTACACAACATCAGGTAAGACCAACAACATCACACACAAGATCAGGTTAGACCAACAACATCAGACACCAGATCAGGTTAGACCAACAACATCACACATGAGATCAGGTTAGACCAACAACATAATATACCACATCAGGTAAGACCAACAACATCACACACAAGATCAGGTTAGACCAACAACATCATACACGAGATCAGGTTAGACCAAAATCATATACAAGATCAGGTTAGACCAGCAACATCATACACCAGATCAGGTTAGACCAACATCCTACACCAGATCAGGTTAGACCAACATCTTATACAAGATCTGGTTAGACCAGCAACATCATACACCAGATCAGGTTAGACCAGCAACATCATACACCTGATCAGGTTAGACCAACAACATCATACACCTGATCAGGTTAGACCAACAACATCATACACAAGATCAGTTTAGACCAACAACACCATACACGAGAAAAGGTTAGACCAACATCATATACCACATCAGATAAGACCAACAACATCATACACCAGATCAGGTTAGACCAACATCATATACCAGATCAGGTTAGACCAGCAACATCCTACACCAAATCAGGTTAGACCAAAAACATCATACACCAGATCAGGTTAGACCAACATCATATACAAGATCAGGTTAGACCAACATCATATACAAGATCAGGTTAAACCAGCAACATCCTACACCAGATCAGGTTAGACCAGCAACATCCTACACCAGATCAGGTTAGACCAACAACATCATACACCAGATCAGGTTAGACCAATAACATCATACACCAGATCAGTTTAGACCAACAACACCATACACGAGATAAGGTTAGACCAACATCATATACTACATCAGATAAGACCAACAACATCATACACCAGAACAGGTTAGACCAACAACAACATACACAAGATCAGGTTAGACCAACATCATATACCACATTAGATAAGACCAACAACATAATACCCCACATCAGGTTAGACCAACAACATCATACACCAGATCAGGTTAGACCAACAACATCATACACCAGATCAGGTTAGACCAAGAACATCATACACTAGATACCAACAACATCATACACCAGATCAGGTTAGACCAACAACATTATACACCAGATACCAACAACATCATACACCAGATCAGGTTAGACCAACAACATCATACACCAGATACCAACAACATCATACACCAGATCAGGTTAGATCAACAACATCATACACCAGATCAGGTTAGATTAACAACATCATACAGTAGATCAGGTTAGACCAACAACATCATACACTAGATCAGGTTAGACCAACATCATCATACACCAGATCAGGTTAGACCAACAACATCATACACCAGATCAGGTTAGACCAACAACATCATACACCAGATCAGGTTAGACCAACAACATCATACACCAGATCAGGTTAGACCAACAACATCATACACTAGATCAGGTTAGACCAACAACACCATACACCAGATCAGGTTAGACCAACAACATCATACACCAGATCACGTTAGACCAACAACATCATACACTAGATCAGGTTAGACCAACAACACCATACACTAGATCAGGTTAGACCAACAACATCATACACCAGATCAGGTTAGACCAACAACATCAGACACCAGATCAGGTTAGACCAACAACATCATACACCAGATCAGGTTAGACCAACAACACCATACACTAGATCAGGTTAGACCAACAACATCATACACCAGATCAGGTTAGACCAACAACACCATACACCAGATCAGGTTAGACCAACAACATCAGCCACCAGATCAGGTGACAGCAAACAACTATATCCTTGTGGTGGAATCTGTCAAGCATGGGTAGGGTGTTGACAAACAGAGAACCATAATCAGGGTGAATCTTGAAGACTTGAATTCCAATCACAGGAGTCTAAGGGACACAACTTTACACTGTGAATTGTGCTCCTTAGGCCTGCGGTACCTCCTCCATATCCCCAATACAGAACATGAATGAAGGACATGTTGACAGCTTACCTCAGTTTCTTCTGATAAAGTGGGTAGAGGGCTTCAATAGTGCTGGTGTGTTCACAGAATCTCTTCCATCTCAGCATGTGCAGGTGCTTGCACTGAACCAGCTGCTGAATACGTTCCGTGAAATACTGAACACACAAATATATTGGTCATGTTAGCACATGGCCACATTTGCTTTCAATCTCATTAAAGCCAAATCTTTACTCTGTTGCAAAACATCAATTTCCTTCATCACAACTCTGAAATGTACTGAAATACTAGCAAAACATAATGCTGCTTACAACATTGTAAGAAAAGGTTTTATAGAAGAAAAACATTCTTTTCTTTTCTGAGTTTTGCTTTTCAGATTTGTATTATGATGTGACTGACTTCAGGCAACAATACCGAGTATGTACTGGTCATGGGAACAAATACCCAAAACAAAATTAAACAAATCTAATCCTATATAATATCCAACAGAAACAGTAAGCAATTGGTTATAACTAAAACAATTAACAGATGAACACAACATATATGAGTGAGTGAGTTAGGTTTTACGCCGCTTTAAGCAATATTCCAGCAATATCACGGCGGGGACACCAGAAATGGGCTTCACACATTGTGCCCATGTTGGGAATCGAACCTGGGTCTTCGGCGTGGCGAGCGAACGCTTTAACCACTAGGCTACCCGACCGCCCCCAACATATATGAAGAAAACATACAAATTGTATTTAACTGTATGTCAAGATATGTAATAATAGTCTTATTCTTCTGACAGCCAAATATGTTTTTTTTCTGACACCATCACAAATAATTCTATAACACAAAACGATGGATAATATCATGATCTATTACTGTAAACAATGCTCTGACGTGACATCCCATTCACCGGGCTAATGCCTGCTTTGGGGCATTCAACAGGTTGAAATACATGGAATGTCCTCCTACCTGATGAAGAAGCAGCGGAAGACTCTGTGGGGTGTATTCAGGGGCTTCAGCGTTCATCATCTCCGTCTTCATCAGGTCAGCCTGCACCCTCAGTGGCTGGGCCTCGCTCACCTGAACATGGACGCATCATCTTTGTAGGCATCAGCACAAAAAGAAACATTGTTGCCAAAACAGACGTCTCCACCATAAACAAAGTTAGCATTCAGCACTTACCAATTTACAGGTCATACCAACTTAATGACTCCTTCAACTGATATGCAGGGCCCACTTGCACAAAGTGATCTTAGTGCTATGACTATTGTAAGCCTATGTTAAAGTATGTGAGTTATGATCATCTTAGCACTAAGATCGCTGTGTGCAAATGGGCCCTGGTTATTTTCTTTCCAGATGGGTTATGGGTAAAAGCCTAGTAGAAAAATTAAATTGCAAAACCTCTAGCTGGTGATCCTAAAAAAACTGACAAAGGGAGGCTACTCTGATCATTTAAAAACTGAGCCTCTTCCTGTTTCTTTTAAGGTTAACATTAAAACAGACATAATTGAGTTGGCCTGGCCCATCAATATCATATACATTCACCTGCATGGCTCTCTTAATGATCATCTTTCTCTCACGGCGGAAGTGCTCCACACTGCTAGGTATCGGCACTGAGCTGAAACAGCAAGCAAGAAATGAGTAGAACTCTCTCAGTCTGCTGTTATTGTCAGGGAAACACAGAATTGCATGAAGATCTGGGTTAGAATTAGTCTTCAGCTTATGCCCATGTTTGTTGTAAGAGGGGACTTAAACAGGATCAGGTGGTCAGGCCTGCTCACTAGGTTGATGCATGTCATCCCGTTAGTCACCTCTTACGACAAGCATGGGTTGCTGAAGACCACTTCTAACCTTTAATGGCTTTATCTTCATGGGTGTTATATGCAACATACAAAAGCTCATGAACAATTTCAAAAACACAGTTGTATAACACAGTTGTAATTAATTACCCAATGTAACTTACGTGCCTGTATTTGTTTACAGATCATTATTTTACCGATCGACTGCACACATCAAACAAACTCTACTGCAGTGAATACTGCATAGAAAAGGCAACATGTCTCATTTTTTGTTAATTAGACATGCGAATCACTGTTGTGAGTGTATGCGACATTTTACACACTTGGCAAATGCTTGGGGCAGCACATGACTACAAACTCACCTGAAACACCATTTCACACAGAATTGTTAAAGAAAATGTCTACTCATTGGTTTAAAAATACCCAATAGACTCATCTTCCTGAGGCAAGGCTGGAATTTCTGAGCTCGATTGTAGCGCCACCAGTGGCTATTACGAGTTATGTCCCTTCTAAGCCTAATGTCAGATGGATGTCAATTTCGCTACGTGATTGTGATTGGACTATGCATTGGCTAATTAGTCCAGCCAAAAAATAACTCCATAATCCCAGCTTTCTTCGGCAAGGGTGGAAACTGGACTTTTATAGACAGTTAACTCCCTTGCCTTGGGAAGATGAATAGTGAGTGAGTGAGTTGGGTTTAACGTCGCTTTTAACAGTATTCCAGTTATCTCACGGCATGTCAGCTTAATGTGGGAGGAAAGCTCGAAGTGATGCAGGTCTCAGACGTTTACCACTTCGGTGAAACCCACGAGCATGGGTATGGTGCTGACAAACCTAGAAACATAATCGGGGCGAACAGGGATTCGAACCCACAATCATAGGTTTCTGGCGTGCCAAAGGGACGAAACTCTGCACAGCGAATCGCGGCGCCTTAGCTGATTGGGCCACCCGTGCCCCCATGTGCACATGAATCTGGGTCTCTCAAGCCAACACTTTAATGAGTACCTCACTTATTCTATTTGTTTATGAAATATATTTAACTAGCCTTATTCTATTTTTTTATGAAATATATTTAACTAGCCATATGATTTTCAGATTTTTGTTAGAGGCAGAAAATATTTTTTGCTATTCCGCCAAGGTATACAATGACTTTTACCAATCAAGAAAGACAGGAATTTTATTTGTCATTCACCTTCATGATGAAGACAATACACCAAGAACTTTATTTTCATTTTGTAATCAATTTGATAGGCCAAATCAAGTTACAGTTTGTCCTGGACAGGAGTTTTTTGTTGAAAGAATCTCTGATACCTGTGAAAGGTAAACTGGTTGATCCATGGTTTGAATGTTGTTTTTAGCTAGTCAACAATATTCAATGCATGTATACCATCAAGGTCTGTAAATTAATAATCATGTCAGCACCAGGCAAACTAGTACATGTAGCTGATCGCCCATGCAGCGACCTCCACTGTTGCAGAGCAATGACACACAATCACACAGGGTACATCTTGTAACTGACATCACTAGTAAACATCACCAGTCAGCTCCTCTGCCATTGTTATGTTACATTAATATCATTGTTTGTTTGTTGTTTAATGCCACACTCAGCAATATTCCAGCTATATGACAGCGGTCTGTAAATAATCGAGTCCATCGAGGACCAGACAATCCAGTGATTGACATCATGAGCATCAATCCATGCAATTGGGATATGATGACATACATCAACCAAGTCAGCGAGCCTGACCACCCGATCCCGTTTGTCGCCTCTTAGGACAAGCATAGTCGCCTTTTATGACAAGCATGGGTTGCTGAAGACCTATTCTACCCCGGATCTTCAGGGTCACATTAATATCAACTCTTAAATTGAGAGACATAGCTGTAGGATTTACAACAGATAACTCCAGCAGGTCATCCTATCAGTACCTTAATTGATATAGATATTCCAACATTATAACACAGCAGAGATACCAACATGATCAACTATTTAAGAATTGCCTTCAATATCTTTTGTGCTTATGAAGGTATAAACGTAAAAAAATGGCATTCAAACTGTAACTATGTAAAGTGTGCACAAAGTTTTTTATGTTTATACCTCCATAAAAGCAAAAACATATTGCGGTCAATTCTTATAAATAAATATGTCAACAAAAGTAACCTCACAGACTTCTTTTTTAATCATTAACGCAAAAATCACTGCAGACAACAATGCACAATCAGTGACATTGTTCATTGCAATAATGCAACACATGCCTCTGTTATTTTATTTTTAGGGGGCATGGGTGGCCCAGTCGTCTAAGGCACCATGATTTGCTGTGCAGAGTTGCATCCCTTGGGCACGCCAGAAACCTATGATTGTGGGTTCGATTCCCGGTTTGCCCCGATAGTGTTTCTAGGTTTGTCAGCACCATACCCGTGCCCGTGGGTTTCACCAAAGTAGTGAACGTCTGAGACCTGCATCACTTCGAGCTATCCTCCCACATTAAGCTGACACTCCGAGATATAACTGGAATACTGTTGAAAGCGGTGTTAAAACCCAACTCACTCACTCACTATTTCATTATCAGTAATCAAGAGTGGGTATGGGCTAATTGTTTTGTTGGGGTTTTGGAAACATAAATTGCTTGGTTAGATAATCAGTTGCCACAGAATAACTTGCACGTTATCTATACACCCATGTTGGAAATGAACCCTGTGCATAAGGGTGAACACACTGATGACTCTGTTTATAGTAAGCTGCCTGTGACATGCGGATTCCAGGGTAGATTTGGTTCTGAAGAACCTATCCTGGTTGTAAAAGACAACATGGAACAGGTGGTCTGTAGGGCTGGAACAATACACCAAATGTGCCACGATACCTTGCTTACGATACAATACTATCATCATGATCATGATACTTGCATGAGCTATTATCTGTGGCAATGTCAAGTTTGCCGCAAAGGATGAAAATATTTACATTTTCACTACCTTTTTTCTCTAGTAATTAGTGTTTGGTGTTACATTTATTAAAGAATACATTTAAGGTAAGAATCGTTACTTGTTACTAAGTTTGCGATTGTGATCGATACTTGTATCGAGAAGTAAAAATCTACTGATGCATCGTCCCACTACTAGTGTATAGACTTGGTGACGGGGCTAGTTGCGTGTCATCATACCCAGTGACAGTGAGGGACATTAGGTGTAATATCAGACTCAATTATTTACAGGCTGCAGTCCTAATGCAGGAATATTGCTGATTGCGCTCTCAAACAACAAACAAACAAACTAAATCAGTGTCAGGGTGACAAAACAACAATAACACTTGTTTCATAAAAGTACCTGACTGAGAACTTGGGTGAGATTCCATGAATTATTTCATTTTCCTCGAGTTCACTCTTCAGGTCAGCTAACTCAGTGCGGAGGTCCTTCTCAAGGTCAGTGACCTTGTCGTTAGTGGAGGGTTGGTATATTTCTTCTAACTCCATCGTGTATCAGTGTCGTGTCCCGTCAGTCTGTGTCAGCTGTAGGTGGGGGGTGGCGTCACTGTCTGGCTGGTAGATATGGCATGTCTTTCACTTCATGTCAGCAATCTGAAGAGCAAGATTAAACATGATACACTTGACATCTATTCACATACAGTAAACTCTGTTTCAAACACTAATTTGGGTTTGCTGATCTGAGCAACAAATACTGTATTCGACGTAATAAGCATCCCGCTCTAATAAGCGCCCACTGAGCGACATTTGCTAAGATATTGGCTAGTGAACAATCCCAATTAGCACCCCTTCTGATTGATCAATGTACACAAGACTTATATATTCGCGTATGATACACACTTGTGTGTTATATGCACCCTTAATTATGGGCATTTAATTCTGGAAAAATATATCTGTCGTACATAAACATTTCAGGCTGTCAGCATAAACCACGAAATTTATCTTTCAACTCTGTTTTTTGCACCAAAATAACATTCTAATAAGAGCACCCTATTACTAATTTTGAGACCGCTCTGAGCGCTTATTACGTCGAATATGGTAAGCTTTTAGTTTGTTTCTGCACCTTTGTATATAGTACTAGTTGGTTTCAAAACAGGAAAATATCCTTACAGACATTGACAAATGCTCATCATATGTGGGTTTTTTAATTAATGTAACACATAAGTTGTACAAAAGACATTTTAACCAGACCTGGAAAAAAATATAAAAATAATCATCAAAGACATTGATAAAAATAAGTAATATTGTATATATAATAAGTAATTAATGTAGATCCAGGGTTGACCTTGTATTATTTTTCCATGGATCTAAGGGCCCCACATCTTAACAGGTTGACATTAGGATTATGACAGGTTCCTTGACTTTCATCAGTGAAATAATTGTGGCACTGAAGCAATGGATACAAAATATGAAGTATATTGAGCGATTTTGCTTGAGACAAATGGCATAAAAGGGCCAGTACGTAGACCCTTCTGAAGTTTTGTTTGTAAACATATGCAGATATAACCAACAAGCTAATCAACTTTTCATAGGACATTCTTAGATATATTTTCCAAATTTGAAAAAAGCATCATTAGAACAATCCAACATGAATAACAATCTAAAAATGCCAAAATAAAATGATCTAAAACCCTGAAAAAATCATTGCCATTATAAATTTGACTGACGCACAGTTAGGTAAAAAATTAATTATCTGCATCATCAAACATAACTGCAAAGATTGACACTTTGGCATTCATAATAATACGAAAATATAAGGAATATTGTGAAAGCCTTGTGAAAATATTATTAAGTCAGTTGTATCATTTCCTTTCCACTGCAAAATTACACAGAAATGGACTTATAAAAGCCAATTTGAAACCATTACTGACATACAGTAGTAGTAATGGCATGACTTTTAGGGTAACATAATCTACAGATACAGAGACATTGCATATGTTAACAAAATATGAACTGAATGAAATAATAATGAACTTATCACACCAACAGTGAAGATTAAACGTATCAATAATAGGTGTTTTTTTGCAAGACCCTTGGTCCGTGACGTGAGTAGGTGATTATTGTTGACACCCAACTGATATTGCTCTTTCTGCCAAACACACTAAAATCTATTTCACAAACATAATCGCATATTTGGCATGCTATTCAAGGTGATTTCTTTCATATAATACAAAGAAACTGGGAAAAATAAACACACCACAATACTTTCTTTTTACATTACTTTCAGCAAGTGCGTCCAGTCGCTCGGCAACCACCGTGAGAGTTCTCAAAGGGACGTAACTCTAAAGCGTGTCCTTGATTCTGCATCAGCTTGATTTTCTTGTTGGCACATGATCTCGAAGACGGGTTCAAACACACAACAACGGTGACCTTTTTTTAAAATGGTTTGCTTTTCTTTTATTGAAATATTGAATAAATGCAAACCAAAAAGACACAGTTTCATTTCATTTCGGAAACAAATGAAACCAAAACCATATCTTAATCATTCAATATGCACTATGGACTTGACTATGATTGCATGCGTTTACAAAGAAATAATTTCATGTTTAAAGGTCGAGGTATTTTTTATATCTCTGATAATTAAGTCAATGTCTTCTGTCGCAAAGTTTTCTAAAATGTTAAGTAAGAAAAACAGCGTATTTAAAAATTTAATGTTTGTTGATGGTTTATTCTAAAGAAGAAGGTAGTCAAGTATTTCCTCAAATTTCCAAAGTGAGTGTTTCACCTTGCTTAGGCTTTGTAGTGAGTGAGTGAGTATGGTTTTATATACACCGCTTTTAGCAATATTCCAGCAATATCATGGCGGGGGACACCAGAAATGGGCTTCACACATTGCTACCCATGTCGGCGTTACGAGCGAAGTCTTTCGCCACTTGGCCACCCGACCGCCACACATTTGTTTGTTTATGACTCAAATAGTGAAGCTACCAAGTGTACGCGAAAAGGTGAGCGTATCCTGCCCCACCGGTGGTACCTATCACAAACACATGCAAAGGCAAGTCAATTGTTCACCTGAAAAACACACACGAGAACACATGGTACAACATATGGTTTAAACTAGGGCTTCACACAATGTACCCATGACATGTGACATGTGACATGTGAACGCTTTAACCACTAGGCTCATGATATAGTCGGAATTGTACAACCGACTCTGTTTTATGTAGAGATTTCTATTTGATAGTAGAGTGCGGCGCTAAACATCAAACAAACAGTTATATCATGGAGGAAGTGCATGGTTTTACTGGTTTTCTGTGGCTGTTCGTCCTGTGGGCTGAGAGTTGAGTGCATGGCCTGGTAACACTTTTAGCCTGCGCAACTTACGAGACTTACGAGACTTACGTACTCGGAGCATATCCGTGGTATTGAACACTTTCCTGTTTCAATACTCTGTGTCATATGTCATAAGTCATATGTGTTAATTTGATGAGGTGTTTTAACAGGGACATGATACGCTCACCTTTTCGCGAACACATGGTATCATTACTATTTGATAGCGATTCAGAAACACATGCTCATTATATAGTCGGAATCGTACAATCGACTCTGCTTTATGCAGAGATTTCTAAAGGATATGGAAATGGTTTTGTCGCTTTATCAACATTAATTCAGGTGGCGATGAGGTACATGTACCTGACTCTGAGGACGTGGGTTCCAGTCTGTACTGTTACTTCGCAAGTTTGCAATTTGTCAATGTGGCATCAATATTGGCGACATTACTACTGGAACCTGCTTGTGTTTGGTTCGCCTTGTATTTGTGTCTGTTTGTTTGTTTGTTTGTTTGTTGTTTAACGTCGCACTCAGCAATATTCCAGCTATATGACGGCGGTCTGTAAATAATCGAGTCGTGATTGACATCATGCGCATCGATCCACGCAAATGTGATACGATGACATGCATCAACCAAGTCAGCGAGCCTGACCATCCGAGCCCGTTTGTCGCCCCTTACGACAAGCATAGTCGCCTTTTACGGCAGGCATGGGTTGCTGAAGACCTATTCTACCCCGGATCTTCACGGGTCCACAAAACATCTAATCCACACAAATACAAATCAATTGGAGAAAATTCTACGTGTGCATCTTGCAAAATAACAAAATGATGCTTCATTTGTTTTGTTCACTCTACCTCCTTAATGCATTTTACATAAAATTGTATTGTCCAAGCCATGGTACACGACATGGAGTCTGTGGTATGAAATGTTTACATGTTCTTTACATTTGAGAGAGATAGAGGGAAACCATTTATCATGATTCGAAAGCAAAACATTCAAACTTACACATGTCAAAGGGTCCATCAACTCATTCTTTGCCAGAATCACACCAGGATGCCGTTGTACAAAGCGATCTTACAGCTAAGGTGATCGTAACTTCAATACCTTAACATAGACGTACGACAGTCGTAGCGCTAAGGTTGTTTTGTGCGACACCCATGGGTATATGGATAAAGGCTGAATATGACGTTCTTGAACGTCAGTACCGCCAACGTGGTGGCGTCGACCAGCCTTGTTGCATCAGTAACCTTTGGGTGATAGCACAGATTCAGATACGTCACCGGGAATCATCTTGAGAACAACAAATACTTCAAGTGTTTGAATCGCATTTAGAAGTAAAACAGGAAATACGAAGTCGTAGTGGATAGAGCTTCTGCCCTGAAAGTGGAAGTGAGTGAGTGAGTGAGTATGGTTTTACGCCGCTTTTAGAAATATTCCAGCAATATCACGGCGGGGGACACCAGAAATGGGCTTCACACATTGTACCCATGTCGGGAATCGAACCCGGGTCTTCGGCGTGACGAGCGAACGCTTTAACCACTAGGCTACCCCCCCCCCCCCCCCCGAAAGTGGAAGGTCTTTGGTTCGATCCCCGGGAGCGTCATACCAATAGACCTCAAAAGATGGTACTTATTGTTACCCTGTCTGAGAGGGTGAAACAATGGTATCTCAGGAGGATAGTACTATAAAACCGGCCTTAGTCTCGTACAAGCAGCCACGCGCATACACGCGCGTAGCGATATTTGAGCAATAATCTTGATTGCGACGTTAAATCCCATTTCACCTCCCCTCACCTGACTGGAAATACCATCCAAAACGGTATAAACCCAATTCACACTCCCGATGATGTTCAGCAACAAACGTAGTGGATAGAAATGCTTGGGAATAGTATGACAGGCAGCATCATTAAACATGTTCTTAGTTAACTTTCTATTCATCATTGAAATATGCATAATCTTCTGTGCGTCTGCAGTAGTTATGTTTGAATCACTCTTTAAATGTTGTTTCCTTAATGATATTTCAATTTCTTTTCAGGTTTGTTGCACGTGAATTTTGTCCAGACACCTGAAGTTTCCCAGCTTCGTGTATTTCACATCATCGCCATGGATACAGTCCCACCTGCAGCGTCAGGTGTCCGCAGCGCCAGCAGTTTCCTGTTTGACAAGGCATTTGTCGATGGGCAGTGGGTCGGTGCCAAGTCAGGCTCAGTATACCAAAGTAAGATTATTCTTATAACTTCATGTAGTTATCCACGGTTATATTAACAAAGGACAGGGTATGTCAGCGATGCTTTTTTCACCCACAAGATTATTCAAGAATGGAGCAAAATTGTTCCGATAGTCATCAGATGTGTTCATTTGAATGATAATTAGACATCGGTGTTCTTTTGCAGAAGCACACCAAATACAGTAAAGTACGGTTATAACGAACTCAAAGGGACTACTATTTTTAGTTCGTTATAACCGTAGTTCGTTATAAGCATATATACAGCATAACTACAGCAAATAGTCGGAACTAAATAGTTAGTTCGTTATATCCGCCAGTTCGTTATAAGCGTGTTCGTTATAACCGTAGTTTACTGTAGTCTTATTCTAAATGTTTTCAGGAAGTTTATAGTTCATGTTTGAACATGAGCAAGTCTTTCACCGAGAGTGATGTGTTTTGTGCAAATGCAGGTGAAGAAATTACATGTAAGTGGAACAGAATTCCTCTTGGTTAGGGACCTACATCACTGTAGGCTGTCTCACTGCATAAGCTGATATACAGCGACGTAACTGAAATGTTGTTGAAGACCCAACTTTACAGGGCATTGTAACATCATCAGTTACCAGATGTAAAACAGTGAGTGAGTATGGTTTTACGCCGCTTTTAGCAATATTCCAGCAATATCACGCGGGGGACACCAGAAATGGGCTTCACACATTGTACCCATGTCGGGAATCGAACCGGCCTCAGATGTAAAACACTTGATAAAGAATCTTGTACAAGGTATATGGTGAATGGTGAAAACAAACCACAAGCCACAATTTACAAGATGCATCCTAACCAGCCTTCTTCCTTACAGTGGGTTATAAGAGTTTTTAGTGCTTTCAATTGGGCCATTCGCAAAAGGTTCCAGTGAGACTGATGATGATGTGCCCCATGTCATTGTTTTCTTCTTCTTCATCCTCCTTCTCCTCTTCTTCTTATTGTTTGTTATTTCTCCTCTATGTCTTGTCTCCATCGCCTGTTTCCCCGCAGAACCCGTGAAGATCCGGGTTAGAATAGGTCTTCAACAACCTATGCTTGTGGTAAGGTAACGGGATGGGATAATCAGACTCGGTGACTTGGTTGATGCATGTCATCGTATCCCAACTGGGTGGATCGATTCTCATGATATCAATCACTGGATTGCCTGGTCCAGACTCGAATATTTTACAGACCGTCGTCATATAGCTAGAATATTGCTGAGTGCGGCGTAAAACAACAAACAAACAAAACAAAAAGTTTTCCCGCAGTCACCAACCCGTCGACAGGCAAGGTGATTGGTTCCGTCCCTGACATGAACGGAGACGACACCCAGCAGGCCATAGAGAAGGCTAATCTGGCATTCCTCAAGTGGAGGGACACCACAGCAAAGGTAGGCAACATGTGGATGTGTTAAAGTAGAAATAATCCTAAAGTCTTGCATGTCTGCTTGAGTTTCAAATTGGTCCAGCGATATCAGGTATAACGTTTAGTTGTTTACATATAGCTACTGCATGAAATACTTCTCTATGTGGACAACGTTAGTGAACCTTCCCTTTGAACTATTTTGCAGGAACGGAGCTTGATTCTCAGGAAGTGGTTTGATCTAACCATCCAAAACAAGCTGGAGTTAGCTAAACTACTGACAGCTGAAAATGTAAGAAAAAAGAGTCTACAGTTTATGACCTTTCTAGTTTCAATTGAAACCAGATGTCGAGATAAGCACACGGAACATTACATACAAACATGTTCGTCACCGTAAGATTGATAAAATAAACCTTGCGATTCACACCTTAAGCTTGAAAAAAGTCATTATCAAAGTTAACGAGAAAGAAGGGGTAAACGTTTTGAATTACAATTGCTCATTATTTAGCACTAGAAGTGTCATTCACCGAGTTCAAACATGGAACAAATGTATTATTCTTGTTGGCCCAAAGGGCACACCTTCCATATTTATGAGGCCACATTGCATTAATTTTTTTTTATTTCTATCTCCGAATGTAGGTCCTCTGAATACCCGTGAAGATCCGGGGTAAAACAGGTCTTCAGCAACCCATGCTTGCCATAAAAGGCGACTATGCCTGTCGTAAGAGGCGACTAACGGGATCGTGTGGTCAGCCTCGCTGACTTGGTTGGTGCATGTCATCGTATTCCAATTGCGTGGATCGATGCTCATGATGTCAATCACTGGATTGACTGGACCAGACTCGATTTACAGAGTTGGAATATTGCTGAGTGCGGCGTTAAACACACACACACACACACACACACACACACACACACACACACACACACACACACACACACACACACACACACCAGGTAAAATGATTCCCTTTAGCTCTGTCATGCCCACCCATACTGCCAGTATCTATATACACTTGCTATTTCCCGGTCCCCAGGGCAAACCCTTGCAACAGGCCTTGGCTGAGATATCTACTGCTAGTGGGTTTATCGAGTGGTATGCGGAGGAAGCCAAGCGTGTCTACGGTGATGTCATTCCGTCAACAGCTGCCAGCAAGAAGATGCTGGTCTTGAAACAGCCTATTGGAGTGGCTGGTATGATTACTCCCGTAAGTCAAACATCTCAAATAAAAATGAAAAAAGTGCATTCTACAAAAATTGGCTAATTATTTTAAGGTAACACTGGCGTGATGCATATGTCAGGTCCTTCTTGAAACCAACAAACATATCTATGCCAATAAAGCAAGCATCACAGCAAATTTGGGATTTGAACCCACAGTCCTTGGACTCTGGCATTCAAAAGGGAGGTAACTCTACACATTGAATTGCAGGGCGACTGTGCAACCCTAGTCAAATACATGTAATACCAATGATCACTTCCATATCTACTGTAATTGTCCAATAATCATCTGAATTAAAATATGAAATCCATTGTAAAACTTGAAATTTCACAAGAAGGCAAAATCATCTATATCCCCTGACCTTTTAAATGTGAGCATCAAGTCACAAAAGCTATGTCATTTACCTCATTTTGCGACCAGTGAGGATTCCGGGGTAGAATAGGTCTTCAGCAACCCATGCTTGCCGTAAAAGGCGACTAACGAGATCGGGTGGTCAGGCTCGCTGACTTGGTTGATACATGTCATCGATCCCAATTGCGTGGATCGATGCTAATGATATCAATCACTGGACTGTCTGGTCCAGACTCGATTATTTACAGACCGCCGTCATATAGCTGGAATATTGCTGAGTGCGGCGTTAAATAAAAAACCAACCAACCTCATTTTGCCCAAACCTGGTAATCTGAGTACAACTGACATTATCTGATTATGATTGGTGACTAAACCAAACAATTCCCTCTATTCTTTAAATGTTTTCAGTACCTTCCAAGGATGTGAAGTAGTGATGGTACATTTTAATAGATCAAACTTTTCATTTGATAACAATGCACTCACTGAAATCAGATCTCAGTGCTCGATACCGGTACACAAAGATATGAGGAAATCCCATTACACCTTCCACCAGAACACTGGTTTCAAACTATTCCAGATTAAGCTTTGAAAAGATATTTGGCAAAGATTTCGATTAAATTTGTAAACTGAACAAAAGACAATTCTGGAAACTCTACTAGATGGCCGAGATTGTATGGCAGTACTGCCCACGAGCTTCTGCTTCAAATGGGATGTCCTCAGATCAATGTTTAGCGGAAGCGAGCACTTAGATTTGATTTTAATGAGATTGACAACAATGGTCCATATAATATTTTCAAAACTCCGGGGTAGAATAGGTCTTCAGCAACCCATGCTTGCCGTAAAAGGCGACTTCGCTTGTTGTAAAAGGCGACTAACGGTTTCGGGTGGTCAGGCCTGCTGACTTGGTTGATGCATGTCATCAATCCCAATTACGTTGATCGATGCTCATGATGTCAACCACTGGATTGTCTAGTCCAGACTTGATTAGTTACAGACCGCCGTCATATATCTGGAATATTGCTGAGTGCGTTAAACAACAAACCAACCAACCAGAGTAGTAAAAGGCACCAGTTCAAAGCATGCATACAAACTTTCATGAAAAAAATGTTGAACGTATGTTAGTTACGCTCCGGAAACGAGGTGAGGGGAAATTGGGTTTAACGTCGCGTCCAAGATAAGTCCACTTATAAAGCACGTGTGTGTGTGTGTGGCTGATTGTACTTGTCCGGACTGGTGCCGTGTTTATAGTATTATCCCACTGAGATACCATGCCGCAGATTTACATGAATACTCCACTCAGACACAGTATACCGTCTCCGAGCCGACCATTTTTATCCCCTTGATGCCCAGCGCCCGGCAGGGTAATAGCATGTTCCATCTTTTAACGTCTGTTTGTATGAGGCAGCCGGGCATTGAACCCCAGACCTTTCGCTCTCTGGGCGTACGCTTAACCACTAGAACACGGAGGTTGCCACCTAGAAACGAATCCAACCCACATTTAAATTGCTACACTGATACGCAAACAAAAGAAGCACGATGCATGCCGGTATATGTGTCTCGTATGCTCTGGAAAAGAAACGTGATAGACGGACAAATGGAGTCCATTTCTATATTCCCCGCACAGCTGTGTTCACATGGGCAGGGCGTTATAAACATTTTCTTCTGTATTGGCACGGGCCTATGTACAAGTCCGTGGTATTGGTAAGATGTTAAGTTTCACAAAACCCATTTGGACAATGACCGTATTTGTGCTACAGTGGAACTATCCCAGTGCTATGATCACAAGGAAGGCCTGTGCGGCCATTGCTGCCGGTTGCACCGTCGTCTTGAAACCAGCAGAAGACACGCCGTTCTCAGCTCTGGCCATGTGTCAGGTGAGTGGAGGGTATTAGGACACCTACTGTTCTCAGCTCTGGCTATGTGTCAGGTGGGTGGAGGGTATTAGGACACCTACTGTTCTCAGCTCTGGCCATGTGTCAGGTGAGTGGAGGGTATTAGGACACCTACTGTTCTCAGCTCTGGCTATGTGTCAGGTGGTTGGAGGGTATTAGGACACCTACTGTTCTCAGCTCTGGCTATGTGTCAGGTGAGTGGAGGGTATTAGGACATCTACTGTTCTCAGCTCTGGCTATGTGTCAGGTGAGTGGAGGGTATTAGGACATCTACTGTTCTCAGCTCTGGCCATGTGTCAGGTGAGTGGAGGGTATTAGGACATCTACTGTTCTCAGCTCTGGCTATGTGTCAGGTGGGTGGAGGGTATTAGGACACCTACTGTTCTCAGCTTTGGCTATGTGTCAGGTGAGTGGAGGGTATTAGGACACCTACTGTTCTCAGCTCTGGCTATGTGTCAGGTGAGTGGAGGGTATTAGGACATCTACTGTTCTCAGCTCTGGCTATGTGTCAGGTGAGTGGAGGGTATCAAGGACACCTACTGTTCTCAGCTCTGGCTATGTGTCAGGTGAGTGGAGGGTATTAGGACATCTACTGTTCTCATCTCTGGCTATGTGTCAGGTGAGTGGAGGGTATTAGGACACCTACTGTTCTCAGCTCTGGCCATGTGTCAGGTGAGTGGAGGGTATCAAGGACACCTACTGTTCTCAGCTCTGGCCATGTGTCAGGTGAGTGGAGGGTATTAGGACAGCTACTGTCGTCCAGGCAAACTACAGAGGAACACTCCAACCACCACGTTCCTTTCATGAATGTTTGAGCTTACTTTGAGAATGTCATCATTGACTTTGTCCATCTGTAACTTCTGAACGACGAAACCCCTATTCCACACAACATCAGGACATCACTATCAAATTTGACCAAAATTTACTCCCTGGCTTCAAAAGATCAAGACTTTCATTTTGAAAGTTTTTTTATCAACATTAATATAGAAAGAAGAAATGTGTTCTTTTCAGGGTTAATATAATTTGTAACACTGATTTGCAAAGGTCTATTTAAAAAAAAAGAGTTTCCACTATACTCAAGAGTGAGTGAGTATGGTTTTAGGCCGCTTTTAGCAATATTCCAGCAATATCACGGCGGGGAACACCAGAAATAGGCTTCACACATTGTACCCATGTCGGGAATCGAACCCGGGTCTTCGGCGTGACGAGCTAACGCTTTAACCAATAGGCTACCCGACCGCCCCACTATACTCAAGAAGATATGGTATGTACTCAGTCTTTGACTTCAGCCAGTAAAATTCAGTTTGGTCTCGTAAGCTTAGCTAATAACAGCTCATTTTATAACACTAAACTATACCGAAAATGATGATGAGGCCTTGTTCGCGCTATTGTCTCAAACGTTTTATCACACACTGTATATTATGTTTTAATAGAATCCAACTGCAAACTGATTCAGCAAAAAGTCTCTGCCTTACAAACAAATCAAGCTGTTGCAGTGATAGAATCTTTCATTTGCCTCTCTCCCTCCCCCAGCTGGCCAAGGAGGCAGGCCTCCCGGACGGAGTCTTGAATGTGGTGACCAGTTCCCGTGACAACGCCCCTGCAGTGGGCAACGTGCTGTGCACCAGCCCCGTCATCAAGAAGATCGCCTTCACAGGGTCCACAGTCACAGGGAAGGTGAGAGTACATTGGGGTCTGCCATCTGTCATCTGCCATCAGGCAGGCTATACTTTTATCATATACTGTGAAACCTCGCTTGTCTGGTCTTCGTTTATCCTGAAACGGGTGATTACGTGTAGAACCATGCAAATGACATTACACGGTAAGAATGATTTGTTCATCCGGAAATATTTTTAAATAGACGATTGTTTGGGTCTGTCGAGATTTACCGAAGACACAGTAACTATGGTTACACTTGCGATTATTAACACCACAAACGTAGGAAGGAAACTGATTTCAGATTATCTGCATTCATCATTAGGATACGATGAAATGTATTCAACCAAGTCACTATGTTTGCCTCTTATGGCAAGCAATTCGAAATCCCACCTGTACGACAATAATAGGTTGCTGGTGGCCTATATTTTTAACAGGAATCCTCACGCGTAAAAGCAAAGGTTCGTGGCCCTATTCTTCTCATGGGAGTCCTCACGTGTACGACAAGCAGAGGTTGCTGGGGACCTGTATTGTATCCGGACTCCCCACGGGTGGCGTCAGGTTGAGCATCTCACAAAGGGAGTTGTGTCTTGTAGATTCTCCTCCAGCAGTCGGCTTCTACGGTGAAGAAGGTCTCACTAGAGCTGGGCGGAAATGCACCGTTCATTGTGTTCGACAGTGCCGACATTGAGGCAGCTGTCCAAGGGACCATGGTCAGCAAGTTTCGAGGTAGTGGGCAGGTAAGGCCATCAATATGTTTTGTTTTGTTTGTTTGTTGTTCAGCGCCACCTATCCTTTAAAGTTGTGCGAATGTTGGTCCATAGTGTCGGGGCAATTCATTTTAGCTGTAACATGTGAAATGATATCTCATTGAGTTAATGAAGACCGAAATTGTTTCTTTTAGATGTTTAACGCCATACTCCATACTCCATATTCCAGCTATAACACTGCTGTCTGTAAATGATCGTCTGGACCAGACAATCCATTGATTAATATTATGAGCATCGATCCAAGCAATTGGGATAAATGTCATGTAATCACCGAGCCTGTCGACCTGATCCAATGAGTCGCCTCTTATGACGAACATAGGTTGCTGAGGACTTATCTTCTTACCTGTCGATAACACAGAATCGAACCTTCAGTGTTCTGAAATAGATGGTCACAATTTCCTATTTTCTACAGACAATGTGCGTACCTACAATATAGCTAAACAGATGTAACTGACCACTTTGACAATGCATATGGCGCCATCAATACTGACACTGTTACAAGAATATAGAAGCAAACGTTTAATTTTCATCAATTGAACTGCATGGATCGTCATTATTTCCCGTTTCCTCAGATGTGTGTGTCTGCCAACAGGATATTGGTTCAGGAAGGAGTCTATGACCGGTATGTTGCACGTCTCGGGGAGGTCATGAACCAAGAACTGAAGGTCAGGGACGGCTTTGACGACAGCACCACACAAGGACCTCTCATCAACAGCAAGGCTGTGGACAAGGTTAGGAGGCCTATGGGGAAAATATGATTTTATTATTGTCAAAATGTGATCAAATTTGATGAAAGAGATTATAGCTGAGTGTGTTTCCGTTTCGTAAATATCCCATATTATGAATAAAAATTGTATCATGTGGGCTTTAATACATTTAAAACATAATACAAATTTGTTAATTCCTAATACATGATATTAACAATACAGAAACACATGATGGTAATAATATCTTTATCACCTAATGACAATCTTGCAATAATCGATTTGTAAGACATAATTTCATCATCTTCCCGGGGCAAGGGCGTTAACTGACTATAATAGTTCAGTTTCCACCCCTGCCGAACTTTGCTTCAATTTCGTGGCTCGCTCGTAGCGCCACCAGTTGGCATTAGGAGTTACGTCCCTTATATGTTCCTTATATAGACCAATCAGATTCCATCTCTCATATCACTTACATTTGCTTTAAACGAAATGGCAGCGCCCAGTCAAGATGATCTGATCGATAATCAAGATATATTTTGTTATACGACAGGTCTTACTTCACGAAATGCATCAAATTACTTGAGCACCTTCATTAAAAACATGAAAAGAATCGGAAACATTTGTCGACGCCAAGTTGACGTTACACATGCTTTTCAAATCCTGCAGTCGACCCAAATCTGCACGTTGAAATCCATGTTGTTGGTGTCTGGTTCACTACGCGATTTTCATTGGACTATGCCTAGACTCGTTACTCAGGAATTCCAGCCTAGTTCGGCAAGAGTGAAAACTGGATGTTTATAGTCAGTTGACTCTCTTGTCTCGGGAAGATGTAATTTATAGAATATAGAAGTAGCAGTATATGCCACTTGTTGACTTGAAGAAGGCATCGTGGCCAGTGCTGAGAAACTCACTTTCTCTGTGATATAGAAGTAGCAGTATATGCCACTTGTTGACAGGTAGAAGGCATCGTGGCCAGTGCTGAGAAAAACTCACTTTCTCTGTGATATAGAAGTAGCAGTATATGCCACTTGTTGACAGGAAGAAGGCATCGTGGCCAGTGCTGAGAAACTCACTTTCTCTGTGATATAGAAGTAGCAGTATATGCCACTTGTTGACAGGAAGAAGGCATCGTGGCCAGTGCTGAGAAACTCACTTTCTCTGTGATATAGAAGTAGCAGTATATGCCACTTGTTGACAGGTAGAAGGCATCGTGGCCAGTGCTGAGAAAAACTCACTTTCTCTGTGATATAGAAGTAGCAGTATATGCCACTTGTTGACAGGTAGAAGGCATCGTGGCCAGTGCTGAGAAACTCACTTTCTCTGTGATATAGAAGTAGCAGTATATGCCACTTGTTGACAGGAAGAAGGCATCGTGGCCAGTGCTGAGAAACTCACTTTCTCTGTGATATAGAAGTAGAAGTATGTACCACTTGTTGACAGGTAGAAAGCATCGTGGAAGATGCCAAGAGACTTGGTGCGAGGCTGGGATGTGGGGGCAAGAGATCGGACAAGGGAGTGAACTTCTTTGAACCGACACTGCTCTCCAATGTCACGCTGGAAATGAGGTGTGCTGAAGAGGAAATATTTGGACCCGTTGCTGCAGTTATCAAGTAAGTTGCAAACATGGCTGTTATCAACATCACAGGCTGCAACAAGTTTCTTTCAACTGGATCTAATATCGTGGGTTTGCAACACTTTTTAATCGAGTTTGGTCATCTGTTGATATATGCTACTTGAAAGAGTTAAAGAACACTCAAATTCTTTCATATAATATAGTTAACCTCTCATGGCGCCAAATTCTTTCATGTAACTTTAGTTTATCTCTCATGGCAGTCGAACACCAGATGCGAAAGAATCCGGTGTTCTTTAACTTCTTTTGAGTAGTATACAATCATACAGCCATAAACAAGCAGCACATATACAATAGTGGACATGTAATTATCCAAAACTATTTTCTGATGGTATTTTAACTTCCTTATGTTTGAATTGACGCACACACATACGCACGCACGCTTGCACACACACATTTATATTTTCATGTATTCTATTGATGGAATTTGGTTCTTTACAATATGAACCTAATGTTTTCGTGTTTTCTATTGATGGAATAGGGGCTCCTTACAATATAAACATATTGTTTTCATGTATTCTATTGATGGAACATGGGCTCTTTACAATATAAACATATTGGGTGTTTTCGTGTATTCTATTGATGGAACATGGGCTCTTTACAATATAAACATGTTGTTTTCATGTATTCTATTGATGGAACATAGGCTCTTTACAATATAAACATATTGTTTTCATGTATTCTATTGATGGAATAGGGGCTCTTTACAATATAAACATATTGTTTTCATGTATTCTATTGATGGAACATTGGCTCTTTACAATATAAACATATTGGGTGTTTTCATGTATTCTATTGATGGAACATGGGCTCTTTACAATATCAACGTATTGGGTGTTTTCGTGTATTCTATTGATGGAACATGGGCTCTTTACAATATAAACATGTTGTTTTCATGTATTCTATTGATGGAATAGGGGCTCTTTACAATATAAACATATTGTTTTCATGTATTCTATTGATGGAACATAGGCTCTTTACAATATAAACATGTTGTTTTCATGTATTCTATTGATGGAACAGGGGGCTCTTTACAATATGAACCTAATGTTTTCGTGTTTTCTATTGATGGAATTGAGGCTCCTTACAATAAAAAACATATTGTTTTCATGTATTCTATTGATGGAACATTGGCTCTTTACAATATAAACATATTGTTTTCATGTATTCTATTGATGGAATAGGGGCTCTTTACAATATAAACATATTGTTTTCATGTATTCTATTGATGGAACATAGGCTCTTTACAATATAAACATATTGTTTTCATGTATTCTATTGATGGAATAGGGGCTCTTTACAATATAAACATGTTGTTTTCATGTATTCTATTGATGGAACAGGGGCTCTTTACAATATGAACCTAATGTTTTCGTGTTTTCTATTGATGGAATAGAGGCTCCTTACAATATAAACATATTGTTTTCATGTATTCTATTGAAGGAACATAGGCTCTTTACAATATAAACATATTGTTTTCATGTATTCTATTGATGGAACATTGGCTCTTTACAATATAAACATATTGTTTTCATGTATTCTATTGATGGAATAGGGGCTCTTTACAATATAAACATGTTGTTTTCATGTATTCTATTGATGGAACAGGGGCTCTTTACAATATGAACCTAATGTTTTCGTGTTTTCTATTGATGGAATAGAGGCTCCTTACAATAAAAACATATTGTTTTCATGTATTCTATTGATGGAACATTGGCTCTTTACAATATAAACATATTGTTTTCATGTATTCTATTGATGGAATAGGGGCTCTTTACAATATAAACATATTGTTTTCATGTATTCTATTGATGGAATAGGGGCTCTTTACAATATAAAAATGTTGTTTTCATGTATTCTATTGATGGAACATTGGCTCTTAACAATATAAACATATTGGGTGTTTTCATGTATTCTATTGATGGAACATGGGCTCTTTACAATATAAACATATTGTTTTCATGTATTCTATTGATGGAACATAGGCTCTTTACAATATAAACATATTGTTTTCATGTATTCTATTGATGGAACATTGGCTCTTTACAATATAAACATATTGTTTTCATGTATTCTATTGATGGAATAGGGGCTCTTTACAATATAAACATGTTGTTTTCATGTATTCTATTGATGGAACAGGGGCTCTTTACAATATGAACCTAATGTTTTCGTGTTTTCTATTGATGGAATAGAGGCTCCTTACAATAAAAACATATTGTTTTCATGTATTCTATTGATGGAACATTGGCTCTTCACAATATAAACATATTGTTTTCATGTATTCTATTGATGGAATAGGGGCTCTTTACAATATAAACATATTGTTTTCATGTATTCTATTGATGGAATAGGGGCTCTTTACAATATAAAAATGTTGTTTTCATGTATTCTATTGATGGAACATTGGCTCTTAACAATATAAACATATTGGGTGTTTTCATGTATTCTATTGATGGAACATGGGCTCTTTACAATATAAACATATTGTTTTCATGTATTCTATTGATGGAATAGGGGCTCTTTACAATATAAAAATGTTGTTTTCATGTATTCTATTGATGGAACATTGGCTCTTTACAATATAAACATATTGGGTGTTTTCGTGTATTCTATTGATGGAACATGGGCTCTTTACAATATAAACATGTTGTTTTCATGTATTCTATTGATGGAACATGGGCTCTTTACAATATAAACATATTGTTTTCATGTATTCTATTGATGGAACATTGGCTCTTTACAATATAAACATATTGTTTTCATGTATTCTATTGATGGAACATGGGCTCTTTACAATATAAACATGTTGTTTTCATGTATTCTATTGACGGAATAGGGGCTCTTTACAATATAAACATATTGTTTTCATGTATTCTATTGATGGAACATAGGCTCTTTACAATATAAACATATTGTTTTCATGTATTCTATTGATGGAATAGGGGCTCTTTACAATATAAACATGTTGTTTTCATGTATTCTATTGATGGAACAGGGGCTCTTTACAATATGAACCTAATGTTTTCGTGTTTTCTATTGATGGAATAGAGGCTCCTTACAATAAAAACATATTGTTTTCATGTATTCTATTGATGGAACATAGGCTCTTTACAATATAAACATATTGTTTTCATGTATTCTATTGATGGAACATGGGCTCTTTACAATATAAACATATTGTTTGCATGTATTCTATTGATGGAATAGGGGCTCTTTACAATATAAACATGTTGTTTTCGTGTATTCTATTGATGGAACAGGGGCTCTTTACAATATGAACCTAATGTTTTCGTGTTTTCTATTGATGGAATAGAGGCTCCTTACAATAAAAACATATTGTTTTCATGTATTCTATTGATGGAACATTGGCTCTTTACAATATAAACATATTGTTTTCATGTATTCTATTGATGGAATAGGGGCTCTTTACAATATAAACATATTGTTTTCATGTATTCTATTGATGGAATAGGGGCTCTTTACAATATAAAAATGTTGTTTTCATGTATTCTATTGATGGAACATTGGCTCTTAACAATATAAACATATTGGGTGTTTTCATGTATTCTATTGATGGAACATGGGCTCTTTACAATATAAACATATTGTTTTCATGTATTCTATTGATGGAATAGGGGCTCTTTACAATATAAAAATGTTGTTTTCATGTATTCTATTGATGGAACATTGGCTCTTTACAATATAAACATATTGGGTGTTTTCGTGTATTCTATTGATGGAACATGGGCTCTTTACAATATAAACATGTTGTTTTCATGTATTCTATTGATGGAACATGGGCTCTTTACAATATAAACATATTGTTTTCATGTATTCTATTGATGGAACATAGGCTCTTTACAATATAAACATATTGTTTTCATGTATTCTATTGATGGAATAGGGGCTCTTTACAATATAAACATATTGTTTTCATGTATTCTATTGATGGAATAGGGGCTCTTTACAATATAAACATATTCGGTGTTTTCGTGTATTCTATTGATGGAACATGGGCTCTTTACAATATAAACATATTGTATGTTTTCATGTATTCTATTGATGGAACATTGGCTCTTTACAATATAAACATATTGTATGTTTTCATGTATTCTATTGATGGAACATTGGCTCTTTACAATATAAACATATTGTATGTTTTCATGTATTCTATTGATGGAACATTGGCTCTTTAGAATATAAACATATTGTATGTTTTCATGTATTCTATTGATGGAACATGGGCTCTTTACAATATAAACATGTTGTTTTCATGCATTCTATTGATGGAACATGGGCTCTTTACAATATAAACATATTGTTTTCATGTATTCTATTGATGGAACATAGGCTCTTTAGAATATAAACATATTGTATGTTTTCATGTATTCTATTGATGGAACATGGGCTCTTTACAATATAAACATGTTGTTTTCATGCATTCTATTGATGGAACATGGGCTCTTTACAATATAAACATATTGTTTTCATGTATTCTATTGATGGAATAGGGGCTCTTTACAATATAAACATATTGTTTATTTTTTCATGTATTCACTTGAGGATCTTACTAATTGGGGGTACGGGTGGCCCAGTCGTGTAAGTCGCCACAATTTGCTGTGCAGAGTTGCGTTCCTTTGGATTGTGGGTTCAAATTCTGGTTCGACCTGATTATGTTTCTAGGTTTGTCAGCACCATATCTGTGTTCCTGGCATCGTTTGAGACCTGCATCGCTTCAGGCTTTCCTCCAACACCAAAGTGACACATCGTCATATAACTGAAAAGCTGTGTTGAACCAAACTCACTCACTCACTCACATGAGTAAACACAACTAAGAGCAGAGAACTGAGACTGTTACTGACTGATTTACAGGTTCAAGACAGAGGAGGAGGCAGTTGCCATAGCAAACTCCACCAGTTACGGCCTGGCAGGTAAGGCAGTATTTCCATGGCAACATTCTTGTGGCATTTCAGTTAGTTTGTATGGCCGCGCCAGGTTCGAGTCCTGTTTTGTACAGATGATGACTAATGAGATTTATCAGGGTGTCATGCAATGCCTCTAATTCTTTACTTTCTGGTCTAAGGTAGAAAAATGTTGTTATCAGTAAACATTACCTGTTGGCCCTTTCAGCATTCTCTTCGCAAACCATTTCACAAGGGAAACGCCAGACTGTATGGTGTCATGCATGGCCTGTTAGGCTATTGTTGTCTGGCAACATCTTCTCATCTGAAAACAAGGAACTGAATAAGTCTTTAACCGGGCACAAAAGTTTCTGCAGATATAGATATACAGATATAGTGTTTCAAATGATTTTGACCCATAGGTTATATTTTTTGTTTGAACTAAAATTCATAAAAGAAAACAAAGACCTGAATATTGAAATTTATCTTTGTATGTGCTTAAATGTCTACAAGTGCGTCACCTATAGGGAAAGGAAAGATTAAAATTCATCCATTTTGAAAATTAAGTTCTTTGAAAAGACGAGAAGAGAAATAACAAATCTTGTAACAAGCTTTGTTATTTTATTCCCTGAAAGCACCACTTTTATGAAAATAAGGTTTATATTCTCCAAGGTTCGTTCTCATTCATACTTTATTACTTTTTTCTGTAAAAGTTTACAAGGGGAGACTATTCATCATTGACAAGCTCACAGGCATATTAACCTTTTGACTGAATGGGTTGAGCATTTTACCTCCAAAGTTTAATATGGATGTTGTAGCTCGAATAAGAAAATAAAACACTTTTGAGTGATTGAAAACCCCCCAAAATGTATGTACACATGTGGGAATCACACTGGGCAAGATATTGATGCTGAGTGGCTTCACTTTGCTGATCTTTTAGGATTTCATACATATGACTAAGCAGGTGAGCTACAATTGGTGCTAGTTTTGTTTTTGTGATTCACAAGAACTAAATCCGTTACATCTGAACATAAAAGTACAATTCATTTTCTTGTCATCCTGCAGGCTATTTCTACTCACAAAACCTGAGCCAGATCTGGCGAGTAGCAGAGAAATTGGAGGTTGGTCTGTGTGGTGTTAACGAGGGGCTCATCACCGCCATAGAGGCACCTTTCGGCGGAGTGAAGGAGTCGGGTCTCGGAAGAGAGGGCGGCAAATACGGAATTGATGAGTTCCTTGAGATCAAATATGTCTGTCTCGGAGGTATATGATTGCCATGTGCTAACCTGGCTCTTGTTGCTTATCCACGCACCTCAAAACCACAGTAGGTTAAAAACAAGACAATAAAAGACAAATGCTGGAGAAGTGTGATAAAAGCAAGTCCAAAAGGAAAGTAGTATCGACATATCAGTCGGCTCCGGACAATCAACTTCTCTCTTCAAATACATGTCTCGGTACATGAGGTGACATCGGAGAAGAATGAATGCATTATTTACTTCACCAACTATTGTGCACGACTATCAATCGCCACACCTGCACATGCTTTCTTGATCTCCATGCAGCACATTGACCTAACGGGATCGGGCTTGGTTGATGCATGTCTTCGTATTCCAATTGCAAAGATCGTGCTCATGATGTCAATCACTGGATTGTCTGGTCCTGACTCGATTATATACAGACCGCCGTCATATAGCGAGAATATTGTTAAGTGTAGCGTTAAATAACAAAAAAAACCCATTAAACTATGAGAATGTAAAAGAAGATAGTGAAATAACAACGGTAAAGGCGTGTGCATGCCTGTATTAAATATATAGTGTCCGCATTCGCTGAATACAGTGTTGTTGTTGATTTTTGCCCGCCTAGTAAGCAGATATTAGATCACTCAGCCCTTGCTGTGTGGGACGAGTGCACGGGGTATTTTGAGATTAGGAAATCATATTTTCGGGGTCCAAGTCCACAACCGCTACCTGAGCATAGTGTACAGAGGATTGCAACGGGTCGTTCGTATATTAGTTGTATTGTGTTTAACCATGTCGGGAGGTACTGGAATTACCGCGTAAAATGCTGGTTCGCTGCCTTTGCCACTGGAGGTTGTGTAACCACCATCCCCTATCCAAGAACTATTCCGTGTCTTCTGATATAGGAACACATAACATCATGCTTCCAGACGACCTCGGCTGACACTACAACTGCCTTTCTACGGTGACTGGGGTATCATTGGCTGTGGACAGCACCCGCAACTCATTCTTACACTTCACCATGAATGCGGAAGGTTATACTTTCCCCGACACTCGGAACAAACTGACCAGAAAAATACACTTTTTGGGGTCCACTTGGGCTATTTGTAACACGAATCACAAACCGTTATGTGAACCATTATTAATTTTGCTCTAACAACCAAATCAACATCTTATGGTGGTAGGCATTGTGCATACAAAATGTCATCAGATGTAAAAGAGGGGGAGCACTAAGCACCCAGTGAAGAGCTCACAATATAACGTTGTGGATCTGCAGGCGGACAAGTGTTGTCAATTCAAGATGAACAACCTACGGTGGATACTAGCGCCACAATAAACTTCAATTCGTTCCTTTGTTATACACACTATATACCTAGAGAAAGTAGTAAAGTTTCAACGTATTTATACGTTTCTAATGGATCAATCATATTTAAAAACCCGTGTGTAACAAGCAGGATATTGTTCAACCCGTTTATCCTCACTTAGTGATTTGTTTGTTTGTTGTTTAATGCCGCACTTAGCAATATTCCAGCTATATGACGGCGGCCTGTAAATAATCTAGTCTCGACCTGACAATACAGTGATTGATATCATGAGCATTGCTCCACGCAATTGGGATCGCATCTTCCCGAGGCAAGAGAGTTAACTGACTATAAAAGTCCAGTGGAAACTGGAAGTCAGTTAACTCTCTTGCCTCTTGCATCAACCAAATCAGCGAACCTGACCACCCGATCCCGTAAGTCGCCTCTTACGGCAAGTATGGGTTGCTGAAGACCTATTCTACCCCGGATATTCACGGGTGCCTCACTAAGTGAGCATGGTCCCACACCTCTAAGCAATATTCTATAACCGTAATTATATCGACGCGCAGCAAAACGATGGCCTTCACAGGTAATTTAGTAACCATCTTAACTGCAATGCGTCTGCACCGCCTCGTTAGTGATATAAACATCTGCCAGTCACTTCGTGCTGCTTCCTCAGTACTGAATGTAGCAGCTCAATTACCCTTACTAAAACTCTATTAGAACAAGTCGTTATAACATTTATCAGTTTCGAGGCTTAATCTAACATTTATAATGTGTTTCAGTTAATATTTGACACTGCAGTCAGCAATATTCCAGCTCTTATATAGGACTTATATAGGACCCCGATACAGCTAATTTGGCATTCAGAATCATTATTTTGTTGTTTTGCGTTTATGTTGCTTCGCCACTGTATAAGAAACAGATTTTAGTTGGAACTTTATTGGCTAGGCTCGCTAAATACAATGTTTATTCCTAATGCAGGATATTTACCATCCCCAAACACACTCGCGTGATAACCTCTATTTATCCATCCTGGGATATCAAAACACAGGCAACAACCAGCCAAGGTGAATTGTCAGAGATCAGTGCCCTTGTTGCTAAAACGAGGAATCAGTTGACTGTCTGAGTGACGTATTTATGTTTAACTTGGGCATGGTATCTCAGTCGGCTAGCACTATAAAATCGGCATTAGTCCGGAATAGTACAAGCAGACACACACTCACGTACGCACGCACGGCGCACGCACGCACGCACGCACTCACCCACACACGCATACGCGAGCGCACACACACATACACGTGTATGAACGTCACTATAGAAGGGCAATAATCTTGGACGTGTCATTAATGATAAATTGTCACTTATGACAACGCCTGCGCGGAGACGGAGATGCATCCATATTCAAGTATACTGTTTTTAACCCACATTTATGTTGTTTTTAAACAAACAAAAATGAAAACATCTGATTGATAAAAATAATATTTTAGATCCTTTTACTATTTCATTTTGTAGGGTGGCTGTATGTTTTATGATACGTCTTTATGCGGACGATACTATCCTGATGTCAGACAATACTAATGATCTCCAGCATTACATAAATATATTTGCAGAGTACTGTAAATGAAACAGATTAGTTACAAATTCAAGCAAAACTAAAATTATTATATTTAATGGCACAACGAAAGATTTCAAACACGTTTTAAGCTATTTGGTGTTGTTTTACAAAACGTTAATACCTACAAATACCTTGACATACTATTCTCCAAAAATAATACTTTTTCCAAAGCCAAAAACGCACTGGCACAAAGTACACCCAAGACAATGTGTTATGTTGTAAAACAAAGTAAATATCATCATTTATCTATAGAATGTCAATTGAAACTCTTCGAATCCTTGGTAAAGCCAATTTTATTGTATGGCTGTTCAATTTGGGGTATTTACAAAATATCTGTACAGCCACGTTTCGTGAAACTTCTATTCTCTGGAAATAAAAAAAAATACACATTTGAAAATGTAATATGGAGAATCGGGTTTATATCGTTTATTGTTTGACATCAAACTGTATATTGTGTTGTTAGTGCAAACCTGTTCAAAGTAAATATAATAAGTTGGCTTATGATGTATATAAAATATTATTAGATATATGCATCTGAACATTACAAACATGAATGGATTACCTTTCAATAATTGTTTGGTTCAGTAAGATAGGGCAATCCCTAACTGGTTTTACTACCTTCTCCCCAAATAATGGTATGTCCACAAAATTACATGATCAAAAGACCCGTGAAGATCCGGGGTAGAATAGGTCTTCGGCAACCCATGCTTGCCGTAAAAGGTGACTATGCTTGTCGTAAAAAGCGACTAACGGGATCGGGTGGTCAGGCTCGCTGACTTGGTTGATGCATGTCATTGATCCCAATTGCGTGGATCGATGTTCATGATATTAATCACTGGATTGTCTGGTCCAGACTCGATTATTTACAGACCGCCGTCATATAACTGGAATATTGCTGAGTGCTGCGTTAAACAACAAACCAACCAATTGCAACCAACCAACCAACATGATAAAAAATCTACAAGTATGGAGAAACGAAATAGAAAATACTTCAAGATGTATTACAGATATGTTATTTAAAGCTGATTTATATTTTGGAACATGTCTTAAAATTTTGGATAATAAATATAGAATAACAATACCTCATTTTCGCGTAGCGGATCCTTACAAAAGTTTGCAAATCGGTTTTCGGTTCATACGTCAATGAACCGAAAATAATACACAGTCAATACTTATACAGTAAACTACGGTTATAACGAACACGCTTATAACGAATTAACGGATATAACGAACTAACTTTTTAGTCCCGACTATAAGCTGTAGCTATGATGTATATATGCTTATAACGAACAACGGTTATAACGAACTAAAATTAGTAGTCCCTTTGAGTTCGTTATAACCGTAGTTTACTGTAATTACATTCGACAACGTAAAACATGTTTTATCTACAATAGTTTAACAAAAAACAGTTGTATATATCAAAGCAGACAAAAATTACGCGATTGATAAACATTCCAGGTGTATGAATACATACTGTGACGTGACATGAATCTCCGACGTTCATATGAACTCACACAAAGTGAAGGTCAATTCTTAAATGAATGCAATAACACGTGACCAATTCAGCTGTTCGTTGAACGTTGAATTATAATGTAGTGAAACATGTTGTGCATATACAGTACGTGCAGTAAATGATATTGATACAAATACATATTAATTAACTTGTGAATACGTGTGGGTTTTCAGTAAACGTTATTCTACAAATAGAAAGGGTAACTAAATATGTCAGCGGTGGATAAGTAGAAATATTCATCATCGCCTCGGATCTTTAATATTATTACGAAATGACCCAAACAGGGTGAATATTTACATGCTTAACCATTTAGAAGCCGAGGGTAAAGTTGTGTGTTCAGCAGAGAGTGCATGAAAACGTGGACGTCAGCGAACTCAATACCCAACCCGCGGAATATCTAACGGCTGACAAGCGGCAGGTCGCCGGTAAACTGTCCTTTTCTTGGCGACAGATCGAGCTACAGGTAAGAATATAACAGGTGGTCTTTGATAAACATGATTGTCTCAGTATTTAGAGTGAGTGAGTGAGTATGGTTCTACGCCGCTTTTAGCAATATTCCAGCAACATCACGGCGGGGGGACACCACAAATGGGCTTCAGACATTGTACCCATGTGGGGAATCGAACCCGGGTTGCGCCTTGTCACCCGTCAATCATCAGTGATGTACACACCTCGGCCTCATCAGTAACCCAAATTATATTGTAAAAGGTGACTCAACATATACTGTTATACACTGATGGAAATGTATAAGGGGACACTTAGTATTAGACACAGTAAAATGATATGCTATCATGAGTTCCCAGCCTTGTCTTCCAAATACACGACCGCCTCCGTGGTCTAGTGGTAGAGCGTCCGCTCGGAGAGCGGAAGGTCCGGGGTTCGATCCCCGACCGCGTCATACCTAAAGACGTTAAAGGATGTAAATTGGGGATAGTTTCTTTAGCATTTAGGACCGCCTACGTGGTCTAGTGGTAGAACATCCGCCCGGAGAGCGGAAGGTCCTGGGTTCGATTCCCGGCCCCAAACACGTTAAATGATGGTACTTGTTGTTGCCCTGTCTGGCGCTCGGCATTAAGGGGCTACAACAAGGACTGGTCGGCTCGGAGTCAGTATACTGTGTCTGAGTGGGGTATTCATGTTAAACTGCGGCATGGTAACTCAGTGAGCTAGCACTATAAATCGGCATCAGTCCGGTGTAGTACAAGCAGCCACACACACACACACACACACACGCATGCACGTCGCTATATAAGTGCAATAATCTTGGACGCGACGTTAAACCCCATTTCACCTCACCTCACCTCACCTCCAAATACACATTGGAAACAATGCACACAAACTCACTTCAATATTTGATTCTGACATGTCTTGAATGTGTAGGTGCACTATTTCAAATGTACTGACAGTAAAGCTTATTTCCCTATGCGTTTCATTGTTCCCTTATTCCTCCCTATCAGTATGCCTAAACTTGGCTCCCGAGATCCGGGGTAGAATAGGTCTTCAGCAGTCGAAGCTGTTGGGGAACGTTGGACTCAAATTAGACAGGCCACATTCTCTGACCACATGATCCAAAATAAGCAATTTATTTGTTGATTTACAATCGAAATGTTTCGACCTGTATAATAATCTAGGTTTATGATGGTTCTCCTTAATACGTCACGCTACAGGTGACGGCATATTCATACGCGATACAAATCTGTTTTGTATAAACCGTTCTACTCAGTAATACAACACTTATGTGACACAACAGCCATGTATTATATCACTGACACCTCTCATTCTGTTAATACTAGTTTCACGCTGTGATATAACTGGAATACTGTTCAAAGCGGCGTTAAACCCAACTCACTCACTCACTTAGGCGGATTGACACTTAGTGTTATGATAGCCAAGCGCCGTCATATAGCTGGAATATTCGAATGATGCGGCGTTAAACATCAAACAAACAGTTATATCATGGAGGAAGTGCATGGTTTTACTGGTTTTCTGTGGCTGTTCGTCCTGTGGGTTGAGAGTTCAGTGCATGGCCTGGTAACACTTTTAGCCTGCGCGACTTATGTGATGACACGTATCTTCTTGATACTAGAACATCTAGGCAGGTCACCCTGTCTGTTACATATATAGCCTACTTCGAGTGCGTTAAAGGGGCTACACTTTCAAGAGTGGTAAGCTGTATCAGCGAGTGAGTGAGTTGCCATAACCGCCTTTTCAATAGTTTTTTCCCCGGTTTGCCACGATGTGTCAGCTTGCTGTGGGAGGGAAGACCGAAATCTGCATAACAGGCCTACCAAAGAAAACCACCAGTGAAGATTCTCGGGGTTGAATAGGTCTTCAGCAACCCATGCTTGCGTAAAAGGCAACTATGCTTGTCGTAAAAGGCGACTAACGGGATCGGGTGGTCAGACTCGCTGACATGGTTGATGCATGTCATCGATCCCAATTGCGTGGAAATATCTTTATAAATAATAATAAGCCTGTTGTAAAAAGGGAATTGCCTGCCACAAACATTACATTGTTACAAGGTGTTTTTTGGGTTTTTTAATGTTTTTTAAAAACAACAAAAAAACAAACCTTCAGGCTCGTCGTATAAAAGAATATCAGGTTTTGGAATCTGTAGCTATAAAAATATCTAACCTCCAGACAAAATACCACGCCGAATGGTGGGTGGCACGCAATGTGACAAGTCACCACGCCTGGCCATTTAACCGATCGCCTCGTACGACTAGCTTATGACACAGGTTGCTTGGACCAGACCTAACCGGATTCCTCCGGGGCACAACAGAACGTGAATGACCTATTGCAACCTTGGTGATCATATTTCTGTCAAACCAGGGTTGACCAGAATCAACACGAGTTAACCAGTGATTTAAACACAATGATTAAATGCAACTTTTGATAAAATACAAAATGTCTGCCACGAGGAGAAACACACCAGCCAGGTCTGTTGCTATATTTACACACAACTATGAGATGTAAAAAATGTTTCATTGCTTGACAAGGCTAGCACTGTACCTATTCCGTTGAATACATTAGGCGTAGAACAACAAACAGAAATCATCATCAAAGTTGTATTATTTGTTCTAAAGTATTTACATCAACAATCTGAAATTAAATTTCTCTGACGCATATCAGAATATATATATATTCTGATATGCTTCAGAGAAATTAACAATCAATAATAGTTAATATATATATTCTGATATGCTTCAGAGAAATTTACAATCAATAATAGTTAATATATTCATTAAAATGTTTTTATTCATGTTTTATATAAAGAATGATTAGCATTACCATGACGTCACCGCACAGTAGTTCGCGATTCGCGATTCGCTGTGCAGAGTTGCGTCCCTTGGGCACGCCAGAAACCTATGATTGTGGGTTCGAATCCCGGTTCGCCCCGATTATGTTTCTAGGTTTGTCAGCACCATACCCGTGCTCGTGGGTTTCACCGAAGTGGTAAACGTCTTAGGCCTGCATAACTTCGGACTTTCCTCCAAAATTAAGCTGACACGCCGTGATATAACTGGAATACTGTTAAAAGCGGCGTTAAACACAACTCACTCACTCACTCACTCAATAAGTATGTTCAACTTGGGTCACAGAAGTAGGACGTAGATCAGTTAATATGCGCAAACGTTGGTCAGCCAAGGTCAACTTGGGTTATATCTTGGTCAACACGTGTTCACCTGGGTCGTCTAGGGTTTTGAGATCGAACGTAAGCACTATAACAAATTATATATTACAGATCTAGTCTGTAAAACCAGCAATGGCTAAAGATAACCCAGAGACACATTACCCAGTACGCTCAAACTCGCGCTGCAATAAATCTGAAATTGTATCGACCTTAAAAGTGGTACTTATTAATGATCCGAACGGTATTATACACTAACCGTGAACAATGAATGGTCCCTCAGAGTGAAAGGGGCTGGGTCATACGATAACGTGACAACACATACTGAGAAGGATTCAGCATGGTACGTATCTTCTGTGCCCCTAAGTCGACAGTAGTCTGTGGAATGTGTCATGGAGCATTACGTGTGTACCCATGTGTGTATCTGCGGCTGCATGGGATAAGCGAGACGCCGCTGGTTCAGTATCAGCTGTGACTGTGTGGGCAGACGTTTGTGAAGTGTCGCTCGTGTGACATACTCTGATCTTCCTTGTAGACGGTGCACGAAACTCGGTAAGACTTCCGCCCGTATCCCCACTAAACATATGTATGTAAGTTGGCAAAAATGACTAACTGGAGGGAAATAACATTAGTAGTGCATTACCTCAGTGTGCACGGCGAAACATAAAACATGATTCTTCACTAACCAAACTTGTCGCCAACGCAGTTGTGGCCATACTCTGTGACCTTGACACCACTGACATCGCAGCCGACGATGCAGGTCCGTCAAAATAACACCTCGAACTGGTCGTCTAGCGCGAGTATATTCAGAGCGTAAACGGTCCCTCACTGTCTGAGCTGATATCCTACGCAATCCTGATATTGCCGTAGCTGTAGAGGTGGCCGTGGTGGTTCTTTCACGGAAGTGACGAAGCCGTATGACTCTGTCCTGTGCTCTGGTAGTGATACGTGGTCGATCGGATCTGGGAAGGTCAAGTATTGTGCCGTGTGTCTGATAACGGTTCCGCAGTCTTGTAATGTGCTTAGTGCTACGTGGAAAAACCTGGCTACAGCTGAAGATGATTCTCCTCGCTTTTATAGCCCAACAAGTGATGTTGCGCATGCAAGTAATGTTGTATTTTTTCGGCACCAGGCTCTCACGTGGCTGTGTTTTTGCAAGTTTTCCATCTTTTCACCTAATGTCTGCAGTACCTCATTCCCTCCTCACAAATCAATCCCAATCCATGCAGAAATGACCAATTTACTTTTTATATTAATTTTGTATGGATACGGGCGGAAGTCTTCACTGACAGAAATAGTTAGGGAAGTTTACCTACTTACTTAGTGAATTTCACTGTCCACTCACACACTAACATGTCAAGAGATCTTACGAACCAGTTACTAAATATTTGACAAATATAAGTATCGTTAATCTTCTTCTCATAATTTACTAACCCCAATAGTATGTTTACTACTAGTTAGCCTGTAGCTTGTACTACATTTGAGAAAATGCTCTTTTCTTTGCCATTCTGCTCTTCCTGTAGGCAGTTACTGAATAGAATATGCAAAAAAACAACAACAAGTCAATAACAAATAACATTGTACGTGAGAGATAACACATTAATTTTGCAGTGGCACGCCTCATTTAAACCCCTTGGCTCGAAGCGCCGAACAGGTTTAGATCCATTCGTCACCACTCGCCCCTTTTTGTAACCCGAAAGAAGATATTATTCGGCTTGCCCCGGAATAACACGAGTTGTTCACGAATGGTTTAGATCTTTTTAAATACGGTCATCAGAACAATGCTGTTTAAACATTTAAGGTGCTCTGGTTCTTTGAATGAATGTTAACCATGGTGAAAAAAGGTTATTTCATGAAGGCAACGTGCAACTGAGAACACTGTGTGAGTCGGCCTTGCGTGATGCACGTGAAATATGCTCCCCAGTGCCAGTGTATAAATCATACAGGACTAATTTGAGCACATTTATCAATCACCTAAATATTACTTGGGGGGGGGGGGGGGGGGGGGATGTTGTATGTTTTCCATGTTAAACTGCGGCCTGGTATCTCAGTAGGCCAGTACTATAAAAACCTGCAGTACAAGCAGCCACGCAACATTTGTGCAATAATCTTGATTGTGACGTTAACCCCATTTCACCTCACCTGACTGGAAATACCACCCAAAGCAGTATATTAACCCAATTCACACTCCCGTTGATGTACAGCAAACAAACGTAGTGGAAAGAAATGCTTGGGAATAGTATGACAGGCAGCATCATTAAACATGTTCTTGGTTTCTATTCATCATTGAAAAAAGCATGATTTTCTGTGCGTCTGCAGTAGTTTTGTTTGGAATCACTCTTGGTTCCTCAATGATATTTTCCAATTTTTCAGGTGTGTTGCACGTGTTCGCGATCATTACAAACTTTGTCCAGACACCTGAAAGTTTCCCAGCTTCGTGTGTTTCACATCATCGCCATGGATACAGTTCCGCCTGCAGCGTCAGGCGTCCGCAGCGCCAGCAGTTTCCTGTTTGACAAGGCATTTGTCGATGGGCAGTGGGTCGGTGCAAAGTCAGGCTCAGTATACCAAAGTAAGATTATTCTTATAACTTCATGTAGTTATCCACGGTTATATTAACAAAGGACAGGGTATGTTAGCGACGTTTTTTCACCCACAATATTATTCAAAAAACGAGCAAAACATTTGTCAGATGTGTTCGTTTGAATAATAATTAGATGTTGGTGTTCTTGATGTTGGAAATGCACCAAATAGGCTCATGCTAAATGTTTTGTTTGTTTGTTAGTTGTTTAACGCCGCACTCAGCAATATTCCAGCTATATAACGGGGGCCTGCAAATAATCGATTCTGGACCAGACAATCCGGTGATTGACATTATGAGCATCGATCCACGCATCGAATCGATTTGTGCTGATTATGATTCTTGGTTTCTAAGCACCATACCCATGTTTAGATGGATTCAACAAAGTGGGGAGACCCGTGCAGATCCGGGGTAGAGAAGGTCTTCAGCAACCCATGCTTGCCATAAAGGCGACTATGCTTGTCGTAAGAGGCGACTAACGGGATCGGGTGGTCAGGCTCTGATTTGGTTGATGCATGTCATCGATCCCATTTACGTGGATCATGATGTCAATCACGTTATTGTCTGGTCCAGACTTGATTATTTACAGACCGCCGTCATATAGCTGGAATATTGCTGAGTGCGGCGCTAAACAACAAACAAACAAACAAACAAAGAAACAACAACAAAGTGGTGAACATAAAACCTACCTCATTGTAGACTTTCTTCCAATTTTACAGGCCATTGTGGCATCATCAGTTACCATGACGTCAGAATCAAAATGACATTCACTCATCTCTCTGTCACTGAAGCCGGTTAGGTGTACTATTTATATTCAAGACACTGGTAATTACTGTTCAATTCTAAAAATAGGAAAAAAATATATCGGATTATGAATAGAATCTCACTCTCTCAGGGGGATATAGGAATGGGTGTTGTCCGTGCGTCCATCCGTCACGTTTCGTTTAATATTTTAAGAGATTGTGCATATGTTACTAACACATGTTGAACAGGTGCCTTTTGATGTTTTGGTATTCCTAAAAAAAGATTTTTGGTCGTAACTCAAAAACCGCTAAATATTTTATTATGAAACTTATTCAAATAATAAACGCATTCTGAACTGGTGCCTTTTGCTGTTTTATTGGGACTGAACCCAAATGCAGGTTACTTTCATTACCACGGCGTTTCATTCCAACAGATGGGTTGTTGTGTTCATATCTGGATAAAAAGTATCCATAATTTATTTACTACATCATCCATAAAACTGTATACTAATATATGCAGAGTACTGACATTGTCATGCTAATTTGGATTTTCAACAAAACAAGATCTACGCAGGGTTCACTGAGAACTGAATTCCCTAATTGGGATGTTAACACTTGTACAAGGATCATGATGAATGGTGAAAAATATAACACAGACAGCAATTTACAAGTTTCACCCGAACCAGCCTACTTCCGATCAGTGGGTTAAATATTTTTTAGTGCTTGTATTCACAAAAAAAACTTCCAGTGAACTTGTCAAGACATGCCGAACGTGTATATTCACTACTATATGAACAAACAAAATTCTAATGTGCCCCATGGCAATATTTTCTTTTTCTTCTTATATATGGTGAATGGTGAAAACAAACCACAAACCACAATTTACAAGATGCATCCCAACCAGCCTTCGTGGGTTAAAAGAGTTTTTCGTGCTTTCCCTTAGGCCATTTGCAAAAGGTCCAGTAAACTTGTCAAAACTTATCATGATGTGCCCCATGGCATTGTTTTCTTCTTCCTCCTCCTCCTCTTCTTTTTATTTGTTACTGCTACTCTATGGCCTGACTCCATCGCCTGTTTCCCCGCAGCACCCGAGAACATCCGGGTTGGATGAGGTCCTTAGCAACCTATGCTTGTCGTAAGAGGCGACTAACGAGATCGGGTGGTCAGATTTGCTGACTTGGTTGATGCATGTCTTCATATCCCAATTGCGTGGATCGATGCTCATGATGTCAATCACTGGATTGGCTGATCCAGAATCGATTATTTACCGTCATATAGATGGAATATTGCTGATTGTGGCGTTATTTGTTTGTTTGTTCGTTGTTAACAAACAACGTTTTCCCACAGTCACCAACCCGTCGACAGGCAAGGTAATTGGTTCTGTCCCAGACATGAACGGAGACGACACCCAGCAGGCCATAGAGAAGGCTAATCTGGCATTCCTCAAGTGGAGGGACACCACAGCAAAGGTAGGCAACATGTGGATGTGTTAAAGTAGAAATAATCCTAAAGTCTTGCATGTCTGCTTGAGTTTCAAATTGGTCCAGCCATATCAGGTATAACGTTTAGTCGTTTACATATAGCTATTGTATGAAATATTTCTCTTTGTGGACAATGTTAGTGAACCTTCCCTTTGAACTATTTTGCAGGAACGGAGCTTGATTCTCAGGAAGTGGTTTGATCTGACTAACCAAAACACGCTGGAGTTAGCTAAACTAATGACAGCTGAAAACGTAAGAAAATAGATTTTACAGTTTATGGCCTGTCCAGTTTCATTTGAAACCAGTTGTTGTGATAAACACATGGAACAGGAACATAGTGAGTGAGTGTGTGTGTGTGTGTGTGTGTGTGTGAGTGAGTGAGTGAGTGAGTGAGTGAGTGAGTGAGTGAGTGAGTGAGGTTTAAAACCGCTTTTAGCAATATTGTAGCAATATAACGGCGGAGGACACATTGCACCCATGTCGGGAATCGAACCCGGGTCTTAGGCGTGACGAGAGAACGCTTTAACCACTAGGCTCCCAGCCCTAACAGGAATATAATAACAGATTTATCACCGTAAGACTGATAAATAATCCTGGCAATTCAGGCTTTGAAAAGGTCATTATCAATGTGAAAGACAAGGCAGGGACAAAAAAATTTCTTGCACTGCTTTTAATCTAGCACTAGAAGTGACATGTACTAGTATTCACAGAGTTCAAAGATGGATGAAAGGTATTTTTCTTTTTGGCACGCTTAATTTGCAAAGAGCACACCTTACATATTCACGAGGACCCTGTTGCGCCCTTGCATTTTTGAAAATAAATTCATATCCCCGACTGTAGGTCCTCTGGCCTTAATTTTTCACAGGTAAGGGTCACAGGTAAAATTATTCCCTTTGATCTAAAGCTCTATTATGCCCACCCATACTGCCAGTATCAATATACACTTGCTATTTCCCGGTCCCCAGGGCAAACCCTTGCAACAGGCCTTGGCTGAGATATCTACTGCTAGTGGGTTTATCGAGTGGTATGCGGAGGAAGCCAAGCGTGTCTACGGTGATGTCATTCCGTCAACAGCTGCCAGCAAGAAGATGCTGGTCTTGAAACAGCCTATTGGAGTGGCTGGTATGATCACTCCTGTAAGTCAAACATCATCTATATCCCCGTTATTTTAAATATGTGCATCAAGTCACAAAAGGTATGTCATTTACCTCATTTTGTCCAAAACTGTAAATCCTAAAGCTTGTGAGTATAACTGGCATTACCTGATTAATTTTGACAGATTCGGTCGTACAGCCTGTAAGTGCCGTTCGGAATCCCATGTGTTAACCTAGAAAGCATCTTTTGGACTTTAACTTTCGTGATCTCGTAACCGCTGCTTTGAATAGTCGGATGAAAGGTCATTCTGCCGTGACCTGTAATGGGATGTCCTCGGATCTATGCGTAGCGGAAGCGGGCACAAAGATTTGATTTTAATCAGATTGATAACAATGTGATATATAATATTTTCAAAATCAATTTCACTGAATCGCATCCCCGACCTTCCGCTCTCCGGGCGGATGCCCTGCCACTAGATCACGGAGGCGGAGCTCAGAAAACGAACCCAACCCACATTTGAACATGTCCAACTTGCTACCTTGGAAACGCCGAAAAAGGAAGCACCTTTAGTCAAAATTGTGAACAGCAAAAAGTACCAATTCAATGCATGCCGGTTTATGTGTCTCGAATGCTCCGGAAACGAAACGTGACAGACGGACAAATGAAGCCCATTTCTATATCCCCCGCACAACTGTGTTCGTCTGGGCGGGGGATTATAAAGAATTTCTTCGTATTGGTCAGATGTTCAGTTTCACAACACATGGACCCAGTTGGACAATGACCGTATTTGTGTTACAGTGGAACTTTCCCAGTGCTATGATCACAAGGAAGGCCTGTGCGGCCATTGCTGCCGGTTGCACCGTCGTCTTGAAACCAGCAGAAGACACGCCGTTCTCAGCTCTGGCTATGTGTCAGGTGAGTGGAGTGTATGAAGGACACCTACTGTCGTCCAGGGAAAGTACAGAGGAACACTCGGACCAGCATGTTCCTTTCATGAATGTTTGAGCTCAGTTTGAGAATGTCAGGGGAAGCTTGTGTCATCATTGTAAGTTCTTAACAATTGCAACATCCTCTTCCACACAACTTTAGAACATTACTATCAAATTTGAGCAAAATGTACATCTTGGCGACAGACTTTCAAGACTTTCATTTTTAAATGTTTTTTTTCAAAATAATACAGAAGAAACAAATGTGCTCTTTTCTGGTTAACATGATTTGTAACACTGATTAACACAGCTCCATTTAAAAAAAAGAAGAACTTCCCTCTTTCTCCAGAAATTATGGTACATATTCTAGTAAAATTCTGTTTGGTCGAGTAAGCTAAGCTAATAACAGACCATATTACAACACTAAATTCTACTGGAAATGAATAGGGGCCATGTTGTCTCAAACGATTTAGCACACACTGTATATTATGTTTTAATAGAATCCAACTGCAAACTGTTTCAATAATAAGTCTCTGCCTTACAATCAAATCAAGCTGTCGCAGTGATAGAATCTTTCATTTGCCTCTCTCCCTCCTCCCAGCTGGCCAAGGAGGCAGGCGTCCCGGACGGAGTCTTGAATGTGGTGACCAGTTCCCGTGACAACGCCCCTGCAGTGGGCAACGTGCTGTGCACCAGCCCTATCATCAAGAAGATCTCGTTCACAGGGTCCACAGTCACAGGGAAGGTGAGACTACATTGGGGTCTGCCATCTGCCATCAGACAGGCTATACTTTTATCATATACTGTGAAACCTCGCTTATCTGGACCTCGTGGTGTTTTGTTGTAGATTCTCCTCAAACAGTCGGCTTCTACGGTGAAGAAGGTCTCGCTAGAGCTGGGCGGTAACGCGGCGTTCATTGTGTTCGACAGTGGCGATATTGAGGCAGCAGTCCGAGGGACAATGGTCAGCAAGTTTCGATGTAGCGGACAGGTAAGGCCATCAATGTTTTGTTTTGTTTGTTTGTTTGTTTGTTGTTTAACTCAGGAATAGTCCAGCTATAATTATGACGGCTGTCTGTTAATAATTGAGTCTGGACTCGACGCAATTTGGGATAGATGACATGCCAGGAATAACCGTTATGATTCTACCTGGGCATACAGGTAATCAATTTGTTAAGACAATTGATCATGGTTGGATGTAAGGGATTAATCCTTCTGAACTCTACAGTTCAGGTAGAAATAGGTCACATGTGCCAAATTAAAGTTCCAGTCAAGTAAGGATTTTAACCTTGAGCACATACCAACAACGGAGATCTGTCACACAAATTAATCTAAATAAAAAAAATACTTTTCTTGGTTTTTGATAAACCCTTTCCTTGGTACACTGTCACTTATCCATTTTCATCCCAGAATAGTGTACAACGTACACTGACTTGTCATTGAGACGTGTTTTATCGTGTATAAGTGTCTAAATACATATTTCATATCAAATACACAATCTTGAATCGTGAGATTTTATTATCCAAAATCAGTCTTCCAACTTACTTTGTATTCATTTCTTTTCAGTTTGTAAATAGTAATAACCAGTGTCTTGAGTGTTACAAGTCCTTAAACAAGCTTCAGAGGCAGAGATTTGTGAGATTGTGACGTCATGGTAACCGATGATGTCAGAATGGTCTGGAAAGCATTATCTCCCAAACAATATCTCCTTTAGAGGATGATATCTATATAACATCCATGATACTGCCGCTGTTAACACGATAATAGAATAAAACATTTCATTTTTATAAACTGAACTGCATGGGTGATCTCTGTTTCACGTTTTCTACAGGCGTGTGTGTCTGCCAACAGGATATTGGTTCAGGAAGGAGTGTATGACCGGTATGTTGCACGTCTCGGGGAGGTCATGAAGCAAGAACTAAGGGTCGGAGATGGTTTTGACGACAGCTCCACACAAGGACCTCTCATCAACAGCAAGGCTGTGGACAAGGTAAGAAGGCCTGTTTTATTATTCTCAAAATTTGATTAAATTTGAAGAAAGAGATTATTAGCCGAGTGTGTTTCCGTTTCGTATATATGCTATAATATGAATAAAAATTGTGGGTTTGGGGCGTATTTAATACATAATTATACATGTGTATGTACCACTTGTTGACAGGTAGAAGGCATCGTGGCCAGTGCTGAGACACTCACTTTCTCTGTGATATTGAAGTAGCAGTATATGCCACTTGTTGACAGGTAGAAGGCATCGTGGCCAGTGCTGAGAAACTCACTTTCTCTGTGATATTGAAGTAGCAGTATATGCCACTTGTTGACAGGTAGAAGGCATCGTGGCCAGTGCTGAGAAACTCACTTTCTCTGTGATATTGAAGTAGCAGTATATGCCACTTGTTGACAGGTAGAAGGCATCGTGGCCAGTGCTGAGAAACTCACTTTCTCTGTGATATTGAAGTAGCAGTATATGCCACTTGTTGACAGGTAGAAGGCATCATGGCCAATGCTGAGAAACTCACTTTCTCTGTGATATTGAAGTAGCAGTATATGCCACTTGTTGACAGGTAGAAGGCATCGTGGCCAGCGCTGAGAAACTCACTTTCTCTGTGATATTGAAGTAGCAGTATATGCCACTTGTTGACAGGTAGAAGGCATCGTGGAGGATGCCAAAAGACTTGGCGCGAGGCTGGGATGTGGGGGCAAGAGGTCAGACAAGGGAGTGAATTTCTTTGAGCCGACACTGCTCTCCGATGTCACGCTGGAAATGAGGTGTGCTAAGGAGGAAATATTTGGACCAGTTGCTGCAGTTATGAAGTAAGTTGCAAACGTGGCTGTAATCAACATCATAGGCTGCAACAAGTTTCTACCATTTTTGTTTTTCAACTGGATAAAATAAACACGCAGTAGTGGTATTCTAATATCGTGGGTGTGCAACACTTTTATCATTAATCGAGTTTGGACATCTATTGATATATACTATTCAAACGAAGTTTAAAGAGCGCCCAATTCTACAGTTAATCTCTCATGGCGCCATAGCATGACAGATTAACCATAGTAGTACTCTCCTGGGCAGTATCTAATCACACAGTCATGTGTATGCAACACATATAAAACAGTGGACTGATGGTATACACTTGTGTTTAAGTTCCTGATATTTGGATGGACTCAAATGTAGTAAATATGTTTTAGTTGGGCTTCTATTTATTCCCAATGCGGATGCAATATGATGTCTTCGCCATACAAGCATCGAGTTTTCATTATTAAAATTGATGGAATATGGGCTCCTTACAATATAAACATATTGTTTTCATGTATTCTTTTGATGGAATATGGGCTCTTTACAATATAAAAATGTTGTTTTCATGTATTCTTTTGATGGAATATGGGCTCTTTACAATTTTAAAAATGTTGTTTGCATGCATTCTCTGATGGAATATGGGCTCTTTACAATATAGAAATGTTGTTTTCATGAATTCTTTTGATGGAATATGGGCTCTTGACAATAAAAAAAATTGTATTCATTTATTCTTTTGAGGATGCAAACGTGATCTTACAATTGTATCATATTGCATCTTTTTCAATAGACCAAATATTTCTTTGTGAGGAATGAGTCCAATTCCCATGGGCAGACATGGATGCTAAATACTCCAGGTACGATGGCTCACAATCACAGGTCACGCATTCTAATGACCTTGTGACATTTTAGAAGGATCTTTAAAGATATAACCATGTTCTACCCCATACTTGACATTTGGGATTTAGCTTGGCAGAACTGGAAACATGTCAATAACTTTGGTTTCTTATCACATGAGTAAAAAGACTGTCACTGACTGATTTACAGGTTCAAGACAGAGGAGGAGGCAGTTGCCATAGCAAACTCCACCAGTTATGGCCTGGCAGGTAAGGCAGTATTTCCATGGCAACGTTGTTGTGGCATTTCAGTTAGTTTGTATGGCCACTCGATGTTCGAGTCCTGTTTTGTACAGATGGCGACTAATGAGATTTATCAGGCTATGATATGACGTTGGTTGGTTTGTTGTTTAACGCCGCACTTAGTATTATCCCAGCTATATTACGGCGTTCTGTAAATAATCGAGTCGACGAGTCTGGACCAGACAATCCAGTGATTTATATCAGGAGCGTCGATCCACGCAATTGGGACAGATGCATCAACCAAGTCAGCGAGCCTGACCACCCGATCCCGTTATTCGCCTCCTACGACAAGCATAGTCAACTTTTACGGCAAGCATGGGTTGCTGAAGCGCTATTCTACCCCGGAATCTTCACGGGTCCTATGATATAACGACTCAATCTAGTTCTAATCAGTAAACATTACGCAAGGGAAAAGCCAGTCGGTATGGTGTCATGCATTACTTGTCAGAGCTCGATTTAGCTTTAAAAAGTATGCAAAATAATTCAAATGTCTGGCTAACCCTTCCTTGTCAACACATCGATCTTTGAACGTTTAATTATTCTGGGCTTTACCATACTACATCACTAATCCCTGTGTTGTGTGTAATTTGTCATGCTTTCTTCGGCCTGACGTCATCAAACTGTGGGTACTTCAAGATCACGTGCACATTGTCTGGTGGAGCAAGGTTTTCATATCAACATGCAGTTGGTGCCTTATATCGAGCCCGAACCTATAACTTGGCTGAAACGTTTCCACAGTTTCGAATGATTTTGACCTATATGTTACTTTTGTGTGTGAATTAAAATTTATAGAAGAAAGCCAATTTTTTTGTAAATGATCAAGAGAATTTCAGGGCGGTTCAAGACTTTACCCTTTGAAACGATGCAGCAAACACATTTTCTGAAACTGTCCTCCAGTTTGTGCTTATACCTCAACATGGATGTACGTCTTTCTTTGTTTCTTTGTTTGATGTTTAACGCCACACTAAGCAATATTCCAGCTATATGGTGGCGGTCTGGACCAAACAATCCAGTGACAGACATCATGAGTGAGTGAGTTAGTTAGTTGGGTTTGATGCAGCTTTAAATAGTATTACAGTTTATCTATCAAGTTGTCAGCGTAATGTGGGGGGAAAGCCCGAAGTGATGCGGGTCTCAGACGTTTACCACTTCGGTGAAACCCACGAGCACGGGTATGGTGATGACAAACCTAGAAACATAATCGGGGCGAACCGGGATTCGAACCCACAATCGTAGGTTTCTGGCGTGCCCAAGGGACGCACCTCTGCACAACGAATCGCAGGCGCCTTACACGACTGGGCCACCCGTGATACGATGACATGCATCAACCAAGTTGACCACCCGTTAGTCCCGTTGATCCCGTTAGTCGCCTCTTACCCAAGCATAATCGCCTTTTACGACACGCATGGTTTGCTGAAGACCTTTTCTAACCCGGGTCATCACGGGTTAGCTATGTTTTGGCTTGATAACGTTGTAAATGTGAATTGTTACGACAAGCCTTGTTGCCTCCTTTGACAAGCATTCTAACTTTGATTTTCACGTTTTGGATGTATGTCACCAAAAGGGGAAGGAAATAATAAGATTCATCCAAATTGAAAAATGTGTTCTTTGAAAAAGATGGGAAGAGAAACAATTGAAATTGTTTTATTTAGTTCCCAGAAAAGACCACCTTTTTGGTTAATAATTATGAAAATAAGTTTTAAATTCTTTACGGTATCTACTCCTTTTTAAATTTGTCTATGAAAGGATAACAAGGGGATACTACTCATCACTGACAAGGTGTTTGTCCACGGCCATACATAACGTCACATGGTTTATACATTTCCCCTACAAATATTATATGGATGTTGTAGGTTGAATAAGAATACTAGAACATTTTTAAATGATTTGTGGGTATCACAGTGATGCCGACTGGCTGATTTTTTAAGAGTTTTGAATGTGTGACAAAGCAGGAGAGCTACAAGTGGAGCTAGTTTTGTTATTGTGATTCACAAGGACGAAATCCTTTACATCTGAACATAAAAGTACCATGAAATTTTCTTGTCATCTTGCAGGCTATTTCTACTCACGAAACCTGAGCCAGATCTGGCGAGTAGCAGAGAAGTTGGAGGTTGGTCTGTGTGGTGTTAACGAGGGCTTCATCAACGCCACGGAGGCGCCTTTCGGCGGAGTGAAGGAGTCGGGTCTCGGAAGAGAGGGCGGCAAATACGGAATTGATGAGTTCCTTGAGATCAAATATCTGTGTATCGGAGGCATATAACTGCCGTTTGTTTTCAAAATTAGTTTGAAGCACGTTCAAGGGGAAATATATCAACATGACCATTTATGCTGATGTGAATAAATGTCATGCCTAAAGTATGTATTTATGTAGTTCATGAATGGCGCATGACTTCATAATGCCAAGATTCACAAGCCCTGTGTCTTTTCTTCGTTGGTTCATTTACTCAAGAATCAAAACATTGTCAAAGCATTTTAGAGGTTCATGATTCTTTAAACTTTTATATCTGACTTTGTTATAGTAAACACAAAATATTTATTATTATGAGAACAAATATATGGTTAGTCTTTAGCCCGGCATTAATTGACATTAAAAGTGCCTATTACATGCAGTCAGTATAATATTGATAATCAAGTGTGACAAAACAGATACAACAGCGACATAGCCATCATTATCATAATACTGAAATACAAGCCCCGTCTTACGAATGTTTCCTTCCATTAATGATCACAATACTTTCATAATCAATTCACCTTACATTTGTAAAAGTAAAATATCAGTCATCCTGCCATATCCGAATAAAACAATTTACTGTCTCTTGTCTTCAAATGATGCCTCTTCTTGTGAGAAGTTGTCATTGAAATTTTGTTTGTTTGTTGTTTAACGCCGCACCCAGCAATATTCCAGCTATATGACGGCGGTCTGTAAATAATCGAGTCTTGACCAGACAATCCAGTGATTTACACTTTCACGGGGCTGGTGTACTGTCGTGGGAAAAACTGATATTGGTAAAACTGTGTATTTATTTTGTTCTTATTTTAAATGTCACGAAAACGATGTTACACAGGTATGGAATGAATTACTATATAACGTCGTCCGGAACGGGAATAGACACGTTTTGTACTATTGAGCCGTTGCGTTTATACACATAAGGACATGGGATTATTTTCTACAGCACTCAATTATCATACCACAGAAATAAATGCGGGTTCTCTCATATATTTAGCTGTAATTAATATACCAATACCTTCTGAAATTCAGAATAATTCGGTAACAGGGATATTTTGCCTGCGCGTGGTCAAATGGAATGTGCCATTATCCCCGTTAATCAAAGTAATCAAGACCAGAGGCGATATATTTTAAATTGGACGGGTAAGTTATGGAGAAGTCACGTGCTGTATTGCGTGCCAATCACAGTGGATAATAAAATACACAGAGTTTCCTGTGTATAACAAGTGTGTATGCCGATTGAGGAATTTGCATGCATACATAATATATAATTTCGAAAATCACTGACATGTGGATAATTGTTTCACCCAAGATGGTGTGATTAAGAACGTGTTTTTGTATGAATTAGAACCCCCGCAACACGTACCAATAGTTTAAACATATTTTATTCAACTAAGATTGGGTTTAACAAGCACTAGCTAATGTAAATAGCGCTCCCTCCAACAAACGCCACACTCAGCAATATTCCAGCTATATGACGGCGCAATACGGGACACGGTAACTTGCATCAACCAATTCCGTTCGTCGCTTTTTGCGTTATTTATTTACTCAATTTATGTACAAAAACTCTAAAACTGCAAAAAGCATCGACTGCCCAGCTGGAGAATCCTTGGCGTCTCCAGTGTGGTGATAATGTCGCTTATAAATATCTTCTTTATGTCTGCCACATCTGGATACCTGTATCCAGTACCTGTATCCAGATGCATGTTGTCGGAGGTAAGACGCGTCTAGAGTTGTCCCCGTTCCCGCTGTCAGCACCTTTAATTAAATTATATAAAACAAATAATAACAAATGTTTCTGAATTACGTTAGATATACATAAGATTAACATTTTTATTTTTCGCGTAGAATGTAAATAAATGAAATTTGAACCTTACCTCTGCAACAAACGGGGTTGTCCGTCCTTTTTCCGTTGGCACCGCCACCCGCACGTACGACCCGGCACACAACGTTTCTCTGAAAAATACAAAAATTTAGCATGGTTGCAAAATGTCATTTGTTTTAGCTTACACGGGGCTGTTGCAGCTTGCTAGTTTACCGTTTCTGTATATACAGGTTTTTTGTTGTACGTTGGCAGTCAAGTTTTTAACAATCTTCTAAAGTACAATTTATATACTCAGGATTATGCTATAAATGATAAATACTTGCTTGACTTTGCGCGCGATTCAGTTCCGCTTTTCTTTTTTGTGTCTTTTCAAATCGTTTCTCTTCTGACCTCGCACTGAAATGTATATATATGTATATCAGTATATACAAGCCTTGCTGGACAACGGTAGTAGTATAGAACGGGTCGACAGAAGGCCATTTTGGTTGATCCAGTTGATCCAGGCGAATGCGAAGGTAATTGGTTGATCCAAGTCACGTGATCTGATAGGATGACTCATGCATCAACAGCGCGTCGGGAAAGGGTGGGGAATGAAAGGTGTTTATACGGCAGAAAAGAATTCGTAAGAAAACAAAAGTGAAAGGTTATGAATAGAGCTATGTGTATAGCGTGGTGCCCTAAATAGACAGACCGTACCCGTCAGCCCAGTTTGATTCGAGCACGCTTGACAACTCACGTGGCCTCGTCGTTTAACCCGCGCTCGCTAGAGCGTGCGACCTGGTTTGATGAATACAGGGTGTGTGTTGAAAGTACATCATACCACAATAGAGACGGGTTATGTCAACACGATATACGCCGGGTAATGTAGGAAAAAAATGTACGTCTAGCTGGATTAAATTCATCTTGTACGGTCTACACGTTGTACACCATGAACGTGAGACAACCTGTATAGAAAAAAATATATAGAAAAAATAGATAAGACTACGCAATCAGCAAGCTAGCGGTGTAGTTTACATTTAGCGCGCAACAACGAGGTAGTCACGTCACCCTGCATTGACTATAACGCTGAAGACAGCCGGATTTCGAATCACTCCGCGCTGCGTACTATTGTGAACCATTTGTAAAGAATTATTCAGCCCTGTCCCGACTTGCATAGTTGATGTTTCAATGCTAGCGTTTCCATTTAACGCGATAACAAATAAACAGTAAGGTTTGAGTTTTAACCGTGTAACATGATGTGCACAGTTTTACTTCAGAACGTGCTATTTTGAAAATAGATAGAAAAGTGATAAGTACATGTACCCGTGTGACGGCACGAAGCTAGGTTTGTTGGGAAAGTGATGGAAGCAATCTATAGGACATTTTCATGTTTACATTAGTCACCCTTAATTCGAAGAGAGAACAGAGTTTATCATGGAAAAATGTTTGACGAGGAAAACGTTTTATTGGAAATATATGTGGGAGCAGGTTTATTCATAGTTAATGTATAGCAGAGAGACTAAGCGACCGACCGCCCATAACAATGTCAACATACCCCGGCCTTACAATTAATGTCAACATACCAGCCTCGCCTGAAGCTTCCCATTCATAAATGGTGTGACCAGTGTCCCGTATTCATGATATGTTAGGGAAGATGTGTTGTACATTTGTTATTTTAAAAGGGAGTTATTTCAGAGAGGATATATATGGGTATTCCCCTCATTAAACCTTTCTTTGGTTGGTGTCTATTAAACGTATCCGGTATTTAATACATTTGAATGATGTAGGAAAGTATGTGCGTGAAGATGTTGTACCTATATCCGAACACGAATGTATGACACCTTTCAATAGATCAATTACGGTTCTAACCACGACACGCAACATGACTATGAGCGTGGTTAGCAGTTCATATTTATAAACACATCGTAAATGACATATTTCTGATGAATGAACTCGCCCGCACACATGTCTATAGGGTTATGTTCGCCCGAACTGTAAACAGTGACACATTGATAACAGGAAGGGTGTGTGGAATGCACTCGTCCTTGTAAGGGTAAAACACGCGTTTAAACTCACCATTTAAATGATGACAATACTTTTTAGATGTATTGGTATCAGTGAGTGAGTGAATTTAGTTTTACGCCACACTCGGCATTATTCAAACTCTAGGACGGTGATCTGTCAATAAACGAGCTTGGACCAGACAATCCAGTGATCAACAGCATGAGCAGCCAACTGTGCAACTAGGAACCGATGGCACGTGTCATCCGAGTCGGCGAGACTGACCAACCGATCCCCGTCAGTCGCCGATAAGCATGGGTTACTGAAGGTCCATTCTATAACCCGGACCTTCACGGGTGTAGTATGACGAAGACTATATACTAATATGCAAAAACTGAGAAAAAACAAACAATTCATTCGTATCATTTATTGATTCGAGTCAATCGGTTCCATACAAAGGCGTTATATACGAATGGACAATAGTATTCACTCTGGAACATTATTTAGTCACTCATATACACATACTGCTGCTGCACAAGGCCCTATTGTTTAAACAGCGAGTCCATGTTTTGAAACACATTTCGCACTGTTGAATGTTTCCTTTCCTACGCTGTTTTAAGGTTGAATGGTTGTCTATAGTCTATGCTTTATCCATTGCTTGTAACGATTTCCGTCCAGGAGGTCCCAGTTTCACAATTCCTCTCACGTAGAGGGAAATTCGGCGTTTCTTATCTTTCAAACGCCTCAGTTTACGAGGTGTTTTCAAAATATGAATCAAACTAGATGCGTGGCGTTGACTCGGCATTCTCTTCTGACTGTTAGACTGATATAGTAGTGATGGGTATTTATGCCTAATCGTTCTGCTCACGATCATCATCCTCCTCCTCGTCATCACCATCGTTATCCTCTGCAACGCTATCAGATTCAGTCTCACTTTCTATTTCCGGCATATCCATCAAAGGCAGGATCTCTTTCATCTTGGGTTTTAGGAGGAGTTTGATTTTATTTTTGAGAACGGATTGTTCCGTGGAAGGATTCATGTCTCTCAGGTTGTATAGAATGTTTTGAAACAGAGGTGCCTCTTTAAAGTACGTGGTATATTCCATCGCATAGTTGAGAGTACTACGCACTAGATCCTCCCACCTCAGTTTCAATCTTCTCTCAATCCATTCTTGCGTTCGTCCCTGTCGCTTGTACTGTTTTTTCTGCAGTTTCATCTTGTCATGAAACGTATCGTACACCTGCCTCCAGATGCGTTGTAAGCCTACATTTTGCCACTCCTCGGCTTCCATATTAGTGAATGTTGACTTCCCACGTGGAGGTTTGACGGCAAGACCACTGCCTTTCTGGGAAGAGGCTAGTTTGTGAAAGTCACTGTCATCGTCATCACTCTCGAGTCTGGCACGCTTTCTCTTAGGTTGAAGGCTATTGGCCGGACACCAGTGTTTGATATGTCGCTGTAGATCGTGCATGTTATCTATCAGCACCCCGCAATCTGCACAAGCCGTGGCCATAGTCAATGATGTCTCACTACTCGTGTCTGAATCGGTTTCAATTGGAGTGAGCTGATGTTGGGGCAATCTCTCTTCTTGTGTCAGAGGACTATCCAGAGATTCTGTTGTAGTCAACTTCTCCCTACGCAGATCAGGTTCAGACTGTGCTGTTGTTCTCCGGTATTCCTCATTTATGAGCTTAACATGCAATCGATCCTTATCTTTGGTGGTAGGTTTTAGATCGATGGTGAGTTGTCCATAGGGTTTCAGCAACCTTTTCATACATAGCCATAAAGTGATCCATATGTTCGGGGAAAATTCTACGAGCGAAGAGTTTGATTTGCTGTTTATCTATGGGGGAATGAAACAGGGTGACATAATGCGCGTTCAAAGCAATGTCTCTCGATTCCTTACCTCTAGGAAACAGATTTTGTATCAAGAGAAAGATCAATACATTCTTGTGATGTGAGGTTTGAGTAAACAGGCGCTTGTTCGTGCTTTGCTTCGGCCAGGAAATCATCCAGGACCAACACGTTCTGTTGACGAGCATCAAAGTAATCCTCGTCCAAGATATCGTAGGGAATTCCTTTGACAAAGGTCAGCTGAGGCAGCTGCTCACCGAGGTCCTGATATAATGGCTGCCACTGAGTATAACACCAAACGATGCGGGTAGGTTGGGGTTGGATCAGGCCATGCCGGAGTACATGAGAGGTAAACACAGACTTTCCACAACCACTGGGTCCCACAACGAGCACATTTGCGGATGTGCTTGTAACGGCGGCGTTGGCTTGACGCAGCGGCGGCGGTGGGTGGACTTGCGGCGGCGGCGGCGTTAGCGGGTGGGCTTGTAATGGCGGGTAGATTTGCGGCGGCGGTAGCGGATGGGCATGTAATGGCGAGTGGACTTGCGGCGGTCGGTGGGCTTGTAACGGCGGCGGTATGCTATGTTTATTTCTCCTGTGTCGTAACATGACATCTCTCCTTGAAAACATTTTTTCACAGTCCGGACAGGTGGCAACCCCCATGGTGATCCAATACGGTGTGCGATTAGAGGGTATGAAGCTTTCTTTTATACCCTTGACTCTGTTGACGCTTCAAGGCAGCAAGTGCCTGTTCCACCACAGCCTTCACCTCCGACACATGTTGTATTTTCACGGGTTGGGGTGTTGTCTTCGTTCCCTGTTTGGTTGTCATCATTTTCATTTTAGGTGTTACCAGTCTCTCCTTTGTCTAGAGCGTCGACTTCTTGGCTGCTTGTGCTTTCTTTCTCTGTTGTGATTTTCTCAACGTAGTCTTCCTAAATATATCTCTAGGGTCAAGTCTAATCTCTGATGCTTTCTTCATGTTGTTCACGTCCAATACGTTTGCTGGCGAGAGTAAAACTGTTTGTCGGGCTACACTACTGCAGAGTTTATACTGTCTTACACGTGCAGGGATTCTTAGAAGACACTCTTTTCTTCACAGCACACTTGTGAGTATGTTAAAAAAGCGATCATATTAGTATATAGTCTTCGTCATACTACACCCGTGAAGGTCCGGGTTATAGAAATGACCTTCAGTAACCCATGCTTATCGGCGACTGACGGGGATCGGTTGGTCAGTCTCGCTGACTCGGATGACACGTGCCATCGGTTCCCAGTTGCACAGATCGCTGCTCATGCTGTTGATCACTGGATTGTTTGGTCCAAGCTCGTTTATTGACAGATCACCGTCCTAGAGTTGGAATAATGCCGAGTGTGGCGTAAAACTAAATTCACTCACTCACTGATACCAATACATCTAAAAAGTATTGTCATCATTTAAATGGTGAGTTTAAACGCGTATTTTACCCTTACAAGGACGAGTGCATTCCACACAGCCTTCCTGTTATCAATGTGTCACTGTTTACAGTTCGGGCGAACATAACCCTATAGACATGTGTGTGGGCGAGTTCATTCATCAGAAATCTGTCATTTACGATGTGTTTATAAATATAAACTGCTAACCACGCTCATAGTCATGTTGCGTGTCGTGGTTAGAACCGTAATTGATCTATTGAAAGGTGTCATACATTCATGTTTGGATATAGGTACAACATCTAC